ACAGTAGTGTATCCTTCTTGAATTCATATCTATTTATGTGTTCATGTTTATACAAATCTAATTGTTGATATTTAGTAAACTAACCCATAGCGTGTAATATTTAGTTTATTCTTTACAAACCTTTTTTATGATTTTATAGTTGAGATCATGAGTTAATTGAAGGTAGTCCATTATGAAAAACCTGGAAGCTCTAGATCGCCGTTTTGTTCTATTGTGGGACTCGTCAACTGCGCGCATCTGATAATAATCAGTATATGATTACTAGTGACTGGCTTTATGAGGTATTTTCCAAAGTTCTAGTGAGATGCAGTGACCATTGTTGTTCAACCGGGTCTGTTGTGAGATAGTAAGTCATTGAAGATTATAGTGGACGTGTCGAACAATTTCATGGATTAGTTGAAGTTAGACACTAACACCAATGGACACCGGCCAGCTCAGTGATCTAGAGGTTAAGTGTTCATATGCATGACCGATAGGTCTTGGATTCGAATTCCACGAGGTAGGATCTTTCAAGCGCACTGTTTAAGAGTCCCACAGTAGGATGAAACGGCCATCCAATGCTTGTAGGTTTTCCATGGTTATCTAGTTTCAATTAACTCATGATCTCAAGTATTAAAATTGCTATAATATCCACAAAAGCTCTTTTCTGATATTATTTATGATTGTTGAATACTGTTGTAGTATATTCAAATAGGTAGCATTTTCTTTTGGTTGTTGTAAATGGTTAACACTTTAATTTTGTGTTATTCACTAATTCGATAATTAATCTCTTTTCAACTCATTTTACAAATGATTTACAAATGACTACTTTACCACTGTAATCTTCAAATTAGAGAGTGTTTACTTTAGTTTAGGATTAATGTTTTACACTTTGATGATATAATATTTGATTTTTATGATTTCAATTGTGAAGCTTTTTAATAGTTGAATTCATGAGTCCACACGTTGAACCATCTTGGAAAACTTGGATGTACTGAACGGCCTTTTCGTCCTACTATGGGACTCCTCAGCAATGCACATCTACATTCCCGCTCACAAGACTCGAATCCAAGACATCTGATCTCTTGGGTGAATGTTTAATCTCTTGATATCATACAATTATCTTTCATAGCCACCCGCCATCATTAAACTGTATTGATAACGGCTTCTCATTTACAACTCTGGGAACCACCTCTAGAAATTAGTTCGCCTAATTTAATTTAGGTAGATTTAAACCAGAATTATCCCTTCTTTTTAAGAAATATTTAAGATCAGAAGGGGTTTTGTGGAGATTTTAGAAGTTTCACAGATTGAAATCATGAGTCAATTGAAGCTAGACCACTATGGAAAACCTGAGATATCAGCTCACTGAAGACAATGGTGTAAGGTGGCGCAACTTCGTGGACTGGTTGAAGTTAGACATTAACACCTTTGGATGACGGCTCAATGGTCTAGTTGGTTAAGCGCCTGGCGCGAGACTGACAGGTCTTGGGTTCCAGTTTCACGAGGTGCAGGATTGTGGATGAGCACTGCTGAGGAGTCCCATACTAGGACAAAACGACCTTCCAGTGCTCCTAGGTTTCCCATAGTGCTCTAGCTTCAATTGGCTCATGATTTCAGTCTGTGAATGATTTGGGAATTAGAGAAATTAAATGGTCAATATTGATTTATTATTGAGAAGCAAAAATAAATAGACAGACAATATCTTGTAGACTAATAAACTTTTTAAACAGCGCTATTGTTACATACAAGTGAATTACAACCATATTGTTAGTTTGACAGTAGTTAGTAATATTATGCAACTATACAAACCAAATTAGTTGGAACAGAGGAAATATCTGTGATCTTAATTACGTCTGTTACACCGTAATGGAAGAGCATAAGCCACTCACCAGCATTCTACATCTAACTCTGTTCTGGACAATCCTTTCTAGTTATCTCTAGTTACTATTCAGCCCTTTCATATCTGATTTCATTTCCCAACATAGCGCGTTCTTCAGTCCTCCAATTTACCGTAATCCCTTCAGGATTCAAAGCTAGCTCTTGCTAAGTACTACTGTAGTGAACAGAACACGGGTGGGAACAACCGAATGTATTTGACACAAAATTACAGAGCATCTCAATAAAATATGAGAACCATATATTAAATCGTTGATTTGCAAAATCTCCACCAATTGTCTCAAAATGCCTCACACTTCATTGTTCTTACATTTTCATACAAATTGCATTATATTCCCGCTCTTGCTTTCTTGATCCTCACCCATCTTCTGCTGCCAGACATTACATTCCTGACTCATATCATATACTAATTATATCAAAGTAAGTAGCATGCACCACACTACTACTACTAATACAGGTGGTTTTCTTAGAGGACTACACCGGAACCCTTCGACCTAATAGTTTGATCCATAAGGCAGTGGATCAACGTGAGGAGATCCAGTCTCATGGTAACCGGTGACCAATAATTGATTTATACGCCGTTAGTCACCTCAAAATCCTCTAGCCTATGTTTACCATTAGTCTGGAATCACGGTTTCACAACTCACTATGTGTTCTACCCACTTTAGCTCTGTATATTAGAACTGTTTTAACATTTGTATTAAAGATTCTTACATTGATATTGATTGACAGTTGTTTTGAATCCTATTTCTTATCTTAGCTTTAAAGTAATAAGTAGTATATCACGTGTCGTTATGTAACATTATTGATTTGCCTGTTTTATATTATGTAATAAAAGATTTCATAGATGATTAACCTAATAACAAGTCATTGACAACAATTTTTAAGATGCACCAATACATACAACATATAGAAATGTTCTGATGACATATGTTGAATTACTACATGAACATATATTCTTTATATTTGTAAAAAAAAATTATGTCATATCCCTGAAATACCAAGTGTATAGAACGCCATTATTCAATATGACTGACAATAAACAATCTAGAATACATGCTGTTTTACTCTTTAATACACATTGTCAACTATCTAATTCATTCATTCATTCATTCAATAAATAAATGACAATTCAATGATGATGATGATGATGATGATGATCATGATGATGACGATGTTGATGTTGATGTTGATGATGATTTGAATTTGTATTCCATTTAATCTCCAACCACCACCACCACCACCCCCTCAGCTTTTTTTTCTTTTTACCATTCAAGTTTATAAGTAGTGATGTTCTTGAGTAGTATATATAATTTTACTTTTATTTATAGGTTAACAGTACTAGTTTGATGATTTACTTTGTGTGCATGTGTGTCTATATATATATGTATGTGTGTACATAGTAAGTGCACATACACACACTCATACACGCATACATACATAAACACACAAATAGACAAACATATGAAATAATATATTTAAGTATATATAAGTAGTTCAGTAAATGATTGAAATGAATATAACCATAGTAAATGTTCCATTGGTATTTGTTTATTTACACATTTCATTTCATTCAATTATTCCCAATGTAAAATAATAATCATCTAATATTTTCGGGTATTATTATTTTGGTTTATTCAACGATTGTTGAATATAAGAATGTTTATTTTGTTTCATTGAACATATAAATATTGATACAAGAAGGCACTAAATAAATATGTGCCATATAAACTATTCAATTTATGTGATAGTTAGAATATTAACCAGGGTGCTAAAACCAAACCAAGTGGTTTTCTCAGTGGGCTATACTCAGAGACTTTGACTTAACGGTCTGATTCATAAGGCAATGGAGTAACATCAAAAGATGCAATCTGTTATATATATTGTGATTGCGTAATTAGGAAGCAGTGAATTATCGATCGGACCAATGATGCGTATAACTTATACGAGCAGTCTAGAGTACTAATCAGTTTTGCTTCCTGCCTAACCCTGACTGTTAGAGTCCACAACACCAATCACAGCCTCTGAAATATGAATTATTTATTTCAAACATACTGGGTTTATATACCAACCAGATAGACCATATCGTACCAATAAAATAGGAAACAACATATGTACAAGAATTAGCCAAAAGTGTCTGTGAATGTGGGAGATAATAATTGATAGACAGGGCATAACTCAAGAATGGTAAATGGTATGATAATAGTTCATAGATCAAAATAAAGCTTGTGATAACAGGGACATGGATATGAATAATTTAGTTACATAACGATTATGCGATAAAAATATGCGCATAGTATGAGTCCATAAATAGATCCGAAAAGTTACCAATCATGATGCTTATCGGGACATAACACAATCCCATGGTAGCCGATGATTAACAATAGGTTCATACGGTATTTTTCGCCTCAGGATCCTGGTTCGGAATCATGGTTTATGAACTCCCATACGTTGATCTTCTGTATCCACTAATCCGGTTAAAGTGCCGGACATTCGCTTTTGGTCCTTTCAGTTTTGTGAACAACACCCCTGCCATGAGAAGGCAATGGGTAAGATTTCCTTGACAGTAGCTATATACGTGTGGCCATGTGAGAGCATTTCGAGAAAAAGAAATGACTCTCCTAACTCTCAGCCGTACCAGGTCATTTGAAGTTATCAATATTTATCTTCTATGAACACTTCATTTTAGGGCATAGCAACAAGATGATAATAATTTTTTTTTAAAAATACAAGTATGATGAAATTTGAAACTTTAAATGAAATCTTCAGTTAAAATCACACTTTTACATATAACATCTATTAAATGCTGAAGAGTTCCATATCAGGACGAAACAGTCGTTCAATGCTTTCAGCTTTTCCATGAATTGATTAGTTTCTAATAAATATATTGACTTGTAGAACAAATTTCATACTTTATCACTGGTTATAATAAGTTATTATTTAACTAGAGATAAGACTATAGTGTTTAAAGGGATACCCAATTGTAGTCAAAATATTATAAGAACATCAATATGAATATAAAATACAATTAGCTAACGAGTTCAAAATATAGAGAAATGAGAATTCCAATATGGAAATTCTAATAATCTTAAAACTATAGAATAAATGAATTCTTGATAACGATGAGATTCAGACACGCATGTATGTTATCATCGATTTGTTAGGAAAGGTATTTCTGTGTCTCAGATCTGACTCCATATTAGAAGATTACGTAGTCGAATCATGTTGGGCTCACCACTTTAATGGTTCGAATCTGTCTCCAATTACATTGTATGTTTGTTTGTTATTGAAATATACATATCGTCAATCCTCGTATATAATTATCGACTTAACTCACATTAGTGAATAGAACGGAATTAAATAAGCCGATTACGAGAATTGATGATATGTATATTTCAATAACAACCATTCATATAATCCAATTTGAGTCAAATATTGAAATACAAAAGTACATAATTCTAGTATCGATATAAATATAAAGATGCGGACATATCAATGCGAATTCAATAATAGGAAGGGATCTATGGTCTGGATTCTGTTGCTAGTCAAATCTCATCTATTGTATAATATGTTTACAGTATAGTTAACATTTAATTTAACTTTGCGCATATGTTTATGCTTGCGTTTCCTATGAATAGTTATTTCTATATTTCCATCATATTGATTAATATGTTTACTCTTTATTCTTTTTAATAAAACTGAAATAGTTTCAACAAATTATTGGATTGATTCAACTATTTATCATCAATCAAATAATACAGCAATTGATTGGGATGCATCATATGCTGATACGACATCATTAAATTATGCTACACTATCTACAAAATATTGTGATTTAGTAAGTGTATCTATTGTTTTTTACTTTTAATTTGTTTATTTAGATGAATACCTAGATGAATGATAATTTTTCCGTTTCGAAAATTCATATCTTGTCACTACCGTGGTTTTTCGATCTTTTTTTATAAATATTATTTATACTACTTATATAATTTAAGTAGACAAAGAAATTACTTATCATTTACAACGAATCTACATCTATCAGTATCAAAAACTAACTAGTATTGTTGAACAGAATCAAATGTAATGAAAGTATATAGAAAAACGTTTATTAAATATATATCTACTCATCTTTCCTGACAAACTTATTCTTGATAAAAATGTAGATTACACAAGTACTCTTTGCTCTAAGTGACTAAATAGTTAAGAAAAATGCTAATCTTACAATTTAAAATAAGAGCTTTTAATCTTGAAAATCTATGTCAGAATGGAAAACATCTAATAGCTTTTGTATACCAAATAAAATACTATTAAGTGTAAACTTCACTTCAAAATATGCGCATAACCTATTCAACCTTAAAGGGAAATTTAGAAAAGTTAAAATAATGAAAATATTAGTTTCTTTTGAAAACTTTTAATATGTTTTGTTGATGAGTACAAATTAAAATGGAGACCCGATCAAACAGGTTCCCTTACTAATTCCCTCTGTTTATCAAAATACAATGCTATGGGATCCTGTTTTAACTCCATTTTTGATAAAATCGTTTAAATAAACTCTACCGAATATGGTTGGAAGAATTCACATAATTACTGTTGCTGTATTTTGATATGAATAATTTGAGTAACAGCTAGTTGTACCACTATAACCATCTTGTTATATAGAAACAAGTATTCTTTTTGTAAAATTTAGTACAAATGAATAAAATATATGGTTTGCAACTAATAACAATACATCAGTCCTGAATTACATAAACTCCGAAAAAATGATTGAATGAAACTGAGCTACTGAATATAATTAAGTAGTCCAATTGTATAAACTAAAAGTACAAATCAGTTAGAGTGTTCAATATAATCGATATAAAATCATATTATTATTAATGGCTTTATTCAATATTACATTTTTGGTATACGATAGAACTCTCAGCACAAAGCATTTCAACGAGTTTCCATTTCTTATTTCTTGATGGATCCTGACGATAAATGTTAAGTGATCAGCAATTAGATGTTAGCAGTTTAGTCAATCGACACCTGATTAATGTATGTTCGTTTCGATACATATTGATAGCAACCGCGATATCTCTGATAGGACTCTTTTGTAAATTGTATAGCACAATGTCGTCAACATTTTACAAATGCACCTGAATAGGTTATACGACTAGTGTGCATAATGATGTGTTGAAACAAACAAGAAAACAGATAACTCCTTAAAATATTCAGATGTCAGGAAACAGGTAACTCAGACATTCAAACAGGCCACTTTGATCTTGATCATCTTGAATCAACATTTGGATTCACTTTATAATATTCATAATTATTTTAATCTATATTTTATATTCAACTTTTATAGATAATGAGAACTTTACAAAAAGCTGCCCTTACAGCGAATAAACAAAAATCATGTACTAAAGTGGTATTTACACCAAGACAAATATTAATTATCTGGGAAAAACGACAAGCTACAACTAATACATCATCGAATGTAGTTGGTGGGAACGCTACAATACAAATGAATACAACATCAGCTGATGTAGTTAATACAACTGACTTTTCTAATGCATTTATTACTACATATAATACAAGCACACAATCCAATGATACAATACAATTGTTTGATTTACAAGCTGGACGTAAGTAGTACATTTTCATACTGATTTACTTTAATATAATATTATATATATATATATATATATATATATATATATATATACATAGACAGATAGATAGATAGATAGATAGATAGATAGATAGATAGATAGATAGATAGATAGATAGATAGATAGATAGATGCGTGGATAGATAGATAGATAGATAGATAGATAGATAGATAGATAGATAGATAGATAGATAGATAGATAGATGCGTGGATAGATAGATAGATAGATAGATAGATAGATAGATAGATAGATAGATAGATAGATGCGTGGATAGATAGATAGATAGATAGATAGATAGATAGATAGATAGATAGATAGATAGATGCGTGGATAGATAGATAGATAGATAGATAGATAGATAGATAGATAGATAGATAGATAGATAGATAGATAGATAGATAGATAGATAGATAGATAGATAGATAGATAGATAGATAGATAGATAGATAGATAGATAGATAGATAGATAGATAGATAGATAGATAGATAGATAGATAGATGCGTGGATAGATAGATAGATAGATAGATTTAAATAACCAATTCCTATACTTTTATTTGAACAAATATAAGTAGTATCGACAACCATTATACAGATATCGAATGTAGAATTCAATGCACAAATTGGATCCATTCTCATCAGAATAAGTACTCGTATAAATCTGACAGAACATAAGCCCAGTGATTAACAATTGCTGAGAATATCGATTATGATGTAAACTATGTCACTTAAATATTTTTTAGATTTCAAGGAGTTGACTTCCTTTATTGATAATCGATTCAAAATTTTAAAAAAACTATAATCCACAACACCCGACACATCTATCAACAACGTCCACAACAACGTCCACCAGCATCACAACTACCAGTCACACTCAACGTTACCACTCTCCCAACACCTCAACACCGCTACCGCAACAACAACCACAACACCACTCCTCTCACAATCACACTCAACGCCACAACAACTTCCTCACACCGCATCACAATCTGCACCAATCGATGCAAGCACAACGCCAACTCAAACCAACCTCACAACTACAACTGGTCCAACTGCATCTACTGAAACTACTCCATCCCCGCTACAACCCACCACAACCACCATCCAAACATAACCACCATAAACTATATCCACAACACCCGACACATCTATCAACACGTCCACAACAACGTCCACCAGCATCACAACTACACCAGTCACACTCAACGTTACCACTCTCCCAACAACCCTCAACACCGCTACCGCAACAACAACCACAAACCCACTCCTCTCACAATCACACTAACGCCCACAACACTTCCATCACACCAGCATCACAATCTGCACCAATCGATGCAAGCACAACGCCAACTCAAACCAACCTCACAACTACAACTGGTCCAACTGCATCTACTGAAACTACTCCATCCACCGCTACAACCACAACCACAACCACCAATCCAAACATAACCACCATAACTATATCCACAACACCCGACACATCTATCAACACGTCCACAACAACGTCCACCAGCATCACAACTACACCAGTCACACTCAACGTTACCACTCTCCCAACAACCCTCAACACCGCTACCGCAACAACAACCACAAACACCACTCCTCTCACAATCACACTCAACGCCACAACAACTTCCATCACACCAGCATCACAATCTGCACCAATCGATGCAAGCACAACGCCAACTCAAACCAACCTCACAACTACAACTGGTTCCAACTGCATCTACTGAAACTACTCCATCCACCGCTACAACCACAACCACAACCACCAATCCAAACATAACCACCATAACTATATCCACAACACCCGACACATCTATCAACACGTCCACAACAACGTCCACCAGCATCACAACTACACCAGTCACACTCAACGTTACCACTCTCCCAACAACCCTCAACACCGCTACCGCAACAACAACCACAAACACCACTCCTCTCACAATCACACTCAACGCCACAACAACTTCCATCACACCAGCATCACAATCTGCACCAATCGATGCAAGCACAACGCCAACTCAAACCAACCTCACAACTACAACTGGTCCAACTGCATCTACTGAAACTACTCCATCCACCGCTACAACCACAACCACAACCACCAATCCAAACATAACCACCATAACTATATCCACAACACCCGACACATCTATCAACACGTCCACAACAACGTCCACCAGCATCACAACTACACCAGTCACACTCAACGTTACCACTCTCCCAACAACCCTCAACACCGCTACCGCAACAACAACCACAAACACCACTCCTCTCACAATCACACTCAACGCCACAACAACTTCCATCACACCAGCATCACAATCTGCACCAATCGATGCAAGCACAACGCCAACTCAAACCAACCTCACAACTACAACTGGTCCAACTGCATCTACTGAAACTACTCCATCCACCGCTACAACCACAACCACAACCACCAATCCAAACATAACCACCATAACTATATCCACAACACCCGACACATCTATCAACACGTCCACAACAACGTCCACCAGCATCACAACTACACCAGTCACACTCAACGTTACCACTCTCCCAACAACCCTCAACACCGCTACCGCAACAACAACCACAAACACCACTCCTCTCACAATCACACTCAACGCCACAACAACTTCCATCACACCAGCATCACAATCTGCACCAATCGATGCAAGCACAACGCCAACTCAAACCAACCTCACAACTACAACTGGTCCAACTGCATCTACTGAAACTACTCCATCCACCGCTACAACCACAACCACAACCACCAATCCAAACATAACCACCATAACTATATCCACAACACCCGACACATCTATCAACACGTCCACAACAACGTCCACCAGCATCACAACTACACCAGTCACACTCAACGTTACCACTCTCCCAACAACCCTCAACACCGCTACCGCAACAACAACCACAAACACCACTCCTCTCACAATCACACTCAACGCCACAACAACTTCCATCACACCAGCATCACAATCTGCACCAATCGATGCAAGCACAACGCCAACTCAAACCAACCTCACAACTACAACTGGTCCAACTGCATCTACTGAAACTACTCCATCCACCGCTACAACCACAACCACAACCACCAATCCAAACATAACCACCATAACTATATCCACAACACCCGACACATCTATCAACACGTCCACAACAACGTCCACCAGCATCACAACTACACCAGTCACACTCAACGTTACCACTCTCCCAACAACCCTCAACACCGCTACCGCAACAACAACCACAAACACCACTCCTCTCACAATCACACTCAACGCCACAACAACTTCCATCACACCAGCATCACAATCTGCACCAATCGATGCAAGCACAACGCCAACTCAAACCAACCTCACAACTACAACTGGTCCAACTGCATCTACTGAAACTACTCCATCCACCGCTACAACCACAACCACAACCACCAATCCAAACATAACCACCATAACTATATCCACAACACCCGACACATCTATCAACACGTCCACAACAACGTCCACCAGCATCACAACTACACCAGTCACACTCAACGCTACCACTCTCCCAACAACCCTCAACACCGCTACCGCAACAACAACCACAAACACCACTCCTCTCACAATCACACTCAACGCCACAACAACTTCCATCACACCAGCATCACAATCTGCACCAATCGATGCAAGCACAACGCCAACTCAAACCAACCTCACAACTACAACTGGTCCAACTGCATCTACTGAAACTACTCCATCCACCGCTACAACCACAACCACAACCACCAATTCAAATCTAACCACCATAACTATATCCACAACACCCGACACATCTATCAACACGTCCACAACAACATCCACCAGCATCACAACTACACCATCCACACTCAACGCAACCACTCCTACAACAACCCTCAACACCGCTACCGCAACAACAACCACAAACACCACTCCTCTCACAATCACACTCAACGCTACAACAACTTCCATCACACCAGCATCACAATCTGCACCAATCGATGTAAGCACAACGCCAACTCAAACCAACCTCACAACTACAACTGGTCCAACTGCATCTACTGAAACTACTCCATCCACCGCTACAACCACAACCACAACCACCAATCCAAACATAACCACCATAACTATATCCACAACACCCGACACATCTATCAACACGTCCACAACAACTTCCATCACACCAGCATCACGATCTGCACCAATCGATGCAAGCACAACTCAAACTCAAACCAACCTCACAACGACATCTGTTCCTACTTTCACTACGTCTTTGCTCGTTTGGTCATCCGTTTCTCTTTCCAGTAATTTTTCAGGTATGTATTATTAATTTTTCTTGCTTTCTCACGTTTTTATAAATTTTGTTTATTTTTTTGCCCATCACCTTTTACGTTTCATGCTGTTAAATTTTCTAGGTTGATATTGATTTCGCCCATGTTTTGTTAGCGTGTTCAGACATATTTTTCATAATCTCATCAGCAATCTCTTATGCATCCGTTGAATGTTATGTGTAGATTATCATCCATCTCTGTCTTTTTTTCCATGTAACATAGATTATCCATGTTGAGATCAATTAACTTTTAGATGATTTTCAGAAACGAGTTTAGTGTATTAATCATTTATAACTAGACTACTGTGGCAAACCTATAATCACTGAACACTCTGTTGAAATTAAACAATAATATCATTTGATACCGTCTCATTAATATGTGTTCGATTCCCGCGTGCGGGATTGTGGATACGTAATGCTGATATGTTTCATACTCGAACTAAACGGCGGTCCAATGCTTCCAGGTTTTATATGATGATCTAGCTTTGTTTGATTCATGAATTCAATTATTATAATTATTTATAGATCATTTACATTCAATATTTGTTGAATGTATATGACAATATTTACTATTATGTTATATACTTTTAAGTATTTATAAGTAGTATCTTGATGTAGAATATAATTATCAAATTCATTATATAGGTTATATCAATAACATCAATATCATCACTTAATCTTTAACCATGAAATATATTTATCTTTTGAGTGATTTGTTACTATGGACTTTTGTTTTGGTACAAATAATCCCGCCTCACATAAGCGGTCACTTGAAATAGTTTCCAATACTACAGTAATGCTTTTGATTGAGATCATGAACCAATGGATGTTGGACCACCGTTGGAAACTTGGAAGCACTGGACGGCCGTTTCGTCCTATTGTGGGGCTCCTCAGCAGTGCGCATCCATGATCCAGCAAGCGGGATTCGAACTTCAGTAATGCATGAAATGTGTTGTTGTTGTTGTTTTTCTGTTGTTGTATTACTTAAGAATTCAAGGTTGTTTTTGTTTTTTACAAATCATAATCTATGACATGATCATTTAACCATTTGATCACTATCTGGAATATTTATTTATTTATTTAAATACATAAATATTAGTATAAAAAGGCACTGAATACATATGCGTGGAGCAACGTCAGAAGATGCAGTACCATGATAGCCGATGATCAACAATTGGTTCATGAGCCATTTGTTCATTCCGGACACTGGAGCTCATGTGTACCAATGGTTTCGAATCATGGTTTTCCAAGTCTCCTAGCTGGATCCTCTATATCCACCAACATGGTTAGAGCTCCAGATATTCACTTTTCGTCCTCTCAATTTCGTAAACAACATCCCGGTCACGAGAAGGCAGTGAGTAGGTTTTTCCTGGCAGTGGCTGTATACTCATGACGATATGAGAGAATTTTTCGAGAGCGAGAGAGAGAGAGAGTTAACTCTTCCAACTCTCTGCCGTACCATGGTATTTGGAGGCACTATTTGGAATCATCAGTTTAGTTAATAATATGCTTATGTTTAAGTATAGAATTCTTAGCACAAAGTATTTCAACAAGTTTCCTATTTCTTATTTCTTTATCGATCCTGACGATCACTATTGACTGGTACCCAGTTAAATATTAGCAGTTCACGAATCGACATTTGAATAATAAGGTATATTCTTTTCAATGTATATTGCCATCAACCCTAATGACTCTGATTTTACTCTTTCCTAACTAATTATATTGTGCAATTATTTGACATAATAATCTTTTAAAACAAATAAAAGGCAGATAACTTATTGAAATATCTAGATGACAGGAACTGGTAGCCAAGATATTCAAGTAGGTCACCCATAAAGCCTAATCAAATACAGTTTAATGTAATAGAGATTCATAAACTGGATGGCAAGACTATAATTATGTACGAATCAGTCAGGTATAAGATAACAGGTCTCGGATTTTGGCATGAAATTCATTCATTCATTTGGCTAAATAAAAACTTCGCATTATAGCTGATGTCAGTTCACGATTATAACCCTAAATCTAGTTCTAAACCTTAACTCTATAAACTGTATATCATAATTCGAATTTCACACCCAGGTTTATAACTCTCATTTAGTCCTAGCGTTGTTCAAATGTTATCCATCAATTATAGTCTCATCAATTGGATGATTTGTAATGATTGAATGAATTTTAAGATGGTGGAGAACACTTCACTTCTGGCTGAAGTTTGTACTGATGATGATGTCATTCAAAAGAACCATGAAAGCCCCACTACCAAACCGTACAACTCAGAGAACAATACTCAATCAAAAATGAATTTTAAGTGATACAATTCACTATGAATTGATAATAGTTAAACAACTATCATAACATAAACAAGATTAAGAAATCATATCATTGACTAACCTTAAAAGTTACCATATTTCACATTTATTGTATTGAACGAAGATTTGGTTAGTGTAAATCAATTAGTTGTATTAAGCTTAATTATATTATTTTATTATTTATTTATTTGAACACATAAATATTGGTACAAGAGGGCATCAAATATATATGCGCCACACCATATTTGTGTGTGTGGGCTGTGATACTGCCCGGGTACCCAGACCAAAGCAGGTGGTTTTCTTAGGGGGCCACACCTCGAGCCTTTGACCTGAAGATCTGATCCACAAGGCAGTAGAGCATCGTGAGGAGATGCAATCCCATGGTAGCCGGTGATCAACGATTGGTTCATACGCCATTCTTTTACACAGGACACTGGAGCCCATATGCACCATTAGTTTGGAATCCAGTTGAAGCACCGGATATTCGCTTTTCGTCCTCTCATTTTCGTAAACAACACCCCCGCCACGAGAAGGCAGTGAGTAGGACTTCCCTGCCAGAGGCTGTAGAGGCGTGGCTATGTGAGAGCATTTCGAGATGGAGGGAGGGCCCACCTCACTCTCGGCCATACCAGGACATTTGGGGGCAATTTGTAAAATATAAGAAACTAATAAACAATACATTGAATACACCATTTACATATCTTCCTTGATTTATGTCCTACGAGTTGTATTGTTCTTTCATTTCTGTTCCTATTCAAACTGTTTCTCTTCTTCTTCTTCTTCTCGAGTTCTTCGTTCGTCAGTAAGAATCCTATTTTTCAAATTTTGATATATAATACTTATATCTGTCCGTATAAGTAGTACACACCACTAAGAATTATTCTAAACAACATTCATTTCTATCCAATTCATATCAGAATTAAGTAAATCTATCGATTCTCAGCTCTCTAAGCTAAGATCATGTATAGTATCTGATTTCATGTATATTGATTATATTGATTGTTATACTTAAGGAATTTGATAAGTGTTTTCAGTGTTATCGGTTGGTAAAAACATTAGGTAGAAGACTTTATCTCATAATTACGATTAATATAGACGACGGGATCATGGATGCGCACTGCTGAGGAGTCTCATGCAAGGACGAAACAGCCATCTAGTGCCTTCAGGTTTTCCATGGTGATCTAACTTCCATTAACTCATGACCTCAATTATTAAAATTATTATACATATTGTTCAATACCCTAATCATATGTTCATTGGTGAAATATTAAAATTGATCATTTATACTGTTTAACTAATCTCAGTTTGTGATGTTTATAATCCACATTATAACTAACTAAATGGTACATTATTATATATTGTGCACAAGACTTTCATCATTATTCACTCTGCATATTTGGTGGATAAATGAATTAAGGATCATGATTCAAAACATTTATGAAATGATGTATTCTCTTATTAGATAATTGAAACAATATGCTCTGATAATCATCACCTATTGTACTGAAAGAGAGTATACACTAACATTTATTTATGTCAGATCATATAAAGAGAGGTTATTTAGTGTCTACTATGTTCCATATTCGAACTTTGTCTTATCTATTTTGACTTTTGCAACCACTTAGTATATCTTTATTCTTTATTACGATGCACTGATGAGGGGTCTCATACTAGGACGAAACATTTATCTTGTGCTTTCAGGTTTTCCATGATGATCTAGCTTCAATTAACTCATGAACTCAACCATTCAACTTGTTTAGCGTGAGGTGCATTTCGACTGGAGAAGAGGTTGAACATATATCTTTCTTAAACAAAACTATTACTTCTAATGTTCGATGAATTTTTAACTAAGATAGGTTTTTCATGCATAAAAGACTATTGAAGATGTTTAACTTGTATTGGTAATAAGATCAGTTTTGACTTGATGGATAAGTATAAACTTGTTGATCCTGTTAACTACACTTTTGTTTAACTAAACTGAAAGGTGTTCACAAGCTCAAACATATATATGTTCCTGGATATATACGAATGTATTTAGTTCCACATGAGCGATTCAAATAATAAATACAAAAAGTGACTGCTAGTCTGGTGAGACTTTAGTGTGGCGTTGAGTCGCGGTTGACTATGATCACCACTACAGGAAGACTACGTGCCAGTTAATCGATAAGATCCCCCGTAGGTCAAATATCAGCAGGCCGTCGATGGCTGTAGTTGAGATGTATTTGTGGGCGATCTTGTGGTGTCGAAAGAACACTGAGATCGTGACAGGTTTCAACAGAAGAACGTACGTATTTTGGTACGGTTAAACAAACAAGCACGGAAAAACAATCCCTGGTACAATTGGTTATAATAATAATAATTTTTTCCATTAAACCAATCGCGTTCTCTTGATAAAAGTAGGTCACTACAAGACTATAATTTATGGACGACCTTTGAGTGACACTAAAGTGACCTTGAGAATGTCCACCTGTGAAGAGAATAATGAATATTTTCTGACTGAGCTCATGAATCGATTGGTGTTATACCACTAATGAAAACCCGGAAGCATTGAACGGCCATTTTCCCCATTATGGGAATCCTTGGCGGTGTGATAGCGGAATTTGAACCCAAGATCTTTGTCCTTGCACATGAACGCCTAACCTCTAGACCATTAAGATTACGTCTAAGGGTTTTAATGTCTAACCTCAACCAATCCACGAGATCACGCAACCATCTTGAGATAGATACCTGTCTTTACCTGATATGGATTAGCTCCACTGATCATGATTTCCTTGAAAAAAGATTATCATTTACAGTTGATGATTAGTGTTCGAAACTACATTTAGAGTTTTCACCAACAACTGACATCAGATATTATAACAAAACGTTAATAAATGAATTTCATGAATCAAATCTAAAACTTGTTATTTTAAACTTGATTGATTCGTTTATAAATGACAGTCATATCATTAGTCTTTATCGTTTATCTTTCAATATCAATCTTATTAACATTCCATACTCAATTATCTTATCAATGAACTGAAATTATATGACATCAAATATGAAACTAAAAAACAAGAAACAATACTAATATTAATAAAATGTCAGTTGGAGAATACTGATCATTGACTTATACTCCATTCGGAGTAACAAGGTATATGTCATTAAACGTAAAGTAAACTATTAAACCGATATGATTGAAAATAGATATCAAATACTTTGAAGTATACAAATATTGTTCTAAAATTAAGTCGATTCATGATCATACCAAAATAGATAATACAAAAACAACAAAAAAAAATTGGCAGAAAACAAAAATAAATAACAAATTAAGCAAATAAATAAAAATATTAATACAATGATATTCTTTCTCGAAACACTTAGATATAGTAAACACAACAACAGCTGAACAGATATCCACAACTGAAAGAATAAAAACGACAAAGAAAACAACGACTGACAATATATACATCGATATAGTAAACATATCAAATGCAATTGAATATGCATTATCGTTTAACATATCAGATAAATATCCATATATAACGCCATCGGCATCATTATTATTTAATTCAACGACAACAACAAATAACATGACAAATACAACAGGTCCAAATACATACACTCAAACCACACCATCCAACGAAACAAACACAACCACAACCACAAATCCAAACATAAACATCATCACTCTACCCACAACACACGACACATCTATCAACACGTCCACAACAACATCCACCAGCATCACAACTACACCATCCACAATCAACGCCACCACTCCTACAACAACACTCAACAGCGCAACCGAAAACGCTAACGCAACAGCAACTGCAACGGCAACCACAAACACCATTCCTCTCACAATCACACTCAACGCTACAGCAACATCCATCACACCAGCATCACAATCTGCACAAATCAATTCAAGCACAACGCCAACTCAAACTCAAACTCCAACAAACATCACAACTACAACTGCTCCAACTGCATCTACTCAAACCACTCCATCCACCGCATCAACAACAAACACGACCACCAATCCAAACATAACCACCATCATTCTACCCACAACACCCGACACATCTATCAACACGTCCACAACAACATACACCAGCATCACAACTACACCATCCACACTCAAAGCAACCACTCTCCCAACAACACTCAACACCGCAACCGCTACCGTAACTGCAACCGCAACCACAAACACCATTCCTCTCACAATCACACTCAACGCTACAACAACATCCATCACACCAGCATCACAATCTGCACAAATCAATTCAAGCACAACGCCAACTCAAACTCAAACTCCAACAAACATCACAACTACAACCGCTCCAACTGCATCTACTCAAACCACTCCATCCACCACATCAACAACAAACACGACCACCAATCCAAACATAACCACCATAACTATATCCACAACACCCGACACATCTATCAACACGTCCACAACAACATCCACCAGCATCACAACTACACCGTCCACACTCAACGCCACCACTCCTACAACAACACTCAACAGCGCAACCGAAAACGCTAACGCAACAGCAACTGCAACGGCAACCACAAACACCATTCCTCTCACAATCACACTCAACGCTACAACAACATCCATCACACCAGCATCACAATCTGCACAAATCAATTCAAGCACAACGCCAACTCAAACTCAAACTCCAACAAACATCACAACTACAACTGCTCCAACTGCATCTACTCAAACCACTCCATCCACCGCATCAACAACAAACACGACCACCAATCCAAACATAACCACCATCATTCTACCCACAACACCCGACACATCTATCAACACGTCCACAACAACATACACCAGCATCACAACTACACCATCCACACTCAAAGCAACCACTCTCCCAACAACACTCAACACCGCAACCGCTACCGTAACTGCAACCGCAACCACAAACACCATTCCTCTCACAATCACACTCAACGCTACAACAACATCCATCACACCAGCATCACAATCTGCACAAATCAATTCAAGCACAACGCCAACTCAAACTCAAACTCCAACAAACATCACAACTACAACCGCTCCAACTGCATCTACTCAAACCACTCCATCCACCACATCAACAACAAACACGACCACCAATCCAAACATAACCACCATAACTATATCCACAACACCCGACACATCTATCAACACGTCCACAACAACATCCACCAGCATCACAACTACACCGTCCACACTCAACGCCACCACTCCTACAACAACACTCAACAGCGCAACCGAAAACGCTAACGCAACAGCAACTGCAACGGCAACCACAAACACCATTCCTCTCACAATCACACTCAACGCTACAGCAACATCCATCACACCAGCATCACAATCTGCACAAATCAATTCAAGCACAACGCCAACTCAAACTCAAACTCCAACAAACATCACAACTACAACTGCTCCAACTGCATCTACTCAAACCACTCCATCCACCGCATCAAAAACAAACACGACCACCAATCCAAACATAACCACCATCATTCTACCCACAACACCCAACACATCTATCAACACGTTCACAACAACATCCACCAGCATCACAACTACACCATCCACACTCAACGCCACCACTCCTACAACAACACTCAACAGCGCAACCGCAAACGCTAACGCAACAGCAACCGCAACTGCAACGGCAACCACAAACACCACTCCTCTCACAATCACACTCAACGCTACAGCAACATCCATCACACCAGCATCACAATCTGCACAAATCAATTCAAGCACAACGCCAACTCAAACTCAAACTCCAACAAACATCACAACTACAACTGCTCCAACTGCATCTACTCAAACCACTCCATCCACCACATCAACAACAACCACAACCACCAATCCAAACATATTCACCATCACTCTACCCACAACACCCGACACATCTATCAACACGTTCACAACAACGTCCACCAGCATCACAACTACACCAGTCACACTCAACGTTACCACTCTCCCAACAACCCTCAACACCGCAACCGCTACCGCAACTGCAACCACAAACACCATTCCTCTCACAATCACACTCAACGCTACAACAACTTCCATCACACCAGCATCACAATCTGCACAAATCAATTCAAGCACAACGCCAACTCAAACTCAAACTCCAACAAACATCACAACTACAACTGCTCCAAATGCATCTACTCAAACCACTCCATCCACCGCATCAACAACAACCACAACCACCAATCCAAACATATTCACCATCACTCTACCCACAACACCCGACACATCTATCAACACGTTCACAACAACGTCCACCAGCATCACAACTACACCAGTCACACTCAACGCTACCACTCTCCCAACAACCCTCAACACCGCAACCGCTACCGCAACTGCAACCACAAACACCATTCCTCTCACAATCACACTCAACGCTACAACAACTTCCATCACACCAGCATCACAATCTGCACAAATCAATTCAAGCACAACGCCAACTCAAACTCAAACTCCAACAAACATCACAACTACAACCGCTCCAAATGCATCTACTCAAACCACTCCATCCACCGCATCAACAACAACCACAACCACCAATCCAAACATAACCACCATCACTCTACCCACAACACCCGACACATCTATCAACACGTTCACAACAACGTCCACCAGCATCACAACTACACCAGTCACACTCAACGTTACCACTCTCCCAACAACCCTCAACACCGCAACCGCTACCGTAACTGCAACCGCAACCACAAACACCATTCCTCTCACAATCACACTCAACGCTACAACAACTTCCATCACACCAGCATCACAATCTGCACAAATCAATTCAAGCACAACGCCAACTCAAACTCAAACTCCAACAAACATCACAACTACAACCGCTCCAACTGCATCTACTCAAACCACTCCATCCACCACATCAACAACAAACACGACCACCAATCCAAACATAACCACCATCATTCTACCCACAACACCCAACACATCTATCAAAACGTTCACAACAACGTCCACCAGCATCACAACTACACCATCCACACTCAACGCCACCACTCCTACAACAACACTCAACAGCGCAACCGAAAACGCTAACGCAACAGCAACTGCAACGGCAACCACAAACACCATTCCTCTCACAATCACACTCAACGCTACAGCAACATCCATCACACCAGCATCACAATCTGCACAAATCAATTCAAGCACAACGCCAACTCAAACTCAAACTCCAACAAACATCACAACTACAACTGCTCCAACTGCATCTACTCAAACCACTCCATCCACCGCATCAACAACAACCACAACCACCAATCCAAACATATTCACCATCACTCTACCCACAACACCCGACACATCTATCAACACGTTCACAACAACGTCCACCAGCATCACAACTACACCAGTCACACTCAACGTTACCACTCTCCCAACAACCCTCAACACCGCAACCGCTACCGCAACTGCAACCACAAACACCATTCCTCTCACAATCACACTCAACGCTACAACAACTTCCATCACACCAGCATCACAATCTGCACAAATCAATTCAAGCACAACGCCAACTCAAACTCAAACTCCAACAAACATCACAACTACAACTGCTCCAAATGCATCTACTCAAACCACTCCATCCACCGCATCAACAACAACCACAACCACCAATCCAAACATAACCACCATCACTCTACCCACAACACCCGACACATCTATCAACACGTTCACAACAACGTCCACCAGCATCACAACTACACCAGTCACACTCAACGTTACCACTCTCCCAACAACCCTCAACACCGCAACCGCTACCGTAACTGCAACCGCAACCACAAACACCATTCCTCTCACAATCACACTCAACGCTACAACAACTTCCATCACACCAGCATCACAATCTGCACAAATCAATTCAAGCACAACGCCAACTCAAACTCAAACTCCAACAAACATCACAACTACAACCGCTCCAAATGCATCTACTCAAACCACTCCATCCACCGCATCAACAACAACCACAACCACCAATCCAAACATATTCACCATCACTCTACCCACAACACCCGACACATCTATCAACACGTTCACAACAACGTCCACCAGCATCACAACTACACCATCCACACTCAACGCAACCACTCCTACAACAACACTCAACACCGCAACCGCTACCGTAACTGCAACCGCAACCACAAACACCACTCCTCTCACAATCACACTCAACGCTACAGCAACATCCATCACACCAGCATCACAATCTGCACCAATCAATTCAAGCACAACGCCAACTCAAACTCAAACTCCAACAAACATCACAACTACAACTGCTCCAACTGCATCTACTCAAACCACTCCATCCACCGCATCAACAACAACCACAACCACCAATCCAAACATATTCACCATCACTCTACCCACAACACCCGACACATCTATCAACACGTTCACAACAACATCCACCAGCATCACAACTACACCATCCACAATCAACGCAACCATTCCTACAACAACCCTCAACAGCGCAACCGCAAACACTACCGCAACCGCAACTGCAACGGCAACCACAAACACCATTCCTCTCACAATCACACTCAACGCTACAACAACATCCATCACACCAGCATCACATTCTTCACCAATCAATTCAAGCACAACGCCAACTCAAATCAAACTCCAACAAACATCACAACTACAACTGCTCCAACTGCATCTACTCAAACCACTCCATCCACCACTACAACCACAACAACGACCACCAATCCAAACATAACCACAATAACTATATCCACAACACCCAACACATCTATCAACACGTTCACAACAACGTCCACCAGCATCACAACTACACCATCCACACTCAACGCAACCACTCCTACAACAACCCTCAACACCGCAACCGCTACCGTAACTGCAACCGCAACCACAAACACCACTCCTCTCACAATCACACTCAACGCTACAACAACATCCATCACACCAGCATCACAATCTGCACAAATCAATTCAAGCACAACGCCAACTCAAACTCAAACTCCAACAAACATCACAACTACAACTGCTCCAACTGCATCTACTCAAACCACTCCATCCACCACTACAACAACAACCACAACCATCAGTCCAAACATAACCACCATCACTCTACCCACAACACCCGACACATCTATCAACTCGTCCACAACAACATCCACCAGCATCACAACTACACCATCCACAATCAACGCAACCATTCCTACAACAACCCTTAACAGCGCAACCGCAAACGCTACCGCAACCGCAACTGCAACGGCAACCACAAACACCATTCCTCTCACAATCACACTCAACGCTACAACAACATCCATCACACCAGCATCACAATCTGCACAAATCAATTCAAGCACAACGCCAACTCAAACTCAAACTCCAACAAACATCACAACTACAACTGCTCCAAATGCATCTACTCAAACCACTCCATCCACCGCATCAACAACAAACACGACCACCAATCCAAACATAACCACCATCACTCTACCCACAACACCCGACACATCTATCAACACGTCCACAACAACATACACCAGCATCACAACTACACCAGTCACACTCAACGCAACCACTCCTACAACAACACTCAACAGCGCAACCGCTACCGCAACTGCAACCACAAACACCATTCCTCTCACAATCACACTCAACGCTACAACAACTTCCATCACACCAGCATCACAATCTGCACAAATCAATTCAAGCACAACGCCAACTCAAACTCAAACTCCAACAAACATCACAACTACAACCGCTCCAAATGCATCTACTCAAACCACTCCATCCACCGCATCAACAACAACCACAACCACCAATCCAAACATATTCACCATCACTCTACCCACAACACCCGACACATCTATCAACACGTTCACAACAACGTCCACCAGCATCACAACTACACCAGTCACACTCAACGTTACCACTCTCCCAACAACCCTCAACACCGCAACCGCTACCGCAACTGCAACCACAAACACCATTCCTCTCACAATCACACTCAACGCTACAACAACATCCATCACACCAGCACCACAATCTGCAAGCATCTATTCCAATACGTCTCAGCCTTCCATTCTGCTCAGCAGTACATCTGTTTCTACTCTCTCTTTATCTGTGCTCGTTAGTTCATCATTTTCTCTTCCCAATAATTTTTCGGGTAAGTCCATATTATTTTGCTTTTCTTCATTGTTTTGTAGTTTTACTTTCTATATTTTTACAACCTCAGGTTTTGTTTTTTCCCCTTTTAGTTTTTGCAGGTTGATTTTTTTTGTCGTTGTCACTGTTTCTTATTTCGTTTATGCATTCTTTAAATCTCATGTGTATTTGATGACTTCAAGTAAAAAAATTATTATACATATTGTCCAATACCCTAATCATATGTTCATTGGTGAAATATTAAAACTGATCATTTATACTGTTTAACTAATCTCAGTTTATGATGTTTATAATCCACATTATAACTAACTAAATGGTACATTATTATATATTGTGCACAAGACTTTCATCATTATTCACTCTGCATATTTGGTGGATAAATGAATTAAGGATCATGATTCAAAACATTTATGAAATGATGTATTCTCTTATTAGATAATTGAAACAATATGCTCTGATAATCATCACCTATTGTACTGAAAGAGAGTATACACTAACATTTATTTATGTCAGATCATATAAGGAGAGGTTATTTAGTGTCTACTATGTTCCATATTCGAACTTTGTTTTATCTATTTTGACTTTTGCAACCACTTAGTATATCTTTATTCTTTAAAACAATGCACATTTACCTGATTAGTGGTTTTATTAGAAATTTCATTTTTATTCAGTCCCAGCAGTGTTTCGATGACTTCATTGCTTCCGATGTAACTCAGGTTTCACGAAGAGGTGTCATAACTCTTCTAAATGAAGACTTCCTAACTCCCAGGGCAGAGTTTTAATGGTTTGACTTAGATTTTCTTATTAGCGTTTTTTAGCGAGCTATTTTTCGATGGGATTATGTCACTAACCCCATGCCAAACCGTCCTGCTTTATACGGGCTCGGAACTGGCCTCATAGGTGCTGTAGGCGGAGTTAAATACATATAACCTTATTATTAAGCATTAAAGTGATAATATTTCATAATGGTTGATCCGATCAATATAGTGAAACTTTCAATCAAGAAATTCAACTAATCAATTTCAGTCATTAAAATAAAAATAACAAGAAAATATCAAGGAAAATTACATCAATCAATGAAAACAATGTTGGAATGATGATAATACTGAAGACCCAGTAATTAATGTCTATTTTCTTTCCTTCTTTTATTTTAAAAGAAAGAAAGAATTCACTAAAGCAATATTCTGATAAACAAGTTTTAATCATGCAAGTGAAATTACTGTTAACAATCTTTAATCCTACTTCTTTTATGCTTTATGCACGTTAATCTCAGTCAAGGTGATAGATTTTTAGTATACATAGATATATTACTTATATTACTTATGAGTAGTCGAAAAGTATACGCCAAATCTATTCATGATATCAAGCATGTGGTTTTTATTTGTTTGACAGAAAAATTGAGTGATATGCTTATAAGACTTGATGATGTATTAAAATTCTAAATAGATTTGTTGTAAGTTGAATAATATCATTCTTGTTAAACTGATTTTAAATATTAATTCATTGATGTTTAGGATCGCAATTGATCGATCTCTTGTTGGTATATGTGTATTCTGTTCGGATTGCCTCGATATTGCCTTAATTCACAAGCTTTATAAGCAAAGTAAAGTAATTCAGGATGTACGCTACTTCCTCCTAGTTGGGACTCGTCAGCTGGATAGACCTGCACCAATTGCAGTCCTAAACAACAATGGGAAGATAAAAGTAAACAATACCAAATGAATTTAAACTTCATCTTATTGAACAAGCATGTGACTATTAGGACTCATTAGCTAAGTGGACAACGTGATGATGTTTGGGGCGAACAGCATTGTATTTGAGTCTCTGAGTGAACATCAACTCTTGAATGAAGATGTATGAAGTGGCACGCGTCCCGGATTACACTGCTAACCACCATCTATCACTCATTATGATGCTTATGACTTCATGCAATATCAAGGTAATTTGTATAGGATGTATATATGCCAATTAGAAATTGATCAATTATAGTCCTGAACATCAATGGGAGGATTCGAACAACCAATGAAAATTTAGTATTATTATAATTATTATTATCCAGTCAAGTGATTGAGGAGTGTTCGTTCCGTTTCGATGCCGGTGACAACAAACAATCATTGTATATGCACCAGAAATGGATTTTCTAAAATATTCTGAACTATGGCAACAGATTTATTGATGTGGTCAGTTGTCTAATTTAAGCATATTGAATTGGAGAGTATTTGAGATAAAATATTGAATCACATAATTTATGTGCTTGGCCTAACAGATACATAATTAGACTACTGGATTAGATTATTATCTCTTGTTAAAACATTAGTAATGAAAACAATCTAGAGAAAAGTATGATTTAGACTGAAGCTATATCATTTGCATTATCTGTGAATTGTTCATTATCTAATTGTAACAATATGTTTTACCTTAAACCAGGGGAAATTATACCTACTACTCCTGCTCCTCCTACTAATACTACGACTACTACTCAGTCAACGACAAAAACAACAACAGTAACAGCACAACCACAGGTAGACGTGTTATCGACGACGACGACTACAACAACAACAAAATCGTCTGACACAACAACACCAGCCTATGATGGAGTACCTACATACAGTTTTGTTGAATTTTCTCTGGCAACGAGACCGTCAACAGCAATCGCACCGGTTATGCTACCACTCGGTTAGTTAACTTGTACAATTTTATCTATTAAGAACTGTTTAAAATAATATTTATGTCAACTGACTGAAATAGATGAATAAGATAGCATGACCGGGATAATAATAATAATCGATGATTTGTTCTGTTTGTTGACAATAGTCTCTTCATTGAACATTTGAAAGAATTATATTTTCTATTGATCGTTGAAGCAAAGAAACGGGCAGTAAATAATAAAAACTGCCAACTCTGAAAAATGCTATTCCTCTTTCCGATGCCTACCTTTATTGATATCACTTTTTCTTATGATTGTACCTGTTAATGCTCGAACTTTTAGTGTGAACCATTAAAACTATATGATTCTAGTCAGCTAGTCACTAACTTGATAAAAATGACTATCAGTTTACTCAATTACACCTTGTTATAACTTGTAGCCTGTATGCCCTGTTAATCTATACATAATGATACCGCCAATTTGAGAGCAGTGAATTATCATCGGACCAATGACACGTAAAACCTGTAGGAGCAGTCTAGAGTACTTATCGGTCCTGCTTCTTGCATAACCCAACCAGTTAAATCCAGAACACCAATCAAAGCCTCTGAGAAATGAATCATTTATTTCAAACATACTGGGTTTATATACCAGACAGACAGACCACATCGTACCATAAAATAGGAAACAATATCTGTATAAGATTTAGCCAAATGCAGCTAGCCAAAAGTGTCTGTGAATGTGGGAGATAATAATTGATAGACAGGGCATAACTCAAGAATGGTAAATGGTATAATAATAGTTCATAGATCAAAATAAAGCTTGTGATAACAGGGACACGGATATGAATAGTTTAGTTACATAACAATTATGCGATAAAAATATGCGCATAGTATGAGTCCATAAATAGATTCCAACAGTTACCATTCATTATGATTATAGGGACATAACACACCTGTTACCTTTCGTGAAACTTAGGTTCCTTATCAGGAATCTCCTAAATAATCTGTTCTAGCCACTTTTATCCAATTGTTTCCAACTACTATAAACTACTAATATTTGAATTCGATTTTGTATTGATTATTCAAATCTTACCACTGATTTGTCTCTAATTGGTATATGTGTATTCTGTACAGATTACCTTGATATTGCCTTAAGTCATAAGCATTATAAAGGTAAATACATGATAACTAGTAGTGAAATCCAAGATGCATGCACTATTTCATCTTATTTAAGATTTATCATCTAAGATATACCTTCATCCCACAGTTGATATTCACTTCAGGACTCGAACCCAGAAACAGTTTATGATAACAAATTTTAAAATGTTCCATCATTATTTCCTATTTCATTTCAATTCTATTTCAGTTTCTACTAAATTCAATGTTAAATCAAATTTATATAATCAAGTTAATGATACACCAGTTGAATGGATTGAAGAATATGCCAATACAAGTTCACCTGGTTATGCTAATTTAAAATCAAAATATTGTGATTTAGTATGTTTAAGTCTTTAATAACAGTCTCTCTCTTTTCTTTGTATTTCATCATGTTCTTTTTTTTATATTTTATTGTACTATACATAGTTACGTAACTGATTACTTTCAGATGATTTACCTATAACGTGAACATCATTAGGGACAATCAAATGTTGGTCTCCAAGATGTATATCCTGAAGTTGTAGTGAGAAACCGTGACCAGTGGAGTTCAACCGGGTCTGTTGTAAGATAGTAAATCACTGACGATAATGGTGAACGGTGGAGCGACTTCATGGATTGGTTGAAGTTAAACATTACCACTGTTGTATACCAGTCTGTTCAATGGTCTAGTGGTTAAGCGCTTACACGCGAGACTGATAGGTCCTGGGTTTGAATCTCACGAGGTGGGATCGTGAATGCGCACTGCTGATAAGTCCCACCAGTAGGACGAAACGACCTTAAGATTCGAATAATCAATACTGAAATGATTTAAGTTATATAAGAGGTTAAGCTCTGATGAGTTCTTTAGTCCTGATCTGATTCTATTAGTATAATTAATTCAACACTACATGTCCAATTATGGAAGATAGTCGGTGGACAAACTTTGCACTGAGTGTCATGTGATTTCTAAACGTTTCAGTCCTACAGAATTTCATTTACAACATGGATGTCTCAGTAGTTATATCATAGACTGTGAAGCTGTTTAGTTGAGACCTTGATCCACTAGGAAACATCGGTTCCTTCAAGGCTTCTACATTCAACAGGCCAATATCAAATTGAATAAGTCTGAATAACTCATCAGTTTACTTAATAAATTTGTGATTTTGTAATTGAGTCATTTCCAAACTGACAAAGATTCGAATTAATTCTATTGATCAGTCTTAAATAATAAGATATCACAAATGACCATCACTCATAATCCTTTGAAATATGTTCTTAGAAGGATTATGTAAAAAAAGAGAATTTACAAACTTAATGATGAATTCCAAGATTTCAAAAATGAGAAATAATGGAATGTTACTAATCGCGTCCTAATTCTGATAGTAATTTACTATTGTACTTACAACATTATTGACAATATACATCACAAATCTCCAATCATCTTTCTATTAGACGCTAATATACCCATTGGCTTTCATTATTACTATATTTGATCCCAATCTCTGGGGTGAACAAACTTTAAAAGTTCTTATGCTTAATGTTTTAATCGTATTGTTTCTTTTTTTTCTCCCTGCTTTTGAAATATATATTACTAACAACGTTAGTTAACATACTACTTAAAACAAGGTGATAGTAATGCAGCAGATGGTGCAAGTTGTGAACAAGTGACTTTTACACCAGTAACTAGTACTAGACCAGATGGTACAGTGATACGAAGTGTAGTAGGTGATACAACGATTAATGTACCGACAACAACAGGAACACAATTAACGGGTAATCAACTTTATGGATTATTTATAAATGGATATAATAAAACTAGTACAGCACCATCATCTATTAAACTAAATGCATTAGATGTTCAACGTAAGTAAAATCATTTAATTCTATGTGTTATATTTCTGTTAAAATGAGTCTTTATTTGTCATTGAGATTCATATCCTACTCAGTCAGTTCGTTAGTTGCTATGCAGAACTTGGTACATATGTATATCCGCTCAGATTATTCTACTCCATTAATACAATGAGATGAAATTGTCAAAACTAATCCCAGAGCGGCAAAGACAGTAGTAGTAGTAGTATTATTGGTAATCAAAAATATTAAACACTCAAAATTCAATATAAGAAAAAAGTATAGATTAATGAAATAATGATAGAAGTTTATGAGGAATTAAGAAACTTAGGATCCAAAAGAAAATGAATAAAAGATTACCGTAAATGTATCTGAGACATTGTGGACGATTTTCAGCTATGTCACTCAAAGTCTCGAACCATTGGTCACGAGAAACACGTAGATCCTATGGAGGTAATATGTGTCTACTTACTGTTGGAGCTACTTATATCATCATTATATATTGAATAGATAACTTTATTGTTGTGTTTCTATGTTGTTGTTCTTACTGTAATTGGATTGCATTATATATTTTCCTGGTAGCTAATAACTTCTAGCTAATCATGTACCTTTTGCTCTAACCTCTACCGTTTATGGTATGGTTGTATTAAAGATGTGGTTCTTATTGAGTAATAAATGAATGGAATACAATGGACAACTAATCAGCTTACTATTATCGTTTACGGATAGATTATAAGAGACTGGAGTACCAAAAAGCATTTAAGCCTTGATTATGGTTCATTGGTTGATGTGTTTATTCTTGAAATAGTAGGTTACTGGTTTGACTGGGAATATAGTATATGATATTGTTTAGAATGTTCAACCATAAGAAATTAGCGTTCCTAATAACGTCCAACCAAACAGTCACGTTCAAATCAATCGACTGAATTGAATTGCATACTTTACTTCATAAACTATACTTCGTTAGACAATCACTGGAACACATGAAGTACCCTAGACTAGGGAATCGTCATCAATATAGATAAATAACCTCACTCTAGATCAAACCCAGGAATCACAGGCCTGGTAGCAAGTGTTTAACATCTAGACTACTGAGAAAAAATCAAACTTTACATTTCTCACTTCAATCAATTTGCGATATTGTACAACTAATTTCTAATATCATCATTGACTGATTGTATAATATTCGATATGACCGAAATCTACTTCTTACAGTTTCACATTAGAACACTAGGAATTGATTCTTGAAATATACCGATAATTATCATTAGTAAAAATGGTTTTGTGTAAGTGTTGAATTCATGATGCAAAGTATAAAAATCAAAATTCTTCATAGACCCTTTATATTAATAAGTTTAAATGTGGAAATTAACTATTAATTACTGAAATTGATGTGTGAATAAGGTAAATAACAATTGATCATTTGTTTAGTCAGATCAGCAGAGATGGTCTGATAGATGTTAGATGAATTATATATTCTCCTATCCTTATTATTAGTGTGATTGTTGTTGGGTTTTGGTGTGGAGGCATACTTACGTTCTAGTCAGCCTAGTCATGTATTCTTGATCTAAATTACGTTGAAGTACTGTAGAATAGAAAATGGAAGGGTATGTAGTATAAATATTGGTCTATAGGAAATTAACGTCCTATTCATGTAGACGAGGAAACTTAAGCCTGTTACTCCTCATGGAGAAGCATAGGCCGCTCACCACCATTCTCCATCCAACCCTGTCTTGGGCAATCCTTTCCAGCTCTTTCCAGTTGTTATTCATCCTTTCCATATCTGATTCTATTTCCCGATGTAATGTGTTTTTTGGCCTTCCTCTTTTCCGCTTCCCTTCAGGATTCCAAGTTAGGGCTTGCCTCGTGATGCAGTTTGATGATTTCTGTAAAGTATGTCCTATCCACTTCCAACAACTTTTCCTAATTTCCTCTTCAGCTGGAAGTCGGTTGTAGACAAAGAAAACAGAGTATTATAACACAGATAATTTGTTTTTAATCAATCTAAAACTTTGTCAAGCAAAACTATCAAACTGGTATACTTTGTTTTCATTTGAGTTATAACATTTCGCAATATTGATTTTGTCCTTTATTAAAAACACTTACTATAATAGGCACCTCAGGTACAGTTACATGTTCACAATTTACTAATCCATGTGGAGAACATGCCACATGCCGTGATTCTCCTCCAGGAATTACTTGCTTTTGTAATTCTATGTGGAAAGATATGAATCCAAATGATCCTGGAAAACAATGTGTTTGTAAGTATTACAGATTTGATTATTCATATTATATATCTAAGTATTTTTGAATCCAAGTTAATTTTGTTAAGTTGATTGTTTCCCATTTAAAAACACCGATTGAAAGCATAACATAAAAATATATATAATATTTGATTAACATTGATATGTGACCAATGAAAATCTGGAAGCACTGGACGGCCGTTTCTTCCTAGTGTGGGACTCCTCGGCAGTGTGCATCCACGATCCCGCCCGCGGGATTAGAACACAGGACCTCCGGTCTCGTGCGCGAACGCTTAATCTCTAGACCACCGACTCGGCATCCGACAGTGTTAATGTCTAACCTCAACCAATCCACGAAATCGCGCGACCATCTTCCATTTTACTGAGGTAGATGCTTGTCTCTACCTGGCATGGATTAGCTCCACTGATCAATTTTCAATGCAAGCAAGATATTTAGCATTTTTCGACCACTTTCCGTTCATTTAGCGTGTCACTGTTATGTAACAGAGTAATTTTCAACGGAGACTTAATTTTCACCATCTAAAGTTAACTACATATTTTCTACTGTAAACAGTCTGCTGTAGTGCATCCCAATCTGCTGTTTTCAAAAAATCAAATGAAGCGAAAGTTAGGGCATGAAATGAAGTCTTCAATGAAAATTATTCTTCTATAGGGTAACATTTACTCATTAAGTTAATGGGAAAATGCTAGATCTTCCACATTTATTGAACATTTTGAGGCAGATACGCTATCAGTTCACAGGTATGTATCCTGATACACATTGCCAAGTCAAATAACACTCAATTGTTTCAGATATACATTGTCTTAATGACCTTGGATGGTCATTGAATGAACGCACAAATAATAAATACAATGATAAATTCCTTGAGCTGTATAGAACTGATATTTTGATAACCTCAATCTTTCACCTACTATATAGCTTATTATCTCATCAGTTATAAATTAAAAGTATGTGATCATTACCATTAGAATTAACAACCGAAATCGGACAGAGTAACCTGATTCCTGGAGTTGTATTTGATCAGTAATTCGGTTGTGTGTACTGAAATCATTGATATCAAGAATTTGGACAAAAGATTTTCCAACATTTTCTTACCAGTTACCCATTCAGAAGTATCTTTTTCAACCTGGAAACGTATAAGGAGTATGTTTGACGCTCGTTTCTTAACTATGATTCTCTCTTTGACACTATACCAAGACCACTAATACTTCATAAGTTTTCCATCGTTAACACTGACAGCTGGACATACCGACACACTGTGTTCTTACGTGTCTGGAAAAGAACAGTACATTGTACTTTGAGGAAAGTGTTCAATGTCTTTACTAATTCAATAAGGTGTGCCACAAGGAGCATCGTTCGAAACTGATACGTAGATATTCTATACGCAAGACCTATTCGTTTGCTGAATGAGAAGGCTAAAAGTCAAGGGAGAGACTCATTCAGCTAAACGAAATCAAATGCAAAAGAGCTCGTTTATGTATGTATATATATATATTCCTTAGAAGATAAAACCACTTATTGGTCAATAATATGAGCTTTTCATTAGCACGGCATGCCTTTTTCATTTGCTAACTTTTGATTAACACATTTTCTCAGTTACTTTATTTGTTCAAAATGAACTTCATGTAAGTTAACTAATGATTGAAACTCATTACTAGCTTCCCTTCTTTCAATTGTCAAGGGAACAATGCTCAGATGTTAAACATGTTACCATTTAGACGTTGTTGTTTATTTTATTTCACTCATGATCTGTAAACTGTTGAGCCGACATTCAACTATATTAATGTTTAACTTCAATGAATTCAAGATATTGCGTAACCTTCACTCATTACCTGAGGTGAATAACTATCTGACACACAAAACGGACTGGCTTCTCAGTAGAAATACAGGAGTAACCTATTGTTCAACTAACTCATATCATACAAATAATTCATTAATGTCTTTGTATTTTGATAGAAAGTAATTTAACATAATGATGTCAAATTGAGATTTCCAGTCATTTGTAGCGTGGCGTCGAGTTGAATTGACTATGAACACCGCTACAAAGGATCGCGTGCCAAACAAATCAGAAGCCGAAGGTTGAATGTAACCAAATAAATCCATAAAATCCCCGAGAAGCCAAATATCAGAAGGCAGTTAATTGACCAAGTCGAGATATATTTGCTGGCGATCTCGTGGTATCGAAAGGATACAGAGATCGTGCCATGATACAAGCTTGTTTATAGAACGTAACCGAATTCACGCGGAGTCACAATCAAAGTGTAAGAATAAGAATGGAAGCACAATATAGCTGTCATTAGCACAGTCAAACAAAAAGCACATTAAAACAAACACTGGTACAGTTGGTTATAATAATAATTGTTTTTATTAAACCAGTCGTGTTCTCGTAATAAATGTGAGTCACTACACATTAATCAGACTGATCTTAGTTGGGTCAGCGTTAAAAACCAAAGAACACTTGGGATCTATTATGACTTGTGGTGTTCAGATATGTCAGAAGTGAAATTATTGTATTACCGATGGTGTTGACTGACTGTAGCACACATCACAGATTGACTATGGATGTAAGTGTACATGTGGTTGAAGGTTCGCTACGAGACATAGGGGTCCTGAGTTTAGTTCTTGAAAGGATCATAGATGCATATTGTTCAGGAATCTCATACTAATACGAAATAACTAACTATCCAGTATTTAGTTATTTGAAATTGAATGCAGATATCAAAAGAGTTATTAGCACTTAGAAATAACCGAAAAGTAGAACTTAGGACAGAGTGGGTTAAAGATTCCTGATAAGTGGGTTATGTTACACAAAGAGTTACAGATGTAAGTAGGTAGTCAAGTAAAACTTGGCAATTTACAAGACTATCTCCAATTCCGATTAGCCTATGATGAATACAATCTATATTATTAAAACTTAACTATTATGTAATATGATCTAATCTATGTAACTAAAATAGAATTACTTATTTTTTTATATTTTATATTTTCATTGTAGTACATCCAGCTGCAATTGCATTAATTGTTTTAGCATCATTACTGTTATTGGCTGCATTGATCTTATTACTTATTTGTTTATTACGTAGACGTCGACGAAGGAATAGTTCCATTTTAGCATCAACTGATTTAGCAACATTGAATAAATTAAAAGAAACTAAATCATGGAGATCAAAGTTAGATAAAAATAAAATTCAACTTGATGGAGATCAGTAAGTGTTCTGTATGAATAGGAAATAGATATATATAGATGGGTGTGATTATTTTTTTCTAGAGAGATAGAGTTACGCCTATTACTCCTTGTGGAGGAGCATAAGCCTCCCACTAGCACTAATTATTTTTTCTGGTTAGTGTTTTTTAACGAGTTAGTTTTCTATGGGATGTAGTCGCTAACTCCATGTCCAATCCTCCACTTTTACCCGAGCTTGGAACCGGCAGTAACTCTAGAAGAGCTACAGGCGGGATTGATTACTTTTTCTAGCTTACAGATAATAAATGATGTGACATATGATATCCGACACTTGGATTACTCTAATTCAAACACAATTGAATTCATGAGTCAGTTAAAACTAAACCATCATGGAAAACTTGAAAGAACTAGACGACCGTTTTGTCCTAGTAAGGCACTTTTTAGTGGTAGTGCGCATCCACGATCTCGCTCGCAGGATTCGGACCCAGGGCGTATAGGCCTCGCACGCGAACATTTATCCTCTAGACCACTGATTCGGCCAGCATCCAACATTGTTAATGTTATCTTCAACCAATCCAGGATATTGTGAGACCATCCACCATTGTCTTCATTGAATTATTATCTCATGACAGACCAGGTTGAACTCCATTGGTCACGGCTTCTCACTAGAACTCTAGGAAATAACTCTTTCTTATTGAGTTCTACAATTATATATCCAACTTAATAATCCATAAAATTGTCTAGGTCCTAGGCAAAGTACATATAAAATTGTAACATGTGAATCAAGGATTGTTTGCCATCGTTATTGTTAGGATGACTATATAAAGTGTTAACTTGAATCAGTTTATAAGTGAAATGAATGATCAGAATAAGTACGGTCAACATGGGGTGAGAGAGAGAATAGTGTAATTACAAATCAAAAATTACGTAATACGTAGAATAAGATAGATTAGGCAAGAATTGATGTATGACAACTTGAACATACTGTGGGAGAGAACAAACCAGATTCCAGTGGAGGAAGAAATCAGAAAGAAGCAGTGGAAGTGGATAAGACACAGATTGAGGAAAACACCGAACTGCGTCACAAAGCAAGCCCTCACATGAAACCCTCAAGGCCAAAGAAGAAGAGGAAGACCAAAGAACACATTAAGTCGAGAAATGGTGACAGACATGAGAAGAATGAACAACAATTGTATAGAAGTGTAAAGGAAGGTCCAGGACAGAGTGAGTTGGATAATGGTGGTCGGTGGCCTATGCTCCATTGTGGGTAACAGGCGTAAGTAAATAAGTACGTAAGTAATTAATATTACCTCGATTAACGAGACGAAATTCCCCTACTATGTATTTTATTCACATGATTTATTGTATTATTATAATATTGAGAACAACTTGACACTTTATTACGAAGCATTCTGATCCCTATTAAATGACCTTTCTAAATTATAAATAACACAACATTGAAGTACTTATACTGTATTATATGATAAAGTTCACAATTTTTTTACGCATAATTCCTTGACGTATCCCTTATTTTGGCTGTCGAAAGTTAATATATTGACCTAACATTGATCACTTCATGAAACTATGCTTCACTAGATGTTTGTAGAGTAGTTTTAAAACGGATACTAACCGCTTTGCCACAGTATGATAAGAGGAATCGTGCATGTCCAAAATTAGTCTCAAAGGGATATTCGGTTTGTGTACCTTCAGTAGTTCGTCTATCCTAGCGAAATAGGTAACTATCGGCTTAACGTATCGTGTTAACAGCAGTTTATCTAATTCCGCCAGAGTGAGAATCCTGCAGACGGCTGAAGCAATTGCTATTCGGATAAAAAACAATCAGAGTTTTTTCATCTGAAAGAAATATGTTCAACCGCTCCTTTTACTCTGGCCAACTTCGGGCTCAACTAGTTAAAAATCAATTTTATGATATGATGACATAATTTGAATGATGTCCATTTTTATATCTTAAACTTATCTTATTCACACATCTTACCATTGTCATCATTATCATTACACTTACTAACCTTTCTGAGACACTTATTCAGCATTCGCTCTTATCTGCTAATGCGTCCCCCACTTACTTACTTTACGTCCTCACTTGTTTACTTACGCTTGTTACCTACAATGGAGAATAGGCCACCGACCACCATTCTACAACTCACTCTGTCTCACAGTAGGTTGTTGCTGATAATGTCTGGTCAACGGATCCGAAGTATCTTGAGTAGACAACTGTTAATAAACAACTGTACCTTCTGGATGATGGCTTTCATAGTTCTCCAAGTTTCCGCTCCATACAGCAGAACCATGGATATAATATGTCAAAGTAATTATTATAGATAACTTATGTGAATTGAGAAATCTGAATGGGTAGATTAAAAAAGTTATAAGCACTTAAGCTATTGGGAGGTGTGATACGACGTTTATAACATCCAGTTTATGTATCTAGTGATCTAGTCGTGGACGAAGGTAAACATAGGGGCCAGATATACCTCTTTTGTATACATAAGTCAGATTTTCAGGAGTTGATCCAGGGGGCTTCAGGTGTGTAGAAGAATAGTAATCTCGCTCCATTATGTAGATTGTTAAGAGCTTGATAAAAAATAGGGAAAGCTTTGTCTATTTTTATATTCTGTTCACTATCTGTCAAATGAGAAAAAATGGCGCTGTTAACAGATTTCGTGATTCCTTTTGCCAAACATGCTGGTACATGTTCACCAGCAAGCAAGGATAAAGCCCTCTGAGTATGCCCTGTGTAACTATCTCCACAGGAGCAGTTAAATTGATGTACACAAATGGAGGACCTCATTACCAGTAACCTATCCTTAATTTGTTGTGTAAGTACTAGTTTGAGAAGATTATATGTAACTCGGTGCTATAAAATACCATTTCATTAGATTGTTTGAGTCGACTTGTTAAAATATTACTCGCTATGTCCCCATTAAAATCAAGTTTTTTGGCCAGAGTTTGTTCTGTTTTTACCTTCTGACAGAAATTTTATACACAATTATCTGGATATCCATTATTTCGTAACGCGTTCTTTAATTTATCTATTTCGCTATCTACATCGTCCTCAGGATATAATAGTTTGATTTTGTGACCTTTGGTTTACCAGTATGGGGTTGTGGAAATCGTTGAATTTATTTGAGATTGATGACCAGTCTAAGTTAAACACAAACACTGGATAGCTGTTTCGTTCAGGGATGAAGCTGTTCATCGATGTGTATCCACGGACCCACACCTGAAGACCAAATGAAAGAACCACGATTTCGCGAACGGACGCTTATCCTCGAAACTACAGGGCCAGAATTCAATAGTGTACAGATTTAACTTCAATCGACTGACGATATTGAGTTACTTTGTCCAATTTTCTTCCATAAGTACCTTATTCATAACCAACACAGTTGAAATTCACTAGAACTCTTGAGATTTCCTCTCAGAGCTAGTCACTAGTGAGCACATGATAATTATCACTACAGCACTGTGGAGATCGTTCAATGTGATAAGATTACGAATCGATCTAGTGAGATACATCTACCAAGACACATTTGCATGAGATTCTTACTTTATTATGTTTTTGTAGGTCCATTTCAATGGCTCGTGCTTCAGTGACAGATAGCCCAATAGCATTAACATCTATTCCAGCGTCGTGAGTTATAAGTTGATTTGATTTTATGATTAACTGGAGTATTCATGCCGTTAACTAATGTAATTGGATAAATTTTGTTATACCAGCATGGGAAAATGATAAACCAACTTATCCACTATTATGAAAATATGGTTTTCTTATATGTTCCTTAGTCGATTGATGGATAAGAATCCGGGCTGTGATTCTGTATACATGTAATAAATGTTTTCATTAACAGACAAACAGCCTGAGCTTTGACATATGATATGCTTCGATAGACAACGGCCAACATTAAATTGCCACTAGTGGATCATCATGCACGCCTTTCTTCTATCCTAAAATCTAGTCCAAAATGAAGATATAGTGAGCAGGGAAAATTATTATTATATTTCAAACCATCATGGATTTATCAAGATGATCATTTAAACCACGACGGATCCTAGGCAAAGGAACATACTTTTTGCAATGAGATGATCACTGGGTAGCAATCAGTGTTATGTATGTCAGATCCTTCTTAGTGCGTATCGAATTTTATCGATCAAGTTGTGATGTGACTACCAGTATAGATGACTCGATATCGTATGCACTATGCTGAGATACAAGGTGGTGGTTGGAGGTAGTTGACAAAAACTCTGGACCTAGGCTTTATGTTACTTGTCGCTCGTTACGATGGTGTACCTACATCAATCATAGCCCATTGATCGGTCAATTATAGATACATCTCAGTCTTGCAGAAAGTGAGTCGGCGTCTGGATAGTTTTCTAAGATTTCGTGCATGAATACTAAACTTCTAGACCACCAACTTGGCATCCAATGACGTTAAAGTCTTACTTCAATCAATCTATGATGTTGCACTGACATCTTCTCTTGTTTTCGGTAGATGATTGTCTCACACCTGACACAGTCGAAATCCACTTGTCATGCCTTCTCACAAGAACTCATCTCGAAACTAGTCACTAATGAACACATGATTGTTGGACTCATATTTTTATGAATTTACGATTTATGTTTTTCAACAGGCCAGTTCTACTAACAGGTTTACCAATGCCACTTACTCCAACAGCGAGTAACATGATTGACGGTCTTCCACAAAGAGTTGGAAGGTAAGTCACACAGTTTTTGTTAAAACCTTCCGTTACTATGGAAACACAAATTATTTCTTTCTTTCACCTTCTTTTTCTAATGAAGATTGATCTATGTTTGTAGTATACATTCATCTATGGATTAACATAATGCATATTTTTTTGGATTAACACAGATGCAGTAATGATATTTTGTTGTAATATTGTATACTGTCATAACACTTATAATCGCATTAACCCAGTTAATACTTGATTACCTAAGACAATTCTTCTTGTCCCTAAACTACCAATCAGAAAACTTAAAATCGTCCTCAAGTAACTTGTATTATTTAGACTATTGTGATTATATAAACTGGAATGGAACAGAATATATGATGAATTAGAACTAAGCAGCAAGTTTAGAATTTTGAAGAGAGTCAGAATTCAGATTTGGTCGAAACAACATGAATTCATTATTATTTGATTAGCTTCTCCTCAGATCCTAACAACTTATAATATATGTATACACATATATTCACTAAAAGTGTACCTCAGAATTACATAAATCGTGTGAGGGCTTTTTACTCGAACACTACTAGTCGAGTCAAAGCTTATGGAGAATTGTCATCTGCTTTTACAACCTCAAGTGGTGTCCGTCAAGGTTGTCCACTTTCTCCATTTTTGTTAAACGTCGTCACAGACCTACTGATGCAAATAATACTCTCACCAACTGAATTTTCGGGTATCGATCTCTTACCAGGAGGTCCACTCATCGACTTAAAATACACAGGTGATATGGTCCTGTTTGGTGAAGACGCTGATAAAATGCACAGTCTTTTGATAACACTGAGCAATAATGGCAGAATGTTTGGGATGTGTTTCTCTCTCTCTCTCGAAATGCAAGTTGTTGCTTCAGGACTGGTCTGCGTCAACACCTGAACTAAGGATAGGGAGTGAAGTAGTCGAACGCGTTGACAACTTCATTTATCTTGGAACTCTGATCAACCCTAGTGGGTTAGTGTCTGACGAAATCTCAGCACGGATTCGAAAGGCTCGTCTGGCTTTCGACAACTTACGTGACCTATGACGAAAGCGAGATATCCGTTTATAGATTAAGGGATGAGTGTACTTCGCGGCAGTTTGTTCTGTTCTACTTAACGGCTGCGAAACGTGACCATTAGGAGTAGAAAATATTCGTAAGCTACTAGTATTTGACCACAGATGTCTTAGAAATAATGCTCGGATTGGCTGGGATCACCGGGTAAGTAAAAGTGAGGTTAGACGTAGCGTATTCGGGAATGATGTAAATCGGTTGATGAGGTTGTAAATCTTCATCGAATGAGATCGTTGATCCGCGTGTTACGTATGCTTGAGCACCGATTACCACGACGCTCAATACTGACTAGTGTGGCAGACATGTGCCAGAAAGATAGGCGCGGACACACTAAAACGCGAAATCAGTGCTTCAAGTCACTAACTCCTAGTCTGACTCATGTCAGTAGATAAAGACTACTTGTTTGAGGTCCACGTGACATTCGTAACCAATGGTTGGAGATTCTGTGTGACATGGCTCAGAATCGATCACAATGGTATAGATGTGTACACTAGTTGTCTTCCCTTCAATTTAGAGATAAAAATTGATTCATATCTTTCTTTCTACGAACTAATTCTTTCTTCCTGTATCATAACCTTGTATACAATCTTTCTTTTAAGCATTACTACCATTGAAGTGACTAATTCTATGAATCGGTGTTCATCTTGTTGTGCAAGTGAAGTGTGCCAACTTGGACCGTTTCATAAATGTGCCTGTTCCTAAGTTCTATCTAATTGACTGACTCACTCACTAAAGAACAATTGTCTAAGTTCCACTTTATATTTATTTACTCACTCTTAACAAATACAAACGATTCTACTTTAACCACTAATTCCATAGATTGATTCGATTATCAGTTTTTTGTTTGATAAGGAGATAATTGTCCATACTAAATATCTGTTTCATATATTTACCACTTTTCTTCAGTCCCTATTGTCTTGATATTCTGTGTTTTTCTTTGCAGTGCATTGCCTCTTACGGGAACTGCCCTCCCCTTGTCTGCGCTCAGAGGTAGTATGCCGATTAACGGCATTCAACAAATTCCAGCATCGTAAGTCATAATTCATTGATTTTTTTCTTTGAAGTGTTAGACGTTTCGGTAAGTCTATAGTTTATGGACGAGCCAATCGGATTTAGGGTAACGGGTCTCAGATTTTGGCACAAACTGCATTCACTTCATTTATTTAAATAGAATTTCGGCATTATAACTGATGTCAGTTTGGGATGAAAACCATAAATCTTATTCCTAACCCTAATCATCAACTTTGAATTAGACTCTTTATTGTTATCACTTCATCATAGACCTACTGATAGAATTAACGTTCTCATCAACCGTAAATATTAATCTTAAATTCTCAAACCGGTTTATAACCTTGATTTGGACGTAGTATGTACGTGGACATTCTCAAGGTCTTTTTACAATTGCTCAAAGGTCGTCCATAAATTATAGTCTCACCGCAGAATAAACACTTGTATCTTCTGAATGATGGCTTTTGTAGTTCGCCAAGTTTATGCCCCATACAGTAGAACTGTCTCGACATTCGTATTGAAAATCCTGACCTTGGTGTTGTTTGACAGTGGTTTTGAGTTCCAGATGTTCTTCAGTATTAGATGTGCTGCTCTCTCTATGCCTATCCGCGCCTTCACATCTGCATCAGATCCACCCTGTTCATCAATGATGCTTTCCAGATATGTAAATGTTTTTACTCTTCTATGTCAAGTGTGATTCGATTGGTGAATGCTGTTTTGTTTCAGAGAATATTGCTTTTCCCTTTGTGTATATTGAGACCTACTGCTGCTGAGACCGCTGCTACACTGGTCTTTTTCACCTGCACTTGTTGTTGCGTGTGCGATAGAAGAACCAGGTCATCTGTGAAGTTTAGATCGTCGAACTGCGTCCTAGATGGCCACTGTACCCCATGCTTCCCTCCAGATGTTGACGTCTTCATGATCCAGTCGATCACCGGGAGAAAGAGGAAGAGTGGTAGTAAGCAACCTTGCCTGACATCGGTCTTTACTTCGAACGAGTCTGTCAACCGTCGTCTATGCATTATTCTGCAGTTTAATCCATCATAGGAATTCCGTATGATACTGGTTATCTTCTCAGGCACGCCGTAGTGTCGAAGAAGCCTCCATAATGTTTTCCTGTTCACGCTGTCAAATGCCAACATCGATTGGGAGGTCCGTGGGAGCTACTTCGATGTTGGGTGGGTTCAGTGGAGCTGGTCGATTCAAGAGTTCTTTGAAGTGTTCTACCCACCTGTTTCGTTGCTCTTTAATGTTGGTGATTACCTCGCCCTACTTGCTTTTCACTGGTCGTTCAGGTTTGCGGTGATTTCCAGAGAGTTTCTTCGTTATGTCATACAGTTCTCTCATGTTTCCTTCTCTTGCAGCCTTTTCCGCCGTCATTGCTAAATCTTCCACATATTTACGTTTGTCGGTTCTAATGCTCCTCTTCACTTGTTTGTTTAGTTCTGTGTATTCAGCTTGTGCTTTGGCTTTTTCTGCTCTTGTTCGGCTGGCATTGATTGCTGCCTTCTTGTCCCTCCTTTCTTGAATCTTATCCAGTGTATCAACAGTGATCCATTCCTTGTGGTGGTGCTTCTTGTGGCCCAGAACCTCATGACATGTTGAAGTGATTGCTTCTTTGATCCCTTTCCAGTTGCTCACCATAGTAGTTCCTTCTCCATTGAGTAGATCATGAAAGGCATGGAACTTGTTGCTGAGGGCTATCTTGAATTTGTTGAGTTTGTCAGTATCCCAAAGGAAAGCCGTGTTGAACTTTTGTGTTATTGTCTGCCCCATTGTCCAGTGCTTCTTGAGTTTAAATTTCACCTTGGTGACCAGCAAGTGATGATCTGAGGCTATATCAGCTCCTCTCTTGCTTCTCACATCCTCCATCGTCCTCCTGAACGTTTTGTTGATGCAGATATGGTCGATTTGGATCTGCTTAGTATGATCCGGTGAAGTCCATGTGGTTTTGTGAATGCGTTTATGTGTGAATATGGTGCCACCTATGATCAGTTTATTGAAGGCACATAGGTTTACAAATCTCTCACCATTTTCGTTTCTTTCTATCAGTCCATGTCGTCTCATGATGTCTTCATATCCAGTGTTGTCCATTCCAATCTTGGCATTTAGGTCTCCCATCAGAAAGGTCAAGAACATCGTTGGGCACTTCTCGACGATTGACTGCAGCCTATCGTAGAATTGATCTTTAGCGTCTTCGTTGTAGTCGTTGGCAGGCGCATAGCATTGGATGACGTTCATTGAAATGCCCCCTTTCTTTGTTTTGAAAGAGCATTTGATGATCCTAGTTCCATGAGATTCCCTTTCTATAAGTGCATTTTGTGCTTGTTTGGACAGCATTAATGCAACTCCTTGTGTATGAGGGGCATTTTCTTCTTCATAGCCAAAAAATAACAGAAGCTCCCATGACACTAGTCATTGTTGTCCAGCTTGCGTCCAACGTGTTTCGCTGATCCCAAGCACCTCTAGGTTGTAACTCCTCATTTCTGAAGCAATTTGAAAGACTCTTCGTGTCTCCCACATTGTACGAGTATTCCAAGTACCTAAATAAATTTTTGCTCTGGTTGTAAGAAGAGCCATCGGCCACGTGACTTCCGAAGAAACACGACTTTTATCATGAGGCGTCATAACTCTTTTAAATGAAGACTTTTAGACTCCCAAGGCAAAGTTTAAGTGGTTTGAATGAATTTTTCTGGTTGGCGTTTTTTTAAGCGAGTTAGTTTTTCACAGGATGGGGTCAGTAGCCCCACCTCGACCCTTCTCCTTTATCTGGGCTTGGGACTGGGAGCAGCCCCAGAGGGGCTCCATATGGAGTTGACTAACTGACTCACTAAAGAACAATTGTCTAAGTTCCACTTTATATTTATTTACTCACTCTTAACAAATACAAACGATTCTACTTTAACCACTAATTCCAAAGATTGATTCGATTATCAGTTTTTTGTTTGATAAGGAGATAATTGTCCATACTAAATATCTGTTTCATATATTTACCACTTTTCTTCAGTCCCTATTGTCTTGATATTCTGTGTTTTTCTTTGCAGTGCATTGCCTCTTACGGGAACTGCCCTCCCCTTGTCTGCGCTCAGAGGTAGTATGCCGATTAACGGCATTCAACAAATTCCAGCATCGTAAGTCATAATTCATTGATTTTTTTCTTTGAAGTGTTAGACGTTTCGGTAAGTCTATAGTTTATGGACGAGCCAATCGGATTTAGGGTAACGGGTCTCAGATTTTGGCACAAACTGCATTCACTTCATTTATTTAAATAGAATTTCGGCATTATAACTGATGTCAGTTTGGGATGAAAACCATAAGTCTAATTTCCAACCCTAATCACCTAACACGGTCGAAATCCACTTGTCATGCCTTCTCACAAGAACTCATCTCGAAACTAGTCACTAATGAACACATGATTGTTGGATTCATATTTTTATGAATTTACGATTTATGTTTTTCAACAGGCCAGTTCCACTAACAGGTTTACCAATGCCACTTACTCCAACAGCGAGTAACATGATTGACGGTCTTCCACAAAGAGTTGGAAGGTAAGTCACACAGTTTTTGTCAAAACCTTCCGTTACTATGGAAACACAAATTATTTCTTTCTTTCACCTTCTTTTTCTAATGAAGATTGATCCATGTTTGTAGTATACATTCATCTATGGATTAACATAATGCATATTTTTTTGGATTAACACAGATGCAGTAATGAAATTTTGTTGTAATATTGTATACTGTCCTAACACTTATAATCGCATTAACGCAGTTAACACTTGATAACCTAAGACAATTCTTCTTATTCCTAGACTACCAATCAGAAAACTTAAAATCGTCCTCAAGTAACTTGTATTATTTAGACTATTGTGATTATATAAACTGGAATGGAACAGAATATATGATGAATTAGAACTAAGTGACAAGTTTAGAATTTTGAAGAGAGTCAGAATTCAGATTTGGCCAAAACAACATGAATTCATTATTATTTGATTAGCTTCTCCTCAGATCCTAACAACTTATAATATATGTATACACATATATTCACTAAAGGTGTACCTCAGAAGTACATAAGTCTTGTGAGGGCTTTTCACTCGAACACTACTAGTCAGATCAGAGCTTATGGGGAATTGTCATCTGCTTTTACAACCTCATGTGGTGTCCGTCAAGGTTGTCCACTTTCTCCATTTTTGTTAAACGTCGTCACAGACCTAATGATGCAAATAATACTCTCACCAACTGAATTTTCGGGTATCGATCTCCTACCAGGAGGTCCACTCATCGACTTAAAATACACAGGTGATATGGTCCTGTTTGGTGAAGACGCTGATACAATGCACAGTCTTTTGATAACACTGAGCAATAATGGCAGAATGTTTGGGATGTGTTTCTCTCTCTCTCTCTCTAAATGCAAGTTGTTGCTTCAGGACTGGTCTGCGTCAACACCTGAACTAAGGATAGGGAGTGAAGTAGTCGAACGCGTTGACAACTTCATTTATCTTGGAACTCTGATCAACCCTAATGGGTTGGTATCTGACGAAACCTCAGCACGGATTCGAAAGGCTCGTTTGGCTTTCGACAAATTACGTGACCTATGACGAAGGCGAGATATCCGTTTATAGATTAAGAGATGAGTGTACTTCGCGGCAGTTTGTTCTGTTCTACTTAACGGCTGCGAAACGTGACCATTAGGAGCAGAAAATGTTCGTAAGCTACTAGTGTTTGACCACAGATGTCTTAGAAGTATTGCTCTCATCTGCTGGGATCACCGGGTAAGTAAAAGTGAGGTTAGACGTAGCGTATTCGGGAATGATGTAAATCACTTGATGAGGTTGTAAATCTTCATCGAATGAGATCGTTGATCCGCGTGTTACGTATGCTTGAACACCGATTACCACGACGCGCAATACTGACTAGTGTGGTAGATATGTGCCAGAAAGATAGGCGTGGACATACTAAAACGCGAAATCAGTGCTTCAAGTCACTAACTTCTAGTCTGACTCATATCAGTAGATAAAGACTAGTTGGTTGGGGTCCACGTGACAATCGTAACCAATGGTTGGAGATTCTGTGTGACATGGCTCAGAATCGATCACAATGGTATAGATGTGTACACTAGTTGTCTTCCCTTCAATTTAGAGATAAAAATTGATTCATATCTTTCTTTCTACGAACTAATTCTTTCTTCCTGTATCATAACCTTGTATACAATCTTTCTTTTAAGTATTACTACCATTGAAGTGACTAATTCTATGAATCGGTGTTCATCTTGTTGTGTTAATGAAGTGTGTCAACTTGGACCGTTTCATAAATATGCCTGTTCCTAGGTTGTATCTAATTGACTGACTCACTCACTAACGAAAAATTGTCTAAGTTCCACTTCACATTTATTTATTCACTCTTAACAAATACAAACGATTCTATTTTAACCACTAATTCCATAGATTGATTTGATTATCAGTTTTTTGTTTGATGAGAAGATAATTGTGCATACTAAATATCTGTCTCATATATTTACCACTTTTCTTCAGTCCCTATTGTCTTGATATTCTGTGTTTTTCTTTGCAGTGCATTGCCTCTTACAGGAACTGCACCCCCCTTGTCTGCGCTCAGAGGTAGTATGCCGATTAACGGCATTCAACAAATTCCAGCATCGTAAGTCATAATTCATTGATTTTTTTCTTTGAAGTGTTAGACGTTTCGGTAAGTCTATAGTTTATGGACGAGCCAATCGGATTTAGGGTAACGGGTCTCAGATTTTGGCACAAACTGCATTCACTTCATTTATTTAAATAGAATTTCGGCATTATAACTGATGTCAGTTTGTGATGAGAATTATAAATCTAATTCCTAACCCTAATCATCAACTTTGAATTAGAATCTTTACTGTTGTCACTTCATCATAGACCTACTGATAGAATTAACGTTCTCATCAACCGTAAATATTAATCTTAATTTCTCAAACCGGTTTATATACCTGATTTGGACGTAGTATGTACGTGGACATTCTCAAGATCTTTTTACAATTGCTCAAAAGTCGTCCTTAAATTATAATCTCACCGTAGAATAAACACGTGTATCTTCTGAATGATGGCTTTTGTAGTTCGCCAAGTTTCTGCCCCATACAATATCACTGTCTCGACATTTGTATTGAAAATCCTGACCTTGATGTTGTTTGACAGTTGTTTTTAGTTCCAGATGTTCTTCAGTATTAGATATGCTGCTCTCTCTATGCCTATCCGCGGCTTCACATCTGCATCAGATCCACTGTGTTCATCAATGATGTTTCTCAGATATGTAAATGTTTTTACATCTTCCAACTCTTCTATGTTAAGTGTGATTCGATTGGTATATGCTGTTTTGTTTCAGAGAATATTGCTTTTCCCTTTGTGTATATTGAGACCTACTGCTGCTGAGGCCGCCGCTACACTGGTCTTTTTCACCTGCACTTGTTGTTGCGTGTGCGATAGAAGAACCAGGTCATCTGTGAAGTCTAGATCGTCGAACTGCATCCCAGATGGCCTCTGTACCCCATGCTTCCCTCCAGATGTTGACGTTTTTATGATCCAGTCGATTTTCAGGAGAAAGAGGAAGGGGTAGTAAGCAACCTTGCCTGACATCGGTCTTTACTTCGAACGAGTCTGTCAACCGTCGTTCATGCATTGTTCTGCAGCTTGATCCATCATAGGAATTCCGTATGATATTGGTTATCTTCTCAGGCACGCCGTAGTGTAGAAGAAGCCTCCATATTGTTTTCCTGTTCACGCTGTCAAATGCCAACATCGATTGGGAGGTCCGTGGGAGATACTTCAATGTTGGGTGGGTTCAGTGGGGCTGGTCGGTTCAAGAGTTCTTTGAAGTGTTCTACACACCTGTTTCGTTGCTCTTCAATGTTGGTGACTACCTTGCCTTCCTTGCTTTTCACTGGTGGTTCAGGTTTGCGGCGATTTCCAGAGAGTTTCTTTGTTATGTCATACAGTTCTCTCATGTTTCCTTCTCTTGCAGCCTTTTCCGCCGTCGTTGCTAAATCTTCCACATATTTACGTTTGTCAGTTCTGATGCTCCGCTTCACTTGCTTGTTTAGTTCTGTGTATTCAGCTTGTACCTTGGCTTTTTCTGCTCTTGTTCGACTGGTATTGATTGCTGCCTTCTTGTTCCTCCTTTCTTGAATCTTATCCAGTGTCAACAGTGATCCATTCCTTGTGGTGGTGCTTCTTGTGGCCCAGAACCTCATGACATGTTGAAGTGATTGCTTCTTTGATCCATTTCCAGCTGCTCTCCATAGTAGTTCCTTCTCCATTGAGTAGATCATGAAAGGCATGGAACTTATTGCTGAGAGCTATCTTGAATTTGTTGAGTTTGTCAGTATCCCGAAGGAAAGCCGTATTGAACATTTGTGATGTTGTCCGCCTCGTTGTTCAGTACTTCTTGAGTTTAAATTTCACCTTGGTGACCAGCAAGTGATGATCTGAGGCTATATCAGCTCCTCTCTTGGTTCTCACGTCCTCTATAGTCCTCCTGAACGTTTTGTTGATGCAGAAATGGTCGATTTGGTTCTGCTTAGTATGATCCGGTGAAGTCCATGGGTTTTGTGAATGCGTTTATGTGTGAATATGGTACCGCCTATGATCAGTTTATTGAAGGCACATAGGTTTGCAAATCTCTCACCATTTTCGTTTCTTTCTATCAGTCCGTGTCGTCTCATGATGTCTTCATATCCAGTGTTGTCCGTTCCAACCTTGGCATTTAGGTCTCCCATCAGAAAGGTCAAGTCCATAGTTGGGCACTTCTCGACGATTGACTGCAGCCTATTGTAGAATTGATCTTTAGCGTCTTCATTGTAGTCGTTGGTAGGCGCATAGCATTGGATGACGTTCATTAAAATGCCCCCTTTCTTTGTTTTGAAAGAGCATTTGATGATCCTTGGTCCATGAGATTCCCTTTCTATAAGTGCATTTTGTGCTTGTTTGGACAGCACCAATGCAACTCCTTGTGTATGCGGGGTATTTTCTTCTTCATAGCCGAAAAATAACAGAAGCCCCCCTGACACTAGTCGTTGTTGTCCAGCTTGCGTCCAACGTGTTTCGCTGATCCCAAGCACCTCTAGGTTGTAACTCCTCATTTCTGCAGCAATTTGAAAGACTATTCCGGTCTACCACATTGTACGAGTATTCAATGTACCTAAATAAATGGTTGCTCTGGTTGTAAGAAGAGCCATCGTCCTCGTGACTTCCAAAGAAACTCGGCTTTTATCATGAGGCGTCATAATTCTTCTAAATGAAGACTTTCAGATTCCCAGGGAAAAGTTTAAGTGGTTAGAATAAAGTTTTCTGGTTGGCGTTTATTTGAGCAAGTTAGTTTTCTACGGGGTGGGGTCAGTAGCCCCATCCCGACCCTTATTCTTTATCTAGGCTTGAGAACGGCAGCAGCCCCATAGGGGATTCAGATGGAGTTGACTAACTGACTGACTAAAGAACAATTGTCTAAGTTCCACTTCACATTTATTTATTCACTCTTAACAAATACAAACGATTCTATTTAACCACTAATTCCATAGATTGATTTGATTATCAGTTTTTTGTTTGATGAGAAGATAATTGTGCATACTAAATATCTGTCTCATATATTTACCACTTTTCTTCAGTCCCTATTGTCTTGATATTCTGTGTTTTTCTTTGCAGTGCATTGCCTCTTACAGGAACTGCACCCCCTTGTCTGCGCTCAGAGGTAGTATGCCGATTAACGGCATTCAACAAATTCCAGCATCGTAAGTCATAATTCATTGATTCGTACAGTATGCATATATACCAATAAAAGACTGATCAATTGCGGTCCTAAACATCAATAGGAAGGTTCAATTAAACAATACCTTGTGATCAGTTGTTAGTAATTCTCACCAAAGTTTTATTATTTAAATAAAACTTATTGAAGTTGTCAGATTTTGTGAAACTCTCCTGTGAAATAACAAGTTAGTTATGAACTGTAATTACAAGATTCATTTTGCATACAAACCTCTTCAATTAATAATAGAGAATTGGAGTCTGTATGAATCTAAACATAAAACATAATAAATTTCAATAGCTGAGATCATGAGTAAATTGAAGATAGACAACCGCGGAAAACCTGGGGACACTGGTCGGCCGTTTCGTCCTTTTGTTGGACTCCTCAATGGCATTACGCATCCATGAATTCGCCTCACGAGGTTCGAACCCAGGACCCTCACTTACATGTTTATTGTATTGCAAATACTAAATAATTAACCTATTGTAATGAACTGACCAGTTTAATAGAGATTAATCTCAGGCGGAAGAGTGTTGTAAGTCAGGAAGAAATAAACAGTTGTTTCGTCCTGATATAACACTCTTCCGTAACGGGCACCATCGACTCCAGTTGGGAACTTGACCAAAACATTCAATTCTTAATCTGTAACGAATGTAACCAATAAATTAAATAAATCTCTAAACACTCCGAATAAATTGTAGCAGTCTTTTCACTAGTGACTTACTTCAATATCCTTTTGAAGCTCTAAAAAGACACTGTGAGTTGTGAAGCTCAAACATGTCGGGAATTAAACATTTGTTGGCAGTGGGGTTAGATGATCATCACCATATATCTCAAAATGATTAGAGACGAAATTGCACTTTTCGATGATGACACAGTAATTTCACTGGTTTAGAGTTCTAGAAGAAACCTGAAGATTATATATCCAACTCATCGAATAATAGAAAGTACTCGACAACAAGTGGTTTTATATATGATAAAATAGCTTTTTATCGCTCCTTCGTTTTCAATAGTAGCACAAAATTGATTAGTTTGTGACAAATGAAGAGTACAAATTTAAAATACCAATTAAAAGCCCATATCACCTATATGGATAATACATCTTTACTAAATATTACTGTGAGGACGGTCCACGGGTGAACTCGAAGAAGCTCTAAGAAGCTCAGAAAGAGCCGAAGATATTCCATCCAGTCATCTTTTGGAAGAATACTCCAGAATCACCACGTTTAGCTTCCCTATTGGACAATGCTAATAGCTCCCCTATGTGCGGATTGGATAACTATAATGATCATTTTGTTTTTACTAAAAACTATAAATACCCGGCAGTTTTCTACCATAACTGACACTGTTTGGAATAACATTCCTTTCACTCGTGTTCTGTTTTCTCGTTTGCGACTTGAGAGGGTTCTAGCATCCGAGTACTGAAGTTATAAGTGGCATATCAAGAACATAAGCATCTAGATATAGCAATCATTAAATCAATAGTTTGATTGTTTAGATAGCTGGTAAGATGATTTAGTTAAATTAAACATTCACATTAAATGTCCAGTATAGGCTAACATATCAAATTATGAATGACATAGTATTCAATAAACTACTTCAGATCAGTTGATGAACACAATCTCATATGGCTGATAATACTTAGTGCGTATAATTTAGTGATTAGTTAAAAATCGTCAATACAATAATCTCGACTCTCAGTAGTTAAAATTCAAACGACTGGTCAAATTCCGCTTCTTCATCTTATATATATATATATATATATATATATATATATATATATATATATATATATATATATATATATATATATATATATATATATATATATATATATATATATATATATATATATATATAGCGGCGAGATTGTGGGTGCGCACTGCTGAAGAGTTCCACAGTAGGACGAAACGGCCGTCCAGTGCTTCCAGGTTTTCCATGGTGATCTATCTTCAATTGACTTATGAATTCAACTATTAGAATTACTATAAGATTCACAAAACCCCTTCTGATATTAATAAAAGAATTAATTATATTATCGTATTGTACAATTTATATTTTTCAATAGGTCAATTCAACCAACAGGTTTACCAATGCCACTTACTCCAGTAGGAAGTAACATGACTGGTGGTCTTCAAAAATAGTTGGAACGTAAGTTATATAACCTTTAGTTATTAGATTTTTCTCTACTATTGCCATCATATTTTCTTGTTACCAGCTTATTATGACATCTAGTCATTACAACCAATGTCAAGATAATAATAATACTGTTAAGTTATACTCTGGAAAACGTTGATACGTTTATATATAATTGAATTCATGAGTCAATGGTAGCTAGACCACTATGAAAAACCTGTGAGCACTGAACGGCCGTTTCATCCCAGTGTGGGACTCCTCACCAGTGCGCATCCACGATCCCGCAGCGCGACATATATAAGATGAAGAAGTGGAATTTGATCAGTCGTTAGAATTTTAACTACTGAGAAGTCGGGATTATTGTAATGTTTCCGTATATACAATTTTTAGGCGGATAATCAGACTCTTGGTTAACTATTTACGATTGATTGATCACTGAGTGGTGATCAATGTCATGTATACCAGGACCTTCTTAGTGCAGACCGAATTCTATCGACCAAGTTGAAAGGTGGCCATCAGTCTAGGTGACTCGACAATGCGTGCACCATTTCTTTAGCACAACTTAGTTAACTAGGAGCAGAATTCACCATTTTTCAATAAGATGATAATAATAATACTATCAAATAGGAAAAAAAAAAGAATAATATAGATCATATTAGTCTATCATGATATTTATTTAAGAAATCCTTGTATTGATCGCATAAAAATACAATAGCTTTTGCATTTGATTGAAAGATAAATAAAGTATCGAACGGTAAGTCGAACATGGGTAAATAAAGAGCGATTCGTAAATATGATATGAGACTGGTTATTTGGATTTCCGTTTGTAGGCCAGCTGGATTGGTAGGGTCAACACTGCCTCTCACCTCAATGAATAAGATGATGCCTAGTGATATGTCAAGATTGGCAACAGCAGTCCCTGCATCGTGAGTCATGCTCCCATTTTTGCTGCCTTACACATGTAACACTTACATGGTTGTTTTCTAACACACTTTGGTTTTTTCTGAAAACCTCACGCTTTACTGAAGACGGATCTCAATGTATGGTTGTAATAATTAACATGATTACTGTTGTGAAAAGTAAGGTTGTCTAATCGAATCTAATGATGAATAAGAGATGTTTGTAAGAGTTGAGTAATTTGGCTTTGAATTTGACTGTGCTGTTGAGTGGTTCCGAATATTATGAGTCAGTGGCCGGTTGTATGTTCCACTGATTTGTAGGTCAGCGTATGAATGAGAGCTCTGTATATAATTGAGTAATTGGTGTCGACGATGGCGCTGGTGATGCTGTTGATGTTAGCGGTTGTTTTTGTGTGAGTATGTGTGTGTGTTTGGAAGTGAGGATCCGGATGAATGGAAACACGAATGCGTGTATGCATGTTGACTGACATCAGTTGACGAGTGGATTGGTTGAGGCTGATGAGACTGTAAGTGACCTCGGAAACCGTGGTTCCTGTGTTGTGATGTTATCGGATCCACAATTCACAATGGGTTGGATCGGTCGTTTGACGAGACATTGAAGATGGCAGTCTGGAGAAATGAAATGATCACATGTGAATACCTGACAGCAGTATGGACGCGAACGTGTGAGTATTGTGTGTGTCACAATTTCAACATAACGAATTACTGGTTCGCAGTTTACATACATATTAACAATTGCACTAAGATTATATCTACGTCAATTCACCATGTCAATTTGGCACGAACAAACATATACATACATATATACATAAGCACGTACACTCACACATGCATGCACAACAGATTCCATATAGTGACAATCTGTGACAGTAACTATTAACTCTCATTCATTCATTGTTGGAGTAATAAGATGCATGTTGTGTTTGTTGATGTGGAATCAGTGTATTTATGTGAGACTGCTTATTTGGATTTCCGTTTGTAGGCCAGCTGGATTGGTAGGGTCAACACTGCCTCTTACCTCAATGAATAAGATGATGCCTAGTGATATGTCAAGATTGGCAACAGCAATTCCTGCATCGTAAGTCAGATTCCTTTTTTTATTTTTGGATTTCTCTTTTTGATCAGCGAATTTGCTATACATTACTTTCATGGATCGACATACTTTTATGTAATCGATCATTTAAGCTAAGATGTGTATATTTTAATAATGAGAGTTTGATTGAGCATACTTGTGAGCCAACGCTCCACAGCAAATATAAAATTAATGTCATACTAATATTTCTAGAACTCAGAGTTTGTGAATATTTTACAGTCTGAATAATATTTTCTTGAACACCGCTGAGAACTAGTTGCCTCTGGAAAGCGCTCGCTTTCTGGTATGTACCTCCTCTAAAATACGCATCAACAACAACAAATCAGGGTATACTGGGAACAAACACCTGTTACGTGTTTTCCATTTTCTAGCTAAGTTCAGTATGTGATTTAAACTATACGTATCCTTCAGTCTTAACCAACTATCTGATATCAATCATATGCTCACTTGTCGCAAGATACAATTCCTAGAGCTCTAGTAATAATCTCTTATCAGTGAAGTTCAACGATGTCGAGTATGGAACACTTATCTAAGATAGTCGATGGAAAACGTTCACGTAATATCATGATTTGATTGGATTTCTACTCAGTGCTTTTGTAATTAGGCGCTGACGGACAAAACTCATAGTCCTGAATTTCAGCCTCGGGGACTTCGTGGATACGCAGTGTTTTGGAATCTTGTAAGAGCAAGTAATAACTGTAGGTTGTTTCTTAATGGTGATTTATAAACTATGCAAATCCAATTAGGCTGACTTACCGGATTATTAGGTATGTTCATATAAATCACGGAATACTAGACAAGTGTTTTGATGTAATTTGAGACTCGTCAATAAAGCATACCATAGATCCAATGTTTAAACGAGTATAGATTTTATGAGTATAATTGATAGTTGTTAAATGAGCATAACCCAACTGCGTCACAAGACAAGCCCTCACATGCGATCCTCAAGGCCAAAGGAAAAGAGGAAGACCAAAGAACACATTACGCCGGGAAATGGAGATAGACATGAGAAAAATGGACAAGAATTGGATGGAACTAGAAAACAAGGTCCAGGACGGAGTGGGTTGGAGAATGCTGGTCGGCGGCCTATGCTCCATTAGGAGTCACATGCGTAAGTAATTAAGTAAATGAGCATAAAGAATCATCTCGCCGTTTACTTTTATAATACATCAAGAAGGTTTAGTTGATTGTTACATTCGTTCTCACAAACGAAAGTGACTGTTGAATGTACACTGTTCAACTGCTTTAACACTTTAATAATATATTGATCCATAATGATAAATGTGTTGTTACTGCAATTCAGAAGGAATTTAGATCATTGACAACTTTTTTGAGGGATCCATTTTCTGATCTCTCTAGAAAGAAATCAACTAACATTGAGCTTGATGGTAAACCATATTACTATTGCATAAACTTGTATAGAATAGGTATTATGCAAGACAAAATAACCATTTACCGTTTACCTTAACAGTAACTGTTTAAGATTGGTTTCGTTGTGGTTAGTGCTGAGATTTTTTTTATTGCTATTTGTTTGTATATAAATTCGACTGTTTAGACTAACGATAAATTCATGAATAATGATACGATATCTAGAGAAATCCAATCAACTATCGTTCTTCTTTTTAGTTCTCAAAGAGAATTGGTCAGTTGTTTCTTTACTCTTCCATTGATGCCTTTATTATCAATACTTACTTCAATTAATTGTTGCTCTAGTTGTCAGAAGGGGCATCAACTTCATGACTTCCAAACGAACTTGGCTTTCACCAAGAGGTGTCATAACTCTTCTAAATGAAGAATTTCTAACTCCCAGGGCACAATTTAAATGGTTTGAATTATTTTTTCTGATTAGTGTTCTACGGGATGGTGTCGCTAACCCCATGCCCAACCCTCCTCCTTTATCCGGGCTTGAGACCGGCAGTAGCCCCAGAAGAGTTATTCAATAAACCTCACCTTTCCCCCTATCTAATTTACTTATAATCATGATATTCTCTTCTGTAAGACTTATTAGAATGTTCAAATGCTTCTTGATTAGTTATACATATATAAATCACTTTTGTACAGCTGGCAGCTATCAGTTAAGACGATCTTAAACCTACCTAGTTCTTAAATTAAAACAAAACACTTTTCGTGTATATGATTATTTGGATCAACTCCTAAACTTACATCTATTAGGTAATCAATAAAATTAGTTGTCTGTTTTTTTATAAAAAAAAATATGTAATTCCTTTTATAACTGGAATTCAACTGTAGTGTGTGCTACTGATGTCGACAGATATAAGTAGTATGTAACGTCGACCGAAAATGAAATACCTGGTGACAGAAGGTTAAAAAGATCGAAGAAAAGAGAATAAGCACAGAGAATGATCGATTTGAAAATGAAGGAACACTCAATTCAGAGACGATTGATTGACATTTTGTAAATGAAGTATTCATTGTATGATTCTCAGATTGTACTAAGGAGATTCTGTAGTTTAGTATTCAAGTTACATTCAATTGTCCCCCATTTGTGTTCTTATTCACTAAATAACTTGTTACTTTAACTAGTGAATTTGAATATATTCCATTCAAATATGTGTATACATTAAGGTACTTAGTATACTATTAAGACAATTCAAACATTTTACTCTTATTTTTGAAATGGTTTCTAACAATTTCGCCTAGTTGAAGAACAGAAACTATTTAGCTGTTGATGAGAATGGAACGATTGTTAATAACATTCTATCGGAATTATTATTTATTTCTATATGAAATAGACGATTAGGATATTCTCCTAAGTTACAATGAAAGCTCAACAAATCAACTATTTAGCTCAAAGAATTCAACACTACCAAAACTATAAGTTATGTTATTTAATAAAATACTAACATGTATGTACAAAGAGATTATTATGTAAACAACTTCAAGTGCTCGTCAGTAATTTCGTAGGATACTTACTTACGCCTGTTACCTTTTATGGAGGAGCATAGGTTGCTCACCAGCATTCTACATCCTACTCCATCCCGGACAATCCTTTCCAGTTCTTTCCACTTGTTATTCATCCTTTTCATATCTACTTCCGATTCTCGATGCCGTGCATTCTTCAGTCTTCTTATTTTTTCGTTTCCCTTCAGGATTTCATATTAGCGTTGTCTCGTGATGCAGTTTGATGATTTTCTCAATGTATATCCTATTCACTTCCAACGTATTTACCTAATTTCCTCTTCAGCTGGAAGTTGGTTTATTCCATTCTCACAGTAGGTGGTTGCTGATTGTATCTGACTAACGGACATTGAGTATATTACGTAGACAATTGCTTATATGTACTTGTACCTTTTTGATGGTAATAGTTAGTAGAATTATCATTCAAAATTTTAAGATGGTAATATAATAACTTTTGTTATATGATTTCAGTCAAATGTTATCAACAAACATGCAAATTCCTAAATCTCCAGTTATAACCAACATGTTAACCAATGCATCAGGCAGTTTACCACAGAATTCTATGATGTAAGTTATAATTTAATGGTCATCCTTGTATTAACATTCAAATAACATTGTTGGCTTTTCTATTGAAATGTTCTTTCTACTCATTCTCAGAGTTACGTTACGTTACTTACTTACTTTACTTTACTTCCTTACGCCTGTTACTCCTAATGGAGAATAGGCCACCGACCACCACTCCACAACTCACTCTATCCTTAGACTTCCTTTCCAGTTCTATACAATTGTTGTTCATTATTCTCATGTCTGTCTCCATTTCTCGACTTAATGTGTTCTTTGGTCTTCCTCTTCTCCTTTGGCCCTCAGGATTCCATATGAGGGCTTGCCTTGAGACGCAGTTCGGCGCTTTTCTCAATGTGTGTTTTATCCACCTCCAGCGCTTCTTCCCGATTTCTCCCTCCGCTGGGATCTGATCTGTTCTCTCCCATAGTAGGTTATTGCTGATAGTGTCTGACCAACGGATCTGAAGTATTTTGCGTAGACGGGTGTTAATGTTAAAGCTTTCTTGTGGTCAATGAAGTTGATGTAGAGTCATTAACTCCATTCAACTGATTGTTCTACAATGATCCGTAGTGTTGCGATTTGGTCTGTACACGATCGATCCTTACGGAATCCAGCCTGTTGGTCTCACAGTTGGGTGTCTACGGAGTCCTTCATTCCGTTTAACAGTAGGCTGTTGAAGACTTTTGCTGGTACTGAGAGGAGAGTGATGCCTCTGTTGTTATCACACTTGCTGAGATCACCTTTCTTTGTTATCTTGATCAGGTGTCCTTCTTTCCAGTCACTTGGTACATTTTTAAATAAATTTAATGGTGGAAAATAATTAAATTCACTTGGTATTGTTTACGTGTATTTTCCCATTGATGTTTGGGACTGATAAATCTCTTATTGGCATATCTGATTTGTTTAAAAGAAGATGATCATTTACAATGGAAATGAATTGCTCCAATTTTTATATCCTAATTGGATTATTACGAGAATGGGGTTTCGTTAATAATTTAGTAATTTCTAGTGGTTAAATTGATGAGTTGAATAAAGCTAAACCACCATGGAATATCTGGAAGCACTAGATGGACGTTTCGTCCTAGTATGGGACTATTCAATGATAGTGATCATCCACGATCCCGCTAGCGGGACTCGAACTCAGGACCTACATGAGGTATTTCTTGGAGTTCTAGTGAGAAGCCGTGATCAGTGGAGTTCAACAGTGTCTGTTGTTGAGGCCACTGAAGACAATAGTGGACGGTCGCGCAATATCCTGGATTGGTTAAACTTAGACATTAACAACGTTGGTTACCGGCTAGCTCAGTGGTCTAGAGGTTAAACGTTTGCCCGAGGAACCAAAGTTCCTGTACCTAAAACCCGCGAGTGCGATCGTAGATGCGGACTACTACTGAGAAGTCCCATACTAGGATGAAACGACCATCAAGTGCTTCTAGACTTTACATGGTGGTCTAGCTTTAATCGACCCGTGAATTCAACTAATTAGATTAGTTGATTTGTTCCTGTCAATGAAAAAACTTCACACTACGAATAGATATCATAAGTCGTAAATCTAGTAATGATAGAAGTTATCTTAATCTCTTATATTCTAGTTAATTTCAAGCATAAAGTATATAATAACTATGAAGCTTATAAATCTAAATATCAGATAATAAACTAATTTTTTAAGCAAATATAGATAATAGCTAGCAGTAGAATCCAGGACGTGCATTTCGTCCTATTTTGGGACTCGTCAACTGAACATATCTGCATATCAGAGTTGATGGTCACTCTGAGACTTGAACCCAGTACCATCGCGTTATTCACTTAGCTACTAAGTTCTAATAAACCTTTATATATTACTATGATTGTTAAACAAACCTTCCTTTTCTATGATATTTTTTTATTATTTTAGTCCTTCAACAACAATTCCACAGAATAATCTATCAACCAATTCGAATATTTTCAATTTTGAAAATTTAGATAAAATTTGAAATGATGATAATGTAATAAGAATATTCATCTTATTGTTTAGTATTCAAAGTTCAATAACACTTTCTATTGACTCTATAACAGTAAACATTAAACACAGATACGATGATAAGTTTATTTTTATATACATACATATACACATTATATATATATATTACATTTTATTAAAAGCATGAGTATAACTATCAGTGTGCTTGTGCGTGTGTGTGAGTGTGTGCGCGCGCGCATGATTACCCATTTATTGTTACACATTCATTTTATGTTATCTATGATGATAAAAACTAACAATAATAATAGTTGCTAATGCATCTTGTCATTTGAAAGTGATGATACCTTGAATAAGTTTCAAGTTTTATCTCACTTGAATGATAATTTCAGTGTAAAATATATCAAATATATATGTGCACCATACAAGTCACTTGATTTGTATGTGAGCTGTGATACGGTTCAAGGGCCCAAAACAGAAGCAGTTAGTCTACATAAGGGGTAAAAACCGGAGTCTTCGACCTAAAGATCTAATCCATAAGGTAGTGGAGCAACCTCAGGAGATGCAGTCTGAATGTAACCAGTGATCAACGATTGGTTCATACGTCATTTGTACACTCAGGATATTGGAGCCTAAGTGTGCCATTGGTTTGTAATTAAGGTTTCCCAACTCCCCTAGGTAAACTCTTCGTGTCTACCAACCTGGTTAAAGCGCAGGACATTCGCTTTTTGTCCTCTAAATTTCGTAAACAACACCCTAACCGAACGAAATTAAAAAGTTATTCATGTAATAAACAAGAATCTGGTATATTAATTTTGATTTATTGTAAAGCAAAGTTAGAATTGATTGAATTTATAAAATAAGTAGGTTTGCTAACTTACGTGATATTTAAGGCAAGTGAAATGTTTATTGATCTATCTATCCTTAGATAACGTCCAGAAGTTGATTGGAACACGAATCAAGTAATATTGAAGTATGTTATTGAGATTAAATGACAGTCTTTGACAAACATGATGATTTCTAAGAATGATAGAAATACGAAAAGAAGGACTTATTTGATTTTATGATTCATGGTGGATTCCCGCAAAAGACGAAGTTTCATAACCAAAGTTCATATAACAGCTAAAACTCTAGTCAGTAGAATATTTCGAGAGTGAGATGAGAAAATGAAGCTGATCTGATTTTCAGTCATAAATTAAGTAAAAACAAGTCAATGTTGGTGAGACGTTTACATTTAATTAATCAGTTTGAATTGAACATTATTAGGATGAATAGAATTATAAGATGGATAACGATCTGTATTCCTCATCTACACGAATGGGACACTAATTTGCCTTACACATATATCTATACTACATACCATTCCAGTGTCTACTCTACAGGACTTCAGTACAATTCAGATCAAGAACACTTGATTAGCCGAACTAGAACATAAGTATATTTTAACACCAAAAACCAACAACAATCACAATAATAATAAGGGTAGGGAAATATCGAACTCATCTAATAGATATTAGACTATCTCTACTGGTCTGATTAAACAAACAACCAATTGTTATCTAATGACAAATTGTTTCAAAGATTATTTTTAATAATTTCATCAGGTGAGATCAATTGAGTCAATTGAAGCTAGACCACTATGGAAAACCTGGAACCACTGGCCGGCCGTTTCATCCTAGTATGTGATTCCTCAGCAGTGCGTACCCATGATCCCGCCACGCACATATATGCGTTGGTCAAAGTTGCCATACCGCATTAGCACAACATGATGAACACTGGATTCATAAACAGAGTGTTTATACACCTACACCATTGTGATCGATTCTCAACCATGTCACCCACACTCTCCAACCATTGGTAACGATAGTCACCTGGACCCCAACCAAGTAGTCTGCATCTACCAACATGAGTCAGACTAGAAGTTACCATCATTCCCTAATACCCTACGTCTAACCTCACTTTTACTTACCCGGTGATCCCAGCCAATCCGAGCATTATTTCTAAGACATCTGTGGTCAAACACTGTGGTCAAAGCTTACGAACATTTTCTACTCCTAATGGTCACGTTTCGCAGCCGTTAAGTAGAACAGAACAAACTGCCGCGAAGTACACTCATCCCTTAATCTATAAACGGATATCTCGCTTTCGTCATAGGTCACGTAATTTGTCGAAAGCCAAACGAGCCTTTCAAATCCGTGCTGAGATTTCGTCAGATACCAAGCCATTAGGGTTGATCAGAGTTCCAAGATAAATGAAGTTGTCAACGCGTTCGACTACTTCACTCCCTATCCTTAGTTCAGGTGTTGACGCAGACCAGTCCTGAAGCAACAACTTGCATTTAGAGAGAGAGAGAGAGAAACACATCCCAAACATTCTGCCATTATTGCTCAGTGTTATCAAAAGACTGTGCATTTTATCAGCGTCTTCACCAAACAGGACCATATCACCTGTGTATTTTAAGTCGATGAGTGGACCTCCTGGTAGGAGATCGATACCCGAAAATTCAGTTGGTGAGAGTGTTATTTGCATCATTAGGTCTGTGACGACGTTAAACAAAAATGGAGAAAGTGGACAACCTTGACGGACACCACATGAGGTTGTAAAAGCAGATGACAATTCCCCATAAGCTCTGATCTGACTAGTAGTGTTCGAGTGAAAAGCCCTCACAAGTTTTATGTATTTCTGAGGTATACCTTTCAATGACAGACACTGCCACAGAGTCTCGCGGTCTACCGAGTCAAATGCTGCTTTTAAGTCACGAAAGACCATCATTGTCGACGCCGGTAAGCATGCATGTGTCCTAGAACCTGACGAATGGTGAACATGTGGTCGATGCAGTCACGACCAGGGAATGAAGCCAGCTTGATTCTATCGTGTTTGCAGTTCACGAATCTTAGTTAGGCGTCCGATAATTATTGAGGCCAGTATTTCAGATGCTATGTTAGTCAAACTAACCCCTCTACGTTTATCACAGTATGATTTTGACCCTTTCTTATATATTGGGACGATAAGTGATTGTGACCAGTCAGATGGAATAAAGTCTAACTCCCAGATCTTAGCTAAAATATTAGTCAACCTAATCGCTAAAATTGGACCACCATCCTTAAAGACCTCTGGAGCCAATCCATCTGCCCTTCCTTGTTTCAGATTAACTACAGCCTTTCGAACTTCAGCAAAAGTTGGGGGACCTACTTCAATGTTCCATTCACATTGTCTGGGAATGGAGGGTAGTTGTAGAGTAGCTGAAGGCCAGTTGAACTGTTCTCTGAAATGTTCCGCCCATCGTTCTAAACGTCTGGACTGGGAGCAGATGAGAGTGTCGTCTTTTTCCGAAATAATCTCACTTACACTTGACTTATTAATTCCAGTTTCTTTTATTAGTCTGTAAAGCTGTCTTGTGTTCCCTATAGTCGCCGCCTTTTCCATCTCTTTTGCTTTCATTGCCCACCACTGCTCACGGTTGTTCCTTAGACTCTTGCTTAACCTAGATCTGATTTGTTTTCGCTCTTCATCGTGTTCAGAGCCTGATGGGATGAGTTTACGAGAACCCATCAGTGCAATAGACTTAGTAGAAATCCATTGATTTTTCTGTAACTCTTTGGTTTAAGTTACTAATAGATGTCACTGCTGTTTCTACAGCTGTTTGTATAGCTTTCCAAACGTCTGGGTCAGCCTCGTTTCCAGGAATACCAAAGTATGACCTCAGTTGTTCCTGAAACCTACTTTTGGTTTTTTCACTACTCGATTCAATTTTAATGGATCTTTTTGGTATGGCTTTTCTGCATCTAGTGAGGCGCAAGCAGATGTGTGCTCGCATTAGAACATGGTCGGAGTCCAAGCGGGTATTCCAGAATGAGCGGCAATCTTCTATCGACCCTCTCCAACGATGACAGATGGCAATATGGTGTATTTGAGTTCGTCGTTGGTTTGGGGTAGGGGGTCGCCATGTTAGACGATGTCTCTCCTTGTGCTTAAAATTTGTGTTTGCTAAAAATAAGCGATTGTTTGAGCACAGTTGCAGCAGACGATCACCATTATCTGTTCTTTGTGCCGGAATACTAGAATACCCACCTAAATGCCTTTCTGTTTGGTTTAAACTACCTATCCAAGCATTAAAGTCACTTGCTACGAGTACTATGTCTGAACGTTTAGCTTCCTGAAGTTCAGATAGCTTTCTGTAAAATTCATCTTTCATTTCATCTGAGCTGCAGTCGGTGGGAGTGTAGGCAGAAACGACAAAAGAGCAACGACATGTGTCCCTATCCTACCACAATCATACGGAGCCGTTTAGCCGAACAGCACATAAACGACTGTTAACGGGGATCCACTCTAATAGTGCTTGTTGCGTCCTCGTACTTAGTGCTATGCCTACACCTGCTAGTCCACGAGAACTAGCCATCGGGTCGTCAGATACACGGAGGGCTCTCCGTTTTGCCGAGGTGAGGTCAAGTGAATAACCACACTAGGATCCTGTATGCGTGTTTCGGAGACACAGCATACATCAATGGTACGAGATTCTAGGGTTCTAGCCAAGGAGGCCTGCTGAGCGATTTGACATAAGGTGCGTACGTTGAAGACTCCAATGTGTAGTTTGGAGCCAGGTTTCAGTAGACCTGGGACAATGATTTGCGCACTAGAATCGTTGGCTATGGTGACACTTGAGAAGGAAGCAAAAAGAGGAAGTTTAGAGTTGAAATTCGATGTAGGAGGAATAATAAGAACTAAAAAAGAGGTTGATTATAAATATAATGGTCTCGAGTGCTGTTGAAAGAATGAGGGCGGTTATCACTTCCCGGTTGCGCACACCGTGGAAGTTTCCTTCCGAGGGCACCGGAAAGGGAAATTGGATTAAATGTGAACTTAAAGACCTGAGGTCGGTCACACGAGACCTTTCTATGAGTAATTCTTGTGTTTGCTTCGTACTTGTTGAGACCTTATCGCCGAGGACGGATATCCGCGGGATAAGGCGTTTTTTGCATTTTTTGGGTCGACCTTTTCTAACCCCACCCGTCCTTGTGAGAAGGCAGCATCACTGTCATGCTGGTTGTCTGAAGGAAACACCTTACTGCTGTCACATCTCTGTACAGTCAGAATTACGACTTCGCCATCAGATCTTTGGTTTGCTGCTTTTTATCTTACCGTTCTCTGGCACGGTAGGACCCTGGAGAACGATTGTTCCAGCTAATATAGCTCGATTGGTTCATCACAATAGGCAAGCCCGACCACCACATCAAGGTAGCAACAACGGTTACATAACTAAGAATCCATGTTCTAATTTAATTGATATGTCGATTAGCGACAAGAACTAGATGAACACTTATCTGTTTTACTTCGTAGCTGAGTTTTACAAATCAAATGCTTTTTTCAATAAAAAAAAAGTACAAACGACAAAATATCACTCATTTGAACATTGAACTCATCAAAAAAGATAATGTTGAAAGAAAATTATAATTAGCAAAAACAAGAAAAGCATATGCTTAAATGCAGAGATAGAGAGAAGAACAAATAAATAAATTATTGCACAACAACGATGGCAACAATGACGACAACAACAACAACAACGATGATAACGGTTGAAGGTATATCGACATCAATAATAATAAGAATAATAAAAGAAAGACACAAGAAGATCCTTCATTAAAATTGTGCTCTTTTATCACAAATATTAAATTGTTTTATCAAATTGATTTGTCATTGACAATTGCTGTTTAAGTCAAATCAGTACTAATCTGATTAGTAATAGACAAAGTGATAGGAAATAATCTATGCACAACAGATGAATATACTTTAGATAGTGTAAGTTCGTGAATACTCAATGTTAAAATGTTTTATTTGAATGTATTGAGAAGATTCACTATCATATCATGATAGTAAATAGAATTAGAATGAACAGAAAATATATGTGTATCAATTATATTGTTGTTACGAGAAATTATCCCATAAAGTACGTTGAACTACTTTTTAGTTTTTTAAGTAGTATAAAGCTGAGAAATAAAGAAAGTGTTTTGATCAAGATTAATTGAGAACAATGATAATTTGAAATATTCCCATATTGTAAATTTAGAACAACATATATAAGCGAACAATATTGTTTTCGATTAGATCCTCATCAGGCTTTACTTCTAATATACAGTAATGTATTTATATGCATATATGAAATTATTAAAACAATCAAGTTAGTTTATGATAACCGGTGCACTTGTTATCACACTATCAATTTATACTTTTCACTTATTATGTAATCTATTCCATTATTATCATTGACTCATAAACTACCTTGATTGGTTTAATAATTTCGTATTTGCATATAAATACATTACTGTATATTAGAGTAAAGCCTGATGAAGATCTAATCGACACCAATATTGTTCGCTTATATATGTTGTTCTGAACAATGATTATTTAGATAATTTAATGGGATAAATCGGTTAGTCTCCAAACAATAGCATGAGCACCTGAACCCATTTGACGTGAACGATTAACATGAATCCTCATGCTAGAAACTGTATAAATATAGAAAATAAATAAGAAATGATGTTTGGTTAACAAGATAGATTGGTTAGAAGCAAAACTATAAAACTATAAACTATCAGTCTGATCAGATGTAGTTATGAAATAAGTTATAGTTACACATTATCCTTTACTGAATCACGTTGAATGATACTTTATGACGTGAAAAGAAATGTTTCTCGATAAGCCACTTGCCTACCTACCTACCTAACTGCACAAGAACAAGAGAACATGTATATATTGATCGATCAAAGTAACGTGTTCTCTCCAAAGGATGGGCAACATGCAGAAGATAGTTTAAAATGTCTGTAGAGGTGTTACGTATAGTGCTTGGTGTGGTTATTTAGCAGCTTTACTTCTTATGATTTTGTCGAAGTCATCACCGTTGCATTTAAGTTTATGTAGTATCTTATTTAGTATATTCGTGACGTTCATACCATTTCCTTCAGTAAACCATTAAGGATGGTCATTATCCATGAAATCAACTGTAATATACAGAATTTGCTGTTCTATTTTGTTTCCCGTGAATATTTATGTGATTCGTCGAATGAGCAGTTTTTTTTAATGCAGTAATAGTCTTTGTGTAGTACATACCACCCAAAACTCTGATAATAATTATGGTGATTCGAAGTCTCAATGAGTTAGATTTATCTAAAGTGTCATCATATTTGGCGTGCGCCTAACTGTGTAATAGAAACCGACCGTTTCGTCCTGTCTGGGATTCATCAGTGAGATGTAATGAATTTCAGAGTTGATATTCATATTGAAATACATATCCAGTCCATTCCATTTCAAACACCCTCATACTCGTTAAGCACATAAGTGACTATCTGGACTTAATAGCTCTGTGGATAATGCGTTGGGACTTTGAAGCGAAGGGCGATAGTTTCGAATCGCAGTGTGAACATTAAAGTTAGGGTACAGGTACATCCAACAGAAAAGTTTCAAATAGCATAAGAGCTTGCGAAGGATGCTCATAGCTCAACAAAGATGGTTCACAACGAGTTTATTTTATCCCGAACCACTGGACATATTTTCGTTAATTTAGTAGACAAATATTGCACAATAAAGTGTAATTTCGATGACAGACTTCATTTCAAGTAATGAATTTCACTGGGGTTTTTTTTTGTTTCATCATACATATTGGCTTAAGATACACTAACTTATTCATAATAAGCAACTACGAGTAAATTCAGACATGCTACATTCACTCACAATATGAACAAATTGGCAGAAAGTCCTGGATACAGAAAAGTACAGTTATTGAACATTGAAAATGAAATAAATAATTTTAAACCAGGAAATTAAAAGCACATTAATACAACGTTACAAAATTGAAAAAAATAAACTCCATAAAAGAATTACTTTGATCAACTGGAAGATGAGTTTGTTGTTCATCTTTCTGTTCATATTGTTCTTGAAATTGTCTCAGATCTACATAATCATGTCCAACTGATACAATTAAATAACTCAAGTCTTCGTTGTTAATCGCTTTTTGACAAACTTGAGAATGATTTGAAAAGTAAAAACAAGAAAATATTTAAAGTTAAAAAGATACTCTTGATTGTTTAACCTAATCTTTCAATCAATAGGCTTTTAACCTCACTACATCGAATTAAGTAACCAACTAGAGCTACTCAATATTACATATACAAACAGTGAGGCTCATAGTTAGATAAATAAACTTGCAACTAGTGAATTAATTGTATTGCAACGATTCAACATCTACCTCTTTAACAAACGTACATCTATCTGGGGGCTGAACAAGAACAATATTATCACAAAACATTACTACGTTCCATAAACAACGAAATTTTAAGTTTCATCAGAGGTGCGTAGATGGTTCTTACCCCCGGATTACTCACAACATAAAAGAGTACTTAATCTTTAAGGTGACTGACAAAGAAAGTAGGGTAGGAATGTTCTAACATGAGAAAGGCCAGTTACACACGTCCACTTTGTCACTTTGGATATATGTGTTTTATACTTCCAAGTTATTGCTGACAGATACGAAAATAAATAAGATGAAGTAAGGTGTGTTAAGTCAAGCCACGAGCTTTTCTAATTAGCTCTATCCTTTATGAATACTTGTCTCACAGAAACAAATTATTGCTGTTACAGTTCTGTAAAACTGAGCGCTTAGACTCTCCATTTACTGTTTTTAGTCCTTCCCTCTTCTAACTGATCTACCTATCACGGAAGGACCTAAAACAACGAGTGTCCCGGTCAATATAACTCGATTAAGTCATCAAGACAAGCTTTAATCCGACGTGAAACGCTTAGGCAGTAGTTATGATCAAATTTCAAAGGATCAATATTTGTTGTTTTAGTAAAAATCAAAATAATATTGATCATTATTTTCATTAAATAATGTAAGTAGTACATACTTTGATGAATTAATAGTAAATTGCATACAGGACGTCGATAACCATGACAACTGATTGTTATTGAAGAAGTTTTGGACAATTCAACCTCATTTGATGAATGTTTATACTCTACATAATTATAAAATTATGAAAGAAAATTTATTAGTTTATACTTAAATATCATATTCATGATGTTAATTATTAGAATGTGAAAAGAGTTAACCATAGTAACTGGCTATTCAAAATAATTGAATCATCAATATCCAAAAGACAAATTTCTAATCTTTTAAAGGTAAAACAATTAACTCGCACTAATTATATAATGGGCATGAATACAGATTGTGTATTTGTTTTAATTTCACTAGTATTTTTAAATATGAAAAATAACTAATCAAGAATAGAAATGTACTGATATAACCCCCTTGTGATGAAATAAATGAAAAGTCAACTTCTACATGAAGTAATAAATTGAAGTTGTCAAGACTGATTAGTAAAGTTGCGCAAGTAAACAATTGTTTATCTCAGATTTAGTACAATATCGTATTAAAAAAAGAAACTAGATTTCAATTCTTTGTAAAGTTACATAGTAGTGTCGGTTACTATGTTAAGTCTAGATACCATATTCTAGTTTATGGACAGGCCAACTTATCCGTTCTTCCTGAGTTACGCTTTGACTCTGTTAATTATTCACTCATCAATCTTGACTGTTTTTCTATGAGCGCATATGTTTGTACACTTCTTATTCTATTCATTACATGTCTGTAGCTTATTTTTATCTGGCTATAAATATAGATTAACGACTTGATTAAATGAAGTTGGTTCACACATCTTTACTGCGCGTCATTTCGCTTCGTTCCTCTGAATGTCTGTCCAGGCCAATGGTTGTACAAAATATACGTATTCGAAATCCATTCTCGTCTTTGATTTATTTAATTCTGTTATTCACTAACGCGATTTAAGTCGATGAAATAAACGAGGAATTATGATCAATCATACAATCTATTTGCAGTCAGATCCCGGGTCACTAAAGCACCACTGGAACCTATTCTAGCTTTAAAACATAATGTCTGTTCAAGAATAAGCATTCGACAATAAATAGTTGTAGAACAAAAATCGGATCAATACAAAATTTTGACATTCGTTCGTTTATTCATATAAAGTTGAGAAATATTATAACATGCACCTTGATAGATTTCAAGAATGACAAACATAGAAAAGACATTTCCGAAATTCTGGTAAAAATCTATGGAGTTCAACCAAGTTGAGTGTGACAAAAATACTCGCTGAAGATAGTGGAAAGTAGTCGTGTAATATTCCAGATAGAGTGAATTCAGATTTGTGCACCAATAGATCCACATTCAGAGTTCTACATGTTAAGTGTCAAAGCATAGGAATGGTGGCCTTGATTCAGTTCCCGGTTGTTGGTCATAGGTGTGTATTACTAAGACGCAACGAGCGTTTAGTTCTCCCAGCTTTCTAATGGCTCTATAATCTAGATAGGTTTGTAGTCGTAATAAAATTTGAAGTTTTATTTTGTTATAAAATCCTTATAACGTCAAACATACTACTATCAGTTCGCTAATGCAACTTAGTATATCGAGTGTACTAAAGTAAACAATTAGGTTGCAATATGACGAAGACTAGGAAAGTATGACCTTGACCACTACACAACCAATTGTAAATATCCCAGTCATACAGAAGGCCAGAATAATTTAGCGATACAGTCTCAGGTTGTGAAGCTAGTCAACCCATGTGTTATTCATAAAAACAGCACCAGTTCCTGTAAGGTAGCAGATATACTTTGCTGATGATAGCCACGAAAACCAAGTTTATACAGGGTTTCCTGCTAAACGCCATTAATCACTTAATAAACGATTAACTACTTATAGAACAGGCATGAATAATTGTGTTTTTGCTCGCTTAATAATTTTAATAATTATTCAATTCTGTTAACATGATTCATCGATAGATAAAAAGTCAATAAATAATTACTGGAGTAATCCAAACGTAAACGAGCAATAAGACCAGAACGAGTAGCAAACCATATTTCATGATCACTAGTCAGTGGTATAATAAGTAGACGACATATAGTTAAATCAATCGGATCTGTAACATTTTCCATATCTATAAAGAATTAAGAAAAAAACGCATTATAAACAGATAATAGTGAGAATTATATTAACTCCGCCTGGAGTCCCTCCAGGGGCTACTACCGGTCCCAAGCCCCGATAAAGGAAGAGGGTTGGGCATGGGCGTAGAAAACTAACTCGCTAAAAAAACGCTAACCAGAAAAAATACTACTTATAAGTAACTAGTATTTCATAGGACAATTCGTCATGAACATCTCATTGCTTGATTCGTAAACTAACAACTGATTTATTTTCTTACTGATTGATGCATAAACTTTATCTCTATTGTCTGTACTGAGTGTTGACTGCTGTTGTCAGTTTGAATATGAGTTATTTTTTGCCTTGAGTTAACTGTTATTTACTTTAGCAATGAGTTTAATACAGAAAACAACTATCTAACTTCAACCGACCTAAAATGCAATCACTCACATAAATCTCAATAACAAGTGAATTACTTTACGCTCATTGATGATGCTAATCAATAAACGTTTCCAGCTTCCAATCATTAACGGTTGAAAGCTCTAATCCTGACCCATCTACAAACCAATCTATTCATTCATCTACAGTACTACCTACTTTTAAGTAAATAAAGTATGTTGCTCATGTTCGGCAACATAAATTTGTACTTTATTATTGAATTACAATATGACAATGAAAGAAACGTATGACCGAACCACTTGACCAACTGTTGCACATAATGAGAACGATTAAACCTTTAGAATATGGTATAAAATAACACAATGGAAACGGATGTATGAAAGAATACAGAAATTCAAGATTGAGAGGAAGAAAAAAAGTTAATCTATCTGCATCATTCTGAACGATTCTAAGCCACAGTATCCAGCATCACAAACAGTCAATGATTATGATTATCAGTTTGACCACAACCAGATATGTCTGCATCTACAAAACATGGCTTAAATCTACAATGCAATGATAATTAAACTATGTACAGAATAATAATTAATAATTTACCCCAAGCTTACCTAACATTGAAGACAATGAATTGGTTAAATCAATTTGACGTAGAATACACTTTTGTTTAGGACAACATCCTAATAGACGTGCCATTCCAACACTTACTCCACTATTTACATTATGTTGACACTTTTTCTGATTAACGATAACATCATCATCAATGTCTTTATTATCAATATTACTACGATTACTATCGGTTGTAGATGTTGAAATTTTCTCACATGATGCACAAATTGTAGGATTGCCAGATACAGCTAACCAAACAATGTCGGCCAATCCTGTTGTAGACGGTTTAATGCATATTGCATGTAGACATGGAGTTTCATTTGGTAATGCTAAACTATACATGTTAAAAATATTTATGAAATAATAATAATAATACATATATTTCTGTAAATTAAGAGTAGAATAAGGAAAAATGTAAAATATCACCAATAAAAAGGAACTCTGAACTGCGTTACTCCGATACAAGGTGGGTATCTTTTCTCAATGCGTTAAATTATATGAAGAGTAAGATGGAGAAGTATAATATAGTGAGTAAAAAGATTATTCACTGAGTCAGTCAGTCATTTAGCTACAACGTAGGACCAGACACATATGTACATCAGTCTAAGTTGCCACACCTCATTAGCACAACAACATGAACACCGGATTCATAGAATTAGTCACTTCAATGGTAGTAATATTTAAAAGAAAAATTGTGTGTAAGGAAGAAAGAATTAGTTCGTAGAAAGAAAGATATAAAGTAGTTTTAATCTCACGGTATAAGGAAAGACAAAGAGTGTATACACCTACGCCATAATGATCTATTCTCAACCATGTCACCCACACTCTCCAATCATTGGTAACGATAGTCACCTGGACCCCAACCAAGTAGTCTGCATCTACCAACATGAGTCAGTATAGAAGTTAGTGACTTCAAGCACTGATGCCATGTTTTGGTTTGGCCACCCCTAACTTTCTTACAACCATCCCCTACACTAGTCAGCATTCCGCGTCGTGATATTCGGTGTTCAGGCATACGCAACACTTGGCCCAACCATCTCAGTCGGTGAAGATTCACAACCTCATCAACTGATTTACCATCATTCCCTAATACCCTACGTCTAACCTTACTATTACTTACCCAGTGATCCCAGCAGATGCGAGAAATACTTTTAAGGCATCTGTGGTCAAATACGAGTAGCTTACTGTCGATATGCGTCTATCATGTAGTAATCTCTCCATATATATATAGAATCGTCTGACAGCATTTTTTCATTAAAATAAGATTAAAATGTAAAAATGAGAATTTGCACATGCAATGAAATCAGTTTATGCTACAAAGATGAACAAATTATTACAGGCAACAAAATGTTTATTCACTATCATATGAGCACAAACTTTCAAAAGCAGGTTAACTAACCACTTATTTGAAATCATGAGTCAATTGAAGCAAGACCACTATGGAAAACCTGGGAGTACTGGACGGCCGTCTCATCCTAGTATGGGACTCCTCAACAGTGTGCATCCATGATCCCGCCCCCCGCGAGTTTAGGGCCCAGGACCCATCGGTCTCGCGCACTAGCTCTCAAACATTAGACCACTGAGGCGGCATCCGACGTTGTCAATGTCTAACTTCAACCAATTCACTTAATTTCTAAAATCTCCACAAAACCCTTTCTGATAATAATCACTTATTTCTCAATTTTTTTAACCATACCGAAAACGTTTTTATCAATAAGGACGTCAGGAAACCCAATAACCGTGCAATGATGGCCACACTATAATTACTTACAGTAAAAGTAGAAACTAAAATATGATTTGGAAAGCAGGAGGTAAACCAATACAGATCTACACTGATAGTAAACTTGAAGAATTATTTCATTTAGCGTACATCACAAGTAAAAAAAAATACGGAAAGGCAAAACTATAATGTATAGACGAACCAGTCGTATTTAAAATTGAACTTTGGAGTTTTGGTGTGAAATTCATTCATCCATATGACTAAATTACACTTGAGCATTATGGCTGATATCAATTCGAGATGTAAAGCTCTAATTCTAATTCTTAACCGCAAATCAATTCCTTACACTAATTTGTAATCTCAATAAAGTGATTAAATTTTCTCGAAACCACTACTTAAGTATTGCTCAAACATCATCCATAAATAATAGTCTCGCAGGGAGAGACGATATAAAAAAAAAACAAATACACATACATAACTAACCTTGTTATAAAATCACCAGATTGGACGGCTAAACAATAACAATGACCACCACCAGCTGTACCAAGCCAAATATAGTCATTTATTGAAGAAATATTATTCTCATTCACAGTAGAACAAGGATTAGAAGAAGACAAAGTGGAGGATGAAAACGAAGAAGCCATAATTAACGGACCAGTTGATAAAGATTCATACGGTAAATTAATGAGTTTATGTTTTGTTTGTATTTTTTTGGATGTAGAAGTAATCATTGAAGATGATGTATTTACGGTATGATTATGTTGATTTTGCATAAATGTTAATGGCCATTGAAAGCAAACAATATGAGTTGTACCAAGTGAATTGAATAGACCAATACACACATAATTATCACGTGAACTATAGAAGAATAATGTGAATGTACAGAGTGAATAAACGTGGTGGGATAAAGAAGGAAGATGAATACAAAACAATTCGATCGACGATGATAAGAATAACAGTAAACAAGAATCGATCAGAAGTGAAGAAATACAAATATCATAGCATAATGAATGAACCCTTATATACAAACCTGACTTATAATAAAAATATGCTAACATTCATGACCGGATTAAATATCCGAATTATACAGAAAAAAGCCTTCCTAAGGGTTAAACAATTGATTCATCTGAAAATATTTATTTTAACACAAACAGTGGCACAATGGAGCACCAAAATATATATGAGCTGCACAACATCCATGACGTTGTGAAGTGGCAGAGAAGGTGAAGTGCGTAATATAAAAAGAACAACAACGAACAGAAATTAGTGTACGAGAGTGAAATAAAAATAATGGGAAGAAAACAGTTCAGTTAACAAAATTATAATCAGAAAGAATCCTTTCAGTTAAAAAAAGTTACTGATTGAGATTATGAATCGATAAATTTTAGACCACCATTGAAAACCTAGAAGCAATGGACGGACGTTTCGTCCTAGTATGGGACTCCTGAGCAGTGTGCATCCACGATCATGCAAGTGGGGTTCGAACCCAGGACCTTCAGTATCACGCTGGCATTGTGGTCTCGAGGTAAGTTTCCCTGAGGTGATGGAAGTTTTACAACACATATCCTGAATAAATAAACTTTAGAGGAGATCTTGAACAAATTGTATCAACATGAACATTTACTCTATGTATTAGCATCGGTAAAGAATAGATACAAACCTTTAACTTTCGTTTATCTTCATGGCATCAAGAAATTGGATCGAGAGTTTTCTAAAGTTTATTTATGTTACTTATTTAAACACAGAAAAACTGGTACAAAGGGGCACCAAATATAAATTCGACACACTTTATCATTCGATTTTTGTGAAGACTAGGATACTGTCCGGACGCCCAAACGGAAGCAGGTTGTTTTCTTAGGGTGCCACATTCCGAGACTTTGACCTAAAGGTCTAGTCAACAAAACAGTGGAACAACGTAAGAAGAAATAGTCTCATCGAAGCCGGTAACCACCAATACGTTCATACGTCATCTGTTCCCTCACAATCCTCGAGCCAATGTCCACAATTCATTTGGAATCAGAGTTTTTCAACTCTTCCAGATGGCTACTCGATACCCAACAACCCGGTTAAAGCAACGGACACTCGCTTTTCGTCCTCTCAATTTCATAAACAACACCCTCGCCACGAGAAGGCAGTGAGTAAGATTTCCTTGGCAGTGGCTATGTACGCGTGACCGTGGGAAAGCATTTAGAGAGAGAGTGAGAGAGAGGTCTCTTCTCACTCTCGGCCATACCAGGCCATTTGAGGGTTTAGTTTAAGTTCGTTTAATCAGTAATGTACGTTGAGTACACACATGTCGAAGTTTATTGTTGCGTTGGTATTTCGATTTATACACATAGAACGCGTCATCAGAAGGCCAGATTCGTTCGATTTCGCTATTTTCTAAAATAAGTAACAATAATTATCAGTAGATTTCGATAAAACGTAGATAATCACAGGTACCCATTGGACATCACTTCATCGATTTCAAAGAAGTTTAAAACAAACCCAATTGTTGTGTGAATCAACTACATTAATTTTGATTCAACTGCAGATCAACTGATTTCATGACAAACTTTTCTTTCGACTGAGTGAGGTTACCTTATCATTATTACTAGTTTAGATTATAATACTAGAAAATATCCCATTCAATATGTTATATGATTCATTTACGTTGATTCTTACTAGTTTTAGTCAAACGGTTGTATTTCTTAATATCATTGATCAGTGTTGAACGAACATATAAATGTATAAAGGAATAAAATTATGACGTATTTTGTTAGTTAAATGAAGTTATGTTGGGTTTATTTTGTATTAAATTATTTCTGTAACAAATGACCTATGGAAGTAAAAACATAGATAGGTTGAGGGCTTTTTGATCATACATAACTTTGACGCATGGCTCGTTTTTCGTGGAACAACTGAGTGAGTAATATTGAGGTCAAGCATAATGTACTAGGCAAAGGTGGAAAGTCGGTTGATGAAGTTTTATACTTTCATCAACGTGGATATGGTGTTATGTTTTCCAGAACACAATATTCGTTGAAGAGTGAAGTTGACTGAAGTAGAAGCAGGTTGGAAGAATTTGTAGAGTAGCCAACACTAAACGTAGTTTCAGTCTATAAAGTCAATGAATGTTGATGCGGACTATTCCGGTAGATGCAGAATACCTGGTTAGGATCAGTGCGATAACCGCGATTAGTAATTGGAGACTTTAAGCGAAAATGCACAAAATTGTCCACAATGGAGTAGATGTATTCACCATCTACCTGGCTTCTGATCTAAAATTTCAATATGCTTTCATAGATTCTTATTCACTATGTCTTTTAAAAACATACTCCCGATATCTAGTCTCTTTTATTACCATTACAACTTTGATCTCTTTTATTCCTTATCTTGTTATTTTCATCGTATCATTCTAATTTAATATTGGCAATTCGAACCAACGTCCAATGATAACAGGCATTACGCTGAAGAAGACTGTAATCATAATTTAACACTCCTAATCGTAACATTAATTATTAATTGAAAACAAAACAAGCAACTCATCATCAAATTAACATAACTTACATCATCCCATTAGCCACTAAACCTTGACTATTTGTTTTAAATCGATATATTAATTGTGGTAAGCCAACAACATTGAAATGACTTGAAACAATTTGCTCACTATAATTACTATTATTATTGTCATTATTTCCGGCCACATCAGACGAACTGGTTGACTTCGTGCTATAACATAATCTATAAACTAGAAATCGTCCATCATTTGACGCTAAAATTACGCAACCATCTGAGAAAAAACAAGTTTTTAAAAATGTAAAAATTGATAGAAGGAACTTGTTCAATGAAAGAGAAGAATTACAGAAACATGAAAAAGCAACGTCAAACTAACAAAGATTAAATGTGACTGAAAAGGTTTTTGTGTACATTGTTTTAGTTTAAAGGTTGTATTCATCAAAACAAAATTTCAATTGGGGTCGTCCCATTAAAGTGCAGAAGGCACCAGACAACTGCTTCATCTTAGTATGAAGACTCTCTACCTTAGTAGCATGCACACACGACCCTGCTAAATATCAAAAGTAAGATTCATCAATCTTATTCATTATTATTCTAATTGTTACTTGCCATCAAATCCTACAATCATTTAAAATGACTGTTTATTTACCCACTACAGGTAAAAATCAAAATCTAATCTTTCATACTGTAATTGTGCCTTTAACTATCATTACAGAGATTTGTGGAGATTATTGAATATTATTAATAATACGAACTAACCTAAGTTAACATTCGTTGAAACCTTGAAAGAACTGTGCAGCTGTTTCATCCTAGTAAGAGACTACTTGGCAGTGCGTACACATGACCCCATCATAGGAGGTCGAACCGAGGATCCTCGGTCTCGTGCACGGACGCTCAACCTCCAGATCACTGAGCCAGAATTCAATAGTGTACATGTCCAACGTCTATCAATTCACGATATTAAGCGACCATCTTCCATTGTCTACACTCTTTAATTTTTCCATGTTTCAATTAGTCTACTTTCTTCTCTTCACTACTAAAAACTACACATTCCAAGGAATTCAGTTCATTATAAACAAACAAATAATAGAATGCATCTATACTGTTAATCATTTATTTGATTGATTGTAAAGTGATTAAAAAAATGAAGCCACTGTCACAGGTGAAACATTTTCATCCTAGAAATATTCATTCTGTTTTTCTTTCCAAAGTCTAAATTTATCGACATATTTTTTTTCTTTTGCCAATAATTCTCAGTTCTGATGAATGATTAAGTCAATCAAAACACCAACATGATAGTTACCACGTTGACTTTTGAAATTATTCTCGGATTGGTCACTTTCCCTTTGAATATATTATCTTCTTATATGCTTATAAAGTCATCATTGTTATTGTATAGACAGTATTGTTTTCTCAAAGTGTTGACTGTTTTAATTGAAACAATAAAATCTCCTTTTTTCAGTAACTGTCTTTCCTATCACTCTTACTGAAATGTCGAGGAAATTATCACTGAACCAATGTTACTATGTAGTTGTAGTTGTTAGTGGACGTGAAAAATAAGAGCTAAATTTCATCTTAATCATGAATTATCCTACAAGTATGGATAATTGAATTTGGAAATAAGGATAATAAATTGGTATCAAAAGGGGTTTTGCGGAGATTGTAGTTGTAGCTAGATCACCATGGAATGCCTGGAAGCACTGGACGGCTGTTCCGTCCTACTGCGTGACCTCTCAGTAGTGTGCATTCACGACCCTGTCTCGCGGGATTCGGACCCAGAACCTATCAGTCTGGTAAAAATTAAAAAAAACTCTACAACTACTGACTAGTTAAAAATAAATTATTAGCCTAAATTAACCAAGAAATAATATTGACATACCATTATTCTTATTACAAATTGTCTCATTCATATTACTACTACTATTATTATCATAAGATTCATTGATATCCCATGTAAATTCAGTGTATTCATGATTCGAGGTTAATTCAATTGAGGATGGATCAGTTGATGCAGCTGTAAAAAAAATTTTATTTTCATGAATAAATAAATAAATGAAATTATGAATAGGAATTGCTTAGAACACAAGTTAAATGTTAAAATGTTGAGAGCAAGAGAATAGTAGTTGAATAGCCCGTTTATAACAATGTTGAAGTTGATCGGTACGGTCTAGTCAACTATTAACTATAAGATAACCATCAAGGGACCTTGAACAATCACAAGTGAATCACTTATTAAGAACATAAAGATGTATCAATGGATAGTTAACAACGGTTGACACAATTGGTCCCAATTTTGAAACCTGTTCAATTTATTTCAGAATGCATTGCTGGGTAGTAGAAGGCAAACGTGTCAACTCCGCTTCTCACCACCTCTCAATGTCAGCACCCATTAGTGGATGTATGAAATATACTTCTCCGAAACAGTATTAGTATTTCGACTTTTGATATATCACTCTAAACATAAATAAAATATACATAAGCTCCACGTAGTTCATGTGTATCATACAGATCTTTTGATACCAATAAATGAATATATCAAGAATTAAGGATTGTTCCTTCTATCACCATGGTAGGTTCATTGTTTATGGGTTAACGCCGTCGAGGATTAACTGGTAAATCGAAGTTTTGCAATAAATTCATACTGACTATAGGTACTGTTACGTCTACCACAACAAATTCCCGGAGAAATAAAGTTCAACATCAGTTCGCGGTCTCCATACGTCTTTACATAGAACGCACTTGCTATTTGTAGCACTGCAAAGGAGGTCACAAGGATAGTCAAGGTGTGTTAGAAATGCTAAAATCTCTTTGGGAAGGATACCTGCACGCACAATTTCTGACTATTCGATTTTCAGCATGACCCTTGCCCTTTGATTGGTTGTAATTGCTGCTTGCCTGAAGGTCATACTCTGCCACGATAGTAACAACTTTCGCACTGATTCCGGTTGTGTTATTTGTCTTATTACAAATATCAAGTTATCTGCGGTTCCGTCTTCTTCCTGTGTTAGCCGTTGAGGTTTGATATGTTGTGTAAATGGCTATTGTCGATTGTGAAAATAAAAGGTCGCATCAGAGTAGTTCAATCGTTTTTGTCCCCAAATCCGTAACATCGTAGGCGTATTAAACCATAATAACAAGACACAACAAGTGCCAGTTGTATATCAATGTCTCATCTCTCTTCACCTAAGGGTGGCAGAATAATTATTCCCGCTTTGTTGTTTATTAGAAACCTAATAAATAATTAAGCCTAACGAACTCGCCTCACGAGTGTCTAACCTTCAGACTGTTAAGTAAGTATTTTATGTGCCCATTTAATAAGAGTTCACTACTAAGACAGAACAGTAATCCGATTCCTCTTGGCTTTCAATGTTTTTTTAGTTAAAATCAGTTTGTGATGTAACGATGAATCTAATAAATTACAATAATAGTAGTAAAAATAATAATAACAGAACAAAATACCTTCATTGTATTTTACATAAACAGCTGCTGTCGGCAAGAAACCATTATCTAAATCAAAACTATTAATAGGTTGAGTGAATTTCGTTGGTTCAAATATGTGCACTTGTCCAAGATAACCACGATTTACTGATAATGAAGAATCGTTGGAATTTGAATAATCTCCTGAACCACCACGACCAATCAGCCATAGATGATACTATATATTTATTTCAAAAAGAGAAGAAAAGAACTGCCACACTAACGACAACATGAAATTGTCAAGAATGAATTTGTGGGATAGAAAAAGTTAAAAATAATTTTGAAACCGGAAATTCATGGGTAGATAAACAGTGAATGCATCTGCACTCCGAGCCTTTGACCTAAAGGTCTAGTCAACAAGACAGTGGAACGACGTAAGAAGAAATAGTCTCATCGAAGCCGATAACCACCAATAGGTTCATGCGTCATCTGTTCCCTCACAATCTTCGAGCCAATGTGCACAATTCGTTTGGAATCAGAGTTTTTCAACTCTTCCAGATGGCTACTCCATACCCCAAAAACCTGGTTAAAGCGCGGGATATTCACTTTTCATCCTCTCAATTTCATAAACAACACCCTCCTTGGCAGTGGCTATGTACACGTGACTGTGAGAAAGCATTTCGAGAGAGAGGGCGTTCTCTTTTCACTCTCGGCCGTGCCAGGACATTTGAGGGTAATAGATTCGATCTGTAGTGAAGAGATTATATACAATGACTGTCGGGAAGTCTCTATACCAGGATGGAACAGCTATATAATTAACAACACAATGCCGAATAGTGTGAATATGATACGATAGTAAGATTGAGAACATTTTGTTGAAGTCAAACGCATAAGAGTTGGTTTTTAAAATAACCATAATGTAAACAGATGAGAACATCTGACAATCAAAATTTCTAGAACTTTGATAGATAATTTAGTAATTACAACATCGTTGAATATATTAGACAAAAGATTAATTAAATTTGATAAATAATACATAGTCAAATGATATTCTCACTATCATTCCACATATTTAGATCGTTAACATTAAGTATCATGCAATTTCCACTAGCATAAGAATGATTGTAAACAAACGAAAATGATATGCTTTATACAGAATGAGAACTAATAAAATCCGAGATGGTATCTGTTTTAGTTATATTAAAAAGAATTTAAGGTGACTAGATAGATCAGATGATAATTTACAGATTAAAAAAAAAACAACCACGATCAATAAGAGAATAAAAGATGGATCTTTTAAACAAGAGATCAATCAAACAGAGGAAAACATTAATGTGTATATGTGTATCAGCCTTACGTTACATAGGAACATCATTTTATCTCGTGTACTTGTGTAATGTTTTGCAGCCATTCACTCTTACGCCTTTATAAACAATGAATTATTGCATGGTCGCTCATACTGGCCGTAAGATGGTCTGTATTTAGCGTTTTAATTTTCATTCGTTATCTATGATCTTGAAGTCTCTAACACAAATCTAGTTGATTTGTTGCTACAGTATTGTTTTTTCTATACATTACTATTTTGTGTCACCTGTGTTCTGAGTGGCTAATAACAAGGAGCCAACTTCTACAACATTATTCGTGGAATCTCTAAAAATTATTGCTTTAGTTCAATTTCATCTCTTGATCGCCACTTAAATGCCGAAGCACCTAGAATCTATTTACAGTCTAACATCACAATCTGTTGTTCACAGCTGTATGTTGTTGCTTTTCGACGTAGCTCAAGGTTTGTAGATAATCAATTGCAAAATTCTCCAATTAAAATTTCACTTCATCTAATCAATGAATATTAGGCGTGTCGTCTTGGTTATACTCCATAAGTTTGAAATCTCCTTCTTGTGAACACTGAATTAATCTCTATAATAGCTTCATCAAATTTAGTGATAAAATCTCAACCAGTCAGTCAGTAACAACGTAGAACTTTGTACGTACATCAGTTCAAGTTGCCATACTACATTAGCACAGATATGCCGTTGTCGATTCAAATCCCATAGTGGTAGAGGTAGTAACAGTATAAGCAGTAATCAGAAACATTAGGATTTGAAGATGTTATTCAAGAAGTATAATCCAGTGAAACAAATTTGGATAGCGAAAAAAAGGACAAGAAAGATCCATTGAAATGAAGGTGTGGCATTCACTCAATGCATATTACAAATTATAACAATATTATTGAAATTAGTGTTTTGTAGTTAACTCTCATAAACAGAAATCCACACCTGTACTGCAAGGCGAGTAGTAGTAGTAGTACTTGTGATACGTTAGTAGTAAGTAATGGGTGAGGTAATAACTTACTTTAGGTTTGGAATTACAATCCAAGGATGCGATTGGAACAGTAAGTGCTGTACATATCTGTGTAAAGAATAATTTAGAAAAAAAATTCAAAAAATAGTGTTAGGAATATTCAATGTTCAATATAAAATTGTATTCGCCACTGAAAAAGTAAACAAACGAGTAGTTGCCTGTACAAGATTTATGCTGATGGTTTTTTTTTGTGATAACCATAAAAGAAGTTAGTTTGACTTGTAGATAGAGTGTTTAAGATCTCAAATTCAATAAACATTTGATACCATCTAACTGGAGCTCGTGAAACAAAAAAAAACAGCGAGGGACGAGAGAGGATTGAAAACGAGCACACATCCACTAATCATCTTGCATTGCCTTGTTTTTTAATGTAAGCAGAAAACTGTTTTGATTAGCTCAGTCGACGATAAACAACATCGAATCTGGTACACATATATGCACCGGTTCAAGTAACCGTACCATGTAAACATAGTAAAATGAAATTATCCGAACATATGATCAAGTTGTAGATGTAGATGTAGCAACAATATCAGTGATACTCGTGGGAAAAGATGATTATAGTGAATCATGATCTACATATTCAGATACCCAGGAAGCGGAAATAAATAGTTTATAATTTAATTATAATCACTTCTATTCCCTCTTAAATATCAGACACTAAGCACAGTTTCATATATTATTAGTTTTTTTGAATTTATTGCTTCATTTCTCTAAAAGTGTTTTTCATATCAACCAATACTGGTATTTCCTAATGATGGTTAATTGATTATTTCCATTTTTCCAAAATAATGATGTGAAATGTTGTAACTTGGGTATATTCATTTAGATTTTTGCCATATCTAATGTTGTTTACAATATATGTTTAGGGACATTGATTATATATAATATACACATATCAAAAGACAAACAGAAATAACTAATCCCCAATAATATACACTTTTCTATGTTGCTATCATGTTAACACATTTGAAATGTCATTATTCAGTTGTTATTCAAAAACAAAAGTCCGTGACACAATGGCTGTTAAACAATTGAACTTACCTCTAAGTTTTTTTTATGCAAACCACCAATTGTTCTACATTGAATGGGGACTGGTACATTAGAATGTGCATTATCATCAACAGAATCATTGTTACTTTGAATAACATCACCATTATTATTGTTATTATTATTACAACTGAATTTACGGTCCGATTGTTTTCCAGTTGCCCAACCGTAAATTGGGGAATTAGCACATGTTGTTGACAATGTAATCCATGATAGGGAATTATCTGTCCTGTGTTTTTATTACATCATTTCAAGAAATCGAAGAGAAACAAACATATAATTACTTGGGAATTAACTGTTTAAAAATAATAAAACAATAGTATTTATGCTATGTTATCTAAGTAAATTACACAATTTTCCGAAAGTGTATTTTATTGATTAAATTAAATATATATAGTCTATATTCGTCACAGACTGGTTTCAGTTGTGGTATCATGAAAAACTGGGGGACATTGGACAACTGTTTTGTTTACGTATGAGTCTTCTCAGACGTGTACACAAACACAATGCGTTAACTGATGAATCCAAGACCCCGTTGACATAGTAAATAAGATTTAGTTTGCGAATATCTTTTTGCTAACCATCGTTTTTTAGTGATTCCCACCTAATATTCATAGATATTATTATCAAATATAAAGTGTTGTTTAAGTCATTATTTTTACGTCCTTGATCTGTCTACCCACTAATATGCAGAGGATAACTTGTCTTAATCTAGATTAAAACCCTGACGCGATAAAGCTGATTTATTCAACCTTGAGGCTAGTATGCGTGGTTTCGAATTGCGACTAACTGCTTGGGGTAGAGAGAAGAAAACTATTCTATCACCTGATTGACTGACAAGCGTACAAAAAGGGAAGACGAGTTAACTGGAACAGTACTCAATTTACTCCCAATTCCGATTCATAATCCGATCTATATCCATTCTCTTGATGTCTGCTTCCAAATATCAAAATCAAATAGGTTTCAACCTGTAACTTCACAAACCTCACAGATTAAATTAAACACATAACAAAATGAAATTACCCGTGAATTGACAACTCATTTCCAACATTGTGAATTAATTCATTTGAATTTTCAGAACGTTGACCAGAAGTAAATGATGAGAAGCTTTTTAAAAAAAAGTAGTGCGAAAATGTATACTAGTTACACACCATAAACAAAACATCGCCTTCAAACTTCTAATGAAAGTATTACACTACTCAAAAAAATATAAGTAGCAATAAAGAGGTGCCTAAAAATATAAAATATATATTCAAGTAAATGTTAGGTTTTTAAAAATAAAAGTTTATTTCATCATAAATACTTATAAGTCCCCATTCATTTACTCTTTTTTAACTGTATAGCCATATAAAATTTCGAAAGTGAAATAATATCAACAGTTATTTGTGAGTTAATTGACTGCCAGTTGTGTACACGCAATCGCACATACACACACACACACAACTAGTGATAACATCCAATTGATTAAAATTTTATTTAAGTACTCACCATTAGTAAGTTAACTGAATTGGAAAATACAAAGTACACGATTCCACAGCTAATCCATAAAGAATATAATCATAAAACTATGAATTATTACAGACTCAAACTTCAAAACAAGAAATTTTAACAAATTGTCATGTAAAGAGTTCCTAATTGTTTCATTACGTTATTAGGTCGAATACAACTGAGGTTAACTTTTAACAAGATTTGTCTGATAAAAACATCTGTCAGGTATTAATATTATAGATATGTGAGTGTAAAACTATTGAGTATCAGACACAAACAAAAGCAAATACAAAATCTGTTGAGATGTAAAAGACTGCAATAGTGTAAAATGGTTTATTGACTACCGACCCCATCAAAGGTTCATCTTAATAAAAATTTGTTTGTATTACTTGAGATTATCCCCATTCTAAAATAAAACTTATTGTTATTCCTTCCGTAATTTATGTTGTATTAACACGTCAATCGAAAATATTAACCAAAGGAATCAAGTGAATGCGTCTTCGTAAAGCTACTGTATGCAAATCAATAAAAAATTGGGATTTCAACGCTTATTGACATAGACATTTATTTTTTATACCAAGAAATCCGCAATAATTTTTTTCTAATTATCGTGTGCAACATGAAAATAGCAGAAAATCATCCATTATCTCAACAAATCTTGTGAGAAAAATTTGTACAAACCAATTATTAAATATTGGCACAAGAAAAACCAAGATATAGTTACAAAAAACAAAAGTTCGAAATATGGTTCGCCATGAAAAGATGATATACAGTTTAGTGTCTACCTATTCCAATCCATAACACTGTCTACTTTTACACGTTTATCTAACAATGTCGTAGAAACGTTTTTAACTTGTCAATTATCAAATTCCTGTCGATTACCAATAATGACAACAAGAAGCGATAACAGTTTTTCCAGACAGATAGGCTGGTAACGCCTTTTCTGGGAAGCTTGTGTATTCATTTATAGAATAGATTCTGTATTTTTACGGCTCACGAATCCACCATGTGGATGTGATTTTGTGGGGAACCTCGTCCCCACAGGCCATCGCGTGTATCTCGGTGTCGTAAGGAGAGAAAGTACAGGATTTCTGAAGTGTTTACTTACCCTCGATAGGTATAGTCTACATGCATACTAGTTGACATACGGACTTTCATCCCAATATTCCTTGGTATATATACAGGTATACCTACCCTGTGAGAAAATATACGTTACATGCACACCGATAACACACAGGTTTTATCCCATGCATCCCATAGAACAGATATAAGTATATTCACCCACCTAGGGGGTAGATGTTCACCACTTCCTTGGAAACATATTTGCTACACCAGACGATCTCTTACACATTACGTGCATATAATTAGGCCCATGGCTACCGCCTCAGTACTTCCGGACACACATATAAGCATAACCCTTCTCTCAACAGAGGTTGCTGATTGCCTTTCCCTAGTACTTTTTAACCGTATATTTTTATTGTCTTTGATCTAATAGATCGGGTTACTAATTTTATTAGACATAAGGAAGACATTGCCTTCGTACGACGCACACACGTACATACATGAAGTAAACATGCCCGAACACTTCTGCAATCCTTATACATAAGTGTACACATCAGGTGACCAGGTGCGATTAAGCGAACCTCGAGTCAATTCGAGTTGATCAAGGATACAACAAAGTGGGTGATCAGTTCGAAAACCGTCGTCCGCCCAAGTTCGCTAGCAAGGTTATTCCTACTATCCAGCAGTGCTGCGAGGAGGCCGTAGGTCGAATTTCGTTGAAACAAGTTTCTATACAACTGAGCTGTATTTTCAAAACAAATTATTTCAACAATACACTGAAATTTACTCCATTATGAGGAGACATATATAGAAAAATCGATTGAGAAGGCAGTATCACACAAATCGTAGGTTCAAATATCGTGATTCCTATCTAATCTATCAATGTCGAAAAAGATATTATTATTACTAATATGCATGCAAGCCGATAACATAAGCCTTTGTATTTATCACAATTATGTTAAATATCATCACATAATAAACGATTAAATTTTTGATACACTTTAGTTAAAATTTCAGGATAAAAATTAATATCACTGGTCAAAATTACAGAAATGATAACAATTTATCTTGCTAAAAGGAGAAAATATGAAATTCATTGTCGATTAAGACAAGAAAACAATTACGTAGATGCCAACCACGACAACGAAGAGTGAACGCTAACAAAACAAGGAGAAAAGTTGCCACTATCAGTAAGTATTAGCAAGAGCGATCTGAAAATACACCTATCGTAAAAAAAGCAACACAATTGTGGTCCAGTCAGTAGAACCAAAAGAAAAGACAATACTAAACGAAATTAGTACACATATCAACAACAGTCTGAACACCTTGAAAATGGAACAGATCCATCACGTTTGTTTCGATCCAGAAGAAAGAAATCAGAAAACTACGTAGTCTGATTAAAAAAAAACATTTTGCCAAGTAGCCAAGCCCTTTTTCTATGAAAATAATAATGGCAAAAACTCCTGAATCATCAATACATAACAAAAATAAATACACTTGGTTCAACAGTGTATATATTCAATGTGTAATGTGAGCATTGAATTAACCGCGTAACAAAAATGCACCTGTTAATTACATAAAAGCGAAAAAACTTTCGAAAACAATTTATAAACCAAATTTACACTACTCACTCAACGATTAAGTAGTATAAAAATAAAACTATCAATAACGAAGACAGTGTAGATTTGAGGATGCTTAAGAATAACATAATGCTTTAAAAACGCAAGCATAATTCGAAAGAGGAAATTCCCAATTAAACAGATTGATTATATTATTAATAATGATACCCTTACTTTATTATTTATGGTTAGATGAATAAGTTAGTTAGTAAAATCTCAGTCAATTATGTGCATGTCGGAGAATTTTTTTTAGTGCAAAGATTATGGTAAAGATCAAACTAAAAATACGAAGTCAAGAACGAAAGAAAAATAACAAAACAGTATTACAAAAATAAATGAAAATAATAATAATAATAATAAACCAGTTAAATACAAGTACAGATGATAAAAAAATTATGATCACAAAAAGTCAATCAATCAATAAATGCGATGTTACAGATCCCAAATAGGTGTTGTCTTCAATTGAAGACGTTTTTCTTGAAGTTTTTTGTAACTAAATAAAAATAAAATTTAAAAATATTAAAGAGAAAATAAAAGATGTAACACATAGAAATAGAGAGGATGGGAAAATTATTGTTTTTTTCTTCAAGATGGAAAAAAAAGAAACAAGAACACTTATATCAGAAAGGGTTTAGTGGATATTATAGTAATTTCAGTGCTTTCAAGTTTTCCATGGTGATCTAGCTTCAACTGACACATGATCTCAATCAATGAAATTCATATAATATCCACAAAACCCCTTCTGATACTAATCAACATATGCTCCCTAGTGACTGTCTCCAAGAGTTCTAGGAGTTCTAGTGATAAGCAGTGACTAAGAGAGTACAATTGGGTCTGTTGTGAGATAATAACTCACTGATGAAAAAAGTGGATGTGTCGCCCAATTTCGTGGATTAGTTGAAGTTAGACATTAACACCGTTGGGTGCCGCCTCAGTGGTCTAGTGGTTAAGCGCTCGGGTGCGAGACTGATAGGCCCTGGGTTCGAATCTCACGGGGGGGCGGGATCGTGGGTGCGCACTGCTGAGGAGTCCCATAGTGAGACGAAACGGTCGCCTAGAGCTTCCAGGTCTTCCATGGTGGTGGTCTAGCTTCAACTGACTTATATTCATTCTCTTCTTCGTATATGAAAAACTATTGTGCTTTTGAAGTGTTTAAAGTTTGGATTAAGTGAAAACATACTACGTCAGTTTTATTGTAAAATGACCATGGTGTTATCCATGTACTATTTATAAAAATATTTATGTCCAGCTGGGTCGTCAGTTTTTCTGGTTAGTCTTTTTTTAGCAAGGTTATTTTCTACGGAATGGGGGTTTGCTGACTTCATGCCCAACGTACCCCCTTTTTTACCCGGGCCTGGGATCGGCAGTAGCCTAACAGCTACAGGCGGAAAAGAGGAAAAATAAAGGGCACACTACAGTGAGAAGTGAAAGCAGACATCAAAAGAATGAATAAAAACTAGAAAGGATTGTTCAGAACAGAGTTCGATGGAGAATGTCGGTGGGCGGCCTATGTTAACTCTACGAAGGATAACAGGCGTAATAATTAAGAGTGTTCAGTTAAACTTTCAACATATAACATGAACATATTGTTGAAAATTTGGCCCCAAACTCAGTTGAACATAATAAGTACCTTTATAATTGATATGTGGATGACATATAGTCATTTGTGACAAATCTAAAAAAGTAAACGATCTTCTTAAAAACATTAACGTATTTTAAAAGTAAATTAAACTTTCCTATTAAAAAGAGATGAATAAATAATAAATGAATTACAATCGTTTTCATTGCTACACATTTAGTTGAGACAGTTCATATCTAACTGATTATACTTTAAAACGGAAACTCCTTCAATTACCACAACGCCAAGTGAGAACACAAAAGACTGGTGCAATGAATATTTATTGACTTTCCAAGAACATATCCTCAAATAATTAAGAGTGAAACTCGTTTATCCGAAGGGTTTTACAGGATTCTTGTAATACAGCTGATCTCACTTCGTGAGCAAAATACTAATCCTAACTCCTCACCTTATTCACTAACACTAACTCCGAAACATATCTTGAATTAGAGATAATTTGGATTTAGCAAGATTATTAGACAATCGCCTAATGTCGTTCTTATACTTTAGTTTTACTTCAACTTCCTTAAAATTTGTCTAAATAAAGTTATTTTTACAAGTCATCACGACTTTAAAACTTCAAAGAATGGATAATCGATGAAATTTCCATCAGAGAATAAACAATATATACTTCAAAAATACTTAGAATATATCAGAGAATGGACGCAGAAAGTTGTAAAATACTTGGATTTGACACTTAACACAACATTAGTTAAAATGGATACCCAAAGTAAGATTCATCAAACTTAAAGATAATAATAATAATGCGAATCCCACAAGCTAATTTCCTAACTAGTTATTTAATTTATATCTTTACATTCTACCTTTTTGAAATATATTCTCAATGTTTAGTGTTTCTTATTATTACCGAAACTATAATTATTTCAGCTCTTTTTCTATTGATCTTGTCAATTGTATCTCATCGTTTTAGTGTCAGTAATGACAACCTGACCCAACGTATATTTATGCCATGCGGTGTCGATTACCACGAACTGATTGAATGCTAGACGAATTCCTTTAAAACAGATATTTACATATATCAAATAACTGACAGGAATACAATTCAATCATTCCTTTTCACTCCTTTTGATAGTATAACATCAATTATGGATAGTGGCTAGCAGTGGAATCCAGGACGCGCGTTTCGTCCTGTTTGGGACTCGTCAGCTGGATGTACCTGCTTATAATGCTTGTAAATTAAGGCAATATCGAGGCATACGCACAATATGAACATATGCCAATAAGAGACTGATCAATTTCAGTCCTAAAACATCAATGTGAAGATTCAAGTAAAACAATACCAAGTGAATATAACATCAATTGTTTTCTAACTATTCGAAAAAAAGGAAGAATTACGATGGGCATCACAATAACAATTGAGATCGACATTCAATTAATACAAAATAAATAAAAAAATAGAAATTGTGATGTTGTGGAAATTGTTGAGTCTTAATTGAGATCATGAACCAGTCAGTGTTAGACCACCATTGGAAACCTGGAAGCACTGAACGGTCATTTCGTTCCAGTATGGAAGTCCTCAGCTGTGTGCAACCACGATCCCATGTGTGAGACTCGAGCCCAGAACCTTCGGTCTCGCGCATGAACGCTTAATCTCCATATCACTGAGCTGGCATCCAAGGGTGTTACTGTCTAACTTCAATCAATCCACGATATTGTGCGACCATCTTTCATTGTCTTCAATGAGTAACTGTCTCAGACCCGATACGGATAAACTCCACTGGTCACAGCTTCTCACTAGAACTCTAAGAATTACCTCTAGAAACTAGTCACTAGTGAGCACATGATAATTATTAGTATAGGGTTTTCAATAGTGGTTTAACATTGGTCGGTTCATGATCTCAATTAAAAATAGAAAGACTGTTTCTAGACCGTTGATTATTCACATTCATTTGATAAATGAAGATAAATTTGTTGAAAAACAAGAATATCAATCAAACAAATATCTGTCAAGTTCAATGCTTTCTATAATGTTATCCAAGATTCAACACTACATCGGTAGGAGGTTATAAATTCAAAATAACAATATCATTTAAATAGAATATTTTGGTAACTGATTTATGAAAGTTGAAATACAAAGGAAATTTATCATTTTTTTTAATTAAGAACTTACAACTTTTGCAGACTTTGTAATGGACCACTAACTGGACTATTTGAATCAAATTTATATTGTTGTATTGTCGGTGTTTTAGTCATGAATAGTTCACGATGTCCTTTTTGACTGACACGTAAAGTTTCTGTAAAACGTACAGCATCTTGTAATTCTAATAAACGTTCTTTATAATGATTACGTTCAGCTAGAATACGTGCCATTTCGGATCGTGTAAAACGTTTAACTTGAGCGGAATTAGTTGATTCCTATGATAAATCAAAAAGTTAGTTTTATTTTTCTATTCGATTACAGAAAGTAAAACAATTCACACGAACAATAAATCTGTGTTATTTCCAGTTTTTTTTAAACTCATCTCGACTAATGTTGTTATGTTCAAGGGATTAAAATATCACCTAGGACCAGTGAATGGAACGGAAGTCAGCAACGCAACAACATAACAAGCTAAGCTATTCCTCTGAGCCTCAGCTCTGCTAACTAGAGGGAGAAGACCAGATTTAGACGGGAAAAGATATATATATATATATATATATATATATATATATATATTCCACAAGCAACCCGGAAGAGCAAATGAACAAGCACAGATCTCATGCGTATATATACAACACAAAAACGTCACAAAATAGCACACTAAAAAAGAAAACGAACCAATGACATTTAAGGTCTTTCCAGGTGATAAAAATGGGAACTTTTGGAGCAGAAATGTGAGATACGAATAAATATAATTAACCTACAAAAATGAGTCTACCAAGTGCTTTCTAGGGACATAGCATCCCCAAACAAATTTACCTACACTTGGCATTGCAAATCAAATACACATTACTTTACCAATAATATAAGGAGGAATTCAATTTCTTTTAAGCAAATAAATACATCTTGACAGGTAAATCTTTCTCATTTAACTGTTCTCTAGTCCAAGCCTATTCCTAAAAATGACCATTATATATTGTAAATCTATTGGAACGATATTATATGAATAATTCCAAATGAGTTGACAACTGTTTCAAGGTAATTTTATGATGAACATGAAATCAGGTCAAAAATTAGATTTATTAGCCCAAAAAGTTAAATGTTGTTCGACGCAGTAAAATAACAGAAGAATGATCCCGGTGATTATTTTTGACAAGGGTGAAAACAGCGAAATAAAAAAAAATATTCATTTATTTGATGATTAGAAAAGATTTAAATTATTCTATTTTTGATAATCTTGACTAAATTTTGATCAATATTTGATAGGACATATACATTATGAGCTGATTGTCTCGATATAACCAATTAGACACAAATTTTACACTAAATAGATTAATTTATGGCTAGCAGTGACATCCATGAAAGGCGTTTCATTCTATTCAGGACTCCATATAAGGATGTACCTGTATCCTAGTGTTGATCTGCATAATGGGACACAGACATATCTCACTGAAGAGTATCAAATAGAGAGAAATGTGCGTCTTCAATTACACTGGTAGCCACAAATCTATCTGTTCTATAAAAACAATGATTAGCAGGAAAAAAGCTCAACATCAGTATTTTATTTTTAATCTTCTTAACTTGTGGTAGGTAGATAGAACTTTAAAACTAACGTCCGAATTAGATATATGAGATACTAACAACCAGTTATTCGAACTGCAGTCGATGAAATACAGGATTCAAACATCCACTTCCCTAATCCAATAGAGTGATTAAAAGTAGTATGAAATACGCTTACTTTGTTTTATCTTTAATGTAGTGGCATTCACCTTTCAGCCACTAAATCCTAATTTAAAACCTTCCCTCAACTACTTTAGTTTAGGCAACCAGATATTAAGTATCACTAGCTTTCATTCAGGCCCCCAAATGCTCTTATACGGCCGAAGGTGGGGAGAGTCCGCTCTTCATCTCTAAATGCTCTCATATGGTCACGCGTATACAGCCACTGCTAGGGAACTCCTTCTCACTGCCTTCTTGTGGCGAGGGTGTTGTTTACAAAATTGAGAGGACGAAAAGCGAACGTCCAGCGCTTTAATCAGGCCGGGAGACACGGAGAGTCCATCTAGGGAAGTTGGAAAACCCTCATTCCAAACCGATAATGTACATGGGCTCCAGGACCCTAAAGGAACAAATAATATATGAACCAACCGTTGGTCACCGGATACCATGGGATCGCATCTCCTGACGTTACTCTACTGCCTTGTGGATCAGATATTTAGGTCTAAGGCTCCGGGTGTGACTCCCTGAGAAAATCACCTGCTTCGGTTTGGGCACCCGAACAGTATCATAGCCCACACACAAATCAAGTGACTTGTATTCAGTGCTCCTTTGTAATAATATTTATGTGTTCAAATAAATAAATAATAAATAAGCTTTCATAGGTGAGACTATAATTTATGGACGAATCAATCAGGTATAAACCAAACAGGTTTCGGATTCATTCATCCATTTAACTAAATAGAGTCTTGACATTATGGCTGATATCAGTTCATGATGAAAACCCTAAATCTAATTTCAAACCTTAACCATCAACTGTAAATCATCATTCAAATTCCTTACACTAATTTATAATTCTCATTTGATCTTAGTTATTAGATGGACACTCTCAAGTTCAATCTAACATCATTCAAAGGTTGTCCATAAATTATAGATGTAAAAACCTTTACGTATTTGGGCAGCATCATTGATGAACAGGGTGGATCTGATGCAGATGTGAAGGCGCGGATCGGCAAAGCAAGAGCAGCATATTTACAACTGAGGAACATCTGGAACTCAAAGCAACTGTCAACCAACACCAAAGTCAGGATTTTCAATACAAATGTCAAGACAGTTCTACTGTATGGGGCAGAAACCTGGAGAACTACAAAAGCCATCATCCAGAAAATACAGGTGTTTATTAACAATTGTCTACGCAAAATACTTCAGATCCATTGGCCGGACACTATTAGCAACAACGTACTGTGGGAGAGAACAAACCAGATCCCAGTGAAGGAAGAAATCAGGAAGAAGCGCTGGAAGTGGATAGGACACACATTGAGGAAAGCACCCAACTGCGTCACAAGACAAGCCCTCACATGGAATCCTGAAGGTCAAAGGAAAAGAGGAAGACTAAAGAACACATTACGCCGAGAAATGGAAATAGACATGAGAAAAATGAACAAGAATTGGAAGGAACTAGAAAAGAAGGCCCAGGATAGAGTGGGTTGGAGAATGCTGGTCAGCGGCCTATGCTCCATTGGGAGTAGCAGGGGTAAGTAAGTAAGTAAGTACGATAAATTTTCCTAATCCAGAAGCTAAAATAAAGTAATATGAGCTTAACATATCAAACGATATTACATACTAAACAAAATAAAAGAACTTACTACATTTGTTTTATCTTGATATAATGATAATTTTTCAGTTAATTGACTTAATTCTGAACGTGCATCATTTAATAATTGATCAGTATTAGTTAATTCACTTTGTAAACGAATACGTGAATCAGTTAACATATCTACTGATTCACGTAATGATATATTCTCACTAATAATAATAATTCAATATTGAATAAATAATTATTACTATAGTGATTAATTCATTATTATTACCATTATTATTATTATTATTATTATTATTATTATTATTGTAAATCAATATTGAACAATAAAATACGGAAATAATTGAATTAATCAAATAATTATTATAAAATAGAATTTAATTATATAGATTTCATTATCACAAATATTAATTGATATTAATTTTGAAAATAGAGAATAAGTGATGTGAAGAATTGATATCAGTATAGGATTGTGGAGATTATTACGTTTTTTTTATTAAGATCAAGAACCGATTGATGTTAGGTCACCATTGAAAACCTTGAAGCATTGAACGGCCGTTTCGTCCTATTGTGGGACTTCTCAGCAGTGCCCATCGACGATCCTGATCGTAGGATTCGAACCCAGGACCTTCAGTCTCGCGCGCGAACGCTTAACCTTTAGACCGCTGAGCCGGCATCCAATGGTGTTAATGTCTAACCTAGTGATGTAGGGAATTAATAATTAACTATGTATTGTTGTAAAAAGCATTGATGGTGTTTGATGGAAAAGTTAAACAAATAATCCTAAAGTTAAGCGTAAGGTAGTTTTATATTAGATTATGAGTTTAGTGAATATTTACTAACTACTGAATTGAGTGTATTATGTGTATACCCAACCACTGCCTACATCGATACACAGCGGGATCATTGTTATAGGAGAAGGTTGAAAGAGATGTACAAACTCCCAAAGTAGGAATCGATATCAGCCCATGGAAACATTGACTTTTAAACAAGTCAGATTGGTTTTAATCAGGTAACTACTGAAAACCAAGTCATTGGTTCGATGACTGAGATTATTAAAGCGTCTGGTATTTTCCTGAGGGGACAAATAATGTATGAACCTAATGTTAGTCATCCGGTACCATGGGACTGCATCTCCTAACGTCGCTTCACTACCTTGTGCATTAAACCTTTAGGTCAAAGGCTCGGAAAATGTCTCCCTAAGAAAACCACTTGCTTCAGTTTGGGCGCCCGGGCAGTATTCCAACCCTCGCAAAAATTGAATGATGAAGTTAGGCGCGTTCATATTCGGTGCCTTCTCGTACTAATGTTTGTGTTTAAATAAATAAATACAGTAAAGTCGTGATGTAATTGACAAACAGAACAATCTCAGAAAACGCATTACACTACTAATCCACTGCAAGTCATTCATTCCTAAAATAATGTGCATCATTGTGATGGCTTGAGACAATCAGACATATCACATCGAGAACAAATGACAAGTGAAATATGTTGACGGTTGCACACTCAACTGGTCAACGTTCAATTTAGTTTTCCAAGGGAGATAAATATACGATATTGTTTGATAAGCTCGTTTAAATGTACCGAGAACGCATGGTCATATTAAGTAATGAGATTATGCGCATATTTCGATTTGGTTAGCCAATACAGCTTCATGTTCTCCTTTCGTTTTCCTATTCGATTAGTTGATTGAGCTACAGTATAGGAAGTGTGTATAACGGTAATATAAATGGGACAACCGCCAAACACAATTTTCTGACAATAGGTCAACTCAACACATTTTTATGTTGAGTAGTGTGAGCGTAGAATAAACAGAATTCATTTAGTTTGAACAGACTAAAGAGGCGAGTATATAAATAGATATTATTAGAGCGCCTTTTACATATAAAAAGAAGTAAGCATCGGTCATCGATTCCAAATCTCATTGTAGTTGTAAGCTAATAAAGTTTCATACAGTAGAGAAAAGAATATGTCCAGTTACTCAGTTAACAAAATCCAACATCAGTAATAACAAAGATAGTAGAACAATAGTCACAAATACTCTGTAGATTAAAAATAAGACCGAAAAATCTGTTAAACTTACGATGTTAAATGGTCAATTCTGGCTAGTAGGTCGTCTTTCACAACATTGAGAGCATTTCTTTACACACACACACACACACAAACGCAAGCATCATAGAATGTTTAATATGATGAAAACAAAAGAAGAAATGACAAATAATATGAAATGTTATCTCTGAAAAAGTTATTTACAAGTTTATAATTCTCATTGTAGTTAATTAATAATCTTGAGGACATGATCTCTATTTCAAGGTAAGTTAGAAAAGACTACAAAATTAATCGATCAATAGATTCGTCCACATGTGATGGATTTGTGTAATCTCATACAAACCAAATTTAGTGGAAAAAAACACCGTTGTAAGTTGGATTACACTGGTCATCAAACCAATCATTTAACTTTCAGTTAATGATTACAAAACACTTAAGGACGTTTGAAATTTAAAAGATAGATTCCCGAAACTTATTTGTCATTATAACCGATTTGGACATATTCAGCATAGTGTTAACCAGAGACCTGGTACTTGATTACATGATTCATATTTTCTACGGAATGACCTGATGTTCCAGTCTAACCATCATAAGACTTTTCAATTCCCATTTTTATTTAGACTATATAGGTTTATGTCAATGTAACAAACCATCTAGCTACCTTAGGTGATAGAACCTTGTAAATTTACTATATAATTTGTCAATTTACCTGGTACTTTAAATTTTAAATATGTACTCTTTAAGAGATGGTTTCACTACAGGCAAGTGATATATTAAGATGGAATATATATACAACCCAAAATCTGTAGAGTATTGATACCTACATTCCGTTTTTAAAGACGGCATCCTATACCAGATAATAATACGTAGTCCGTCCAATGAATACGCGGATTCAAGTCATAAATTTTTTAATTTACAAAATTTATAGTAAACTAATCTTATCGTCTTCAAAGTATTCCCTTTTGTGGCAGTAAGCTCATCCTTTCTTCGATTTCCCTGTTTGAAATATAAATGAAAGTCCTCAAAAGCCGGACTTTACAACTACTTCGTTATTTCTTAAACACGGACGTTTAGCAAAAATAGTTTAACACAGACAATTTCCTTTAAATCGGAGACAAATGATGTCGAAGGTTGCCCTAAACTCATATCGTCCTTCCAGTTTTCATCACGATTTTCGTTAAAAGACTTGGTACAATTTATAAAGAGCTGTTTTTTTCAAATGTGTTGTCGCTATTAACAGTGCTTAATATTTGATGAAGTCACTTGGAGATTTTTCGAATTTTCATTAAAGCATTGATGTGAGGTGTTCACGTATCGATAGGATAGACCACTCACTAATTATCCATCTACATCATATCAAACAATAGTGTATTTGAGTCTTAAATAGAAATGAACAATAACCAAATACCATACTTCTTTGGGACGAGCATTAACAAGCGCCCATTCACCACCTACTTTGATGGGCGATGTTAAATGATGGAGCGGTAAGTAGGGAGAAAGTTAGGGGCAGCTAAACTAAAATGTGAAATGAAAACTACTCGACTTGGTTTTCGCATGTTTATTCATGGATTTATGAATATTTTTGTAATATACACCTCAATATTCACTCTCTCATTGAACAACTTTGCGTTATACATTATTAAGGTGGTAAACAAAAGTATGAGAACTGTCTGGGACCCTTCCATACACATACTAAGTTATAAGAATCAATTGAAATGAGTTACACCGAGTTATATCTTCATATTCTGATATTGATTGCCTTTAGTTAGACAAACATAGGAAATCAGGAAATACTGAAAAACAGTCAATAATTCCAACAATATGCCATGTGGATAATTATTATATTCTTACCAGTGGCTAACTTCGAGGTGTAATTCTTGAAGTTCTAGTCAGCAGCATTCATCAATTTAAGTTCAACCATGTCAGACGTGAGATAAATATAAATAATGACAATTGATGATAGATTGCATAATGTTAGAAACGAAATTTAAGTATATCAACCCTGTGGTCCAAAGATTGAGCGGTCATCTCGAGCACTGAAAACCTTGGGTTTGATCCCAATAGGAAGATTCATGAATGTACACAACTGATGAGTCGAACGCTATTTAGTGCCTCCCGTGTTTATATGATAGTCAAAATTAAATCAGTTGGTGATATAAAATTATAAACAGTACAATTGTTGAACAAATACTAATCACAAGTACTAACAATTAGAGTGTATAATTGTCGTAACAATTATCAGAAATAATATTTCATTCATTAATGCGACAGAAATAACTTAAATAATAGTGTAATGTATGCTACTTATGTTTGTCGACATAAGTAGTTAGTAAAACCAGTGGAAACTCTGGCAGCAGAAGGCTAAAAAGATAGAACTGAAGAGAACAGAAAAGTATTGCGAATAAGAAGAATCATACAGAATGTGAAGGGCAAATGAAGGAAATTTGTAAATAAAGTATTCAGTGTATGATCCTTATATTTTACCAAGATACCCTGTAATTTTGTACTAAATACATTGGTTGTACTAACTTGTATTCTCGTTTACTGATATGATGGGTCATCGTCGTGTTTTGGGGATCAATAAATCTTCACTTATACCAGTCTTTGTGTTTTTACTTTCGCGTCGTGGGAACTGCAGTGGTCCGTCGTTCCGAACATAGGTGATAAGAGTTTCCGACATAACAATCAGCGACGAGCAGATATAACAAATAGCATTCAATTGACAAGTTATAACATTTACAATAATAATAGACGAATTAACTTACTTCATTTCAACAAGTTCCATATTCTCTTTGATCAACACATCAATCTCTTTACGCATACCAGCTAAATGAATGAACAAGAAAGCGTAAAATTGAAAACATTTCATTTCAACATGCAAAAATCAAATATTAAATTAAAACTATTTCTATGATTGATTATTAATTGAATGGATCAACAATAAAAACAAATCAACTATATCATAAATTAAAAACTAATGACTATTTAGCAGTGAATAAAAATTTCTTTTCAACAATATCATCTTTCCTGTAGTTGCACAAATGTATTTAACATTCATGGTAATAGTAGATCGTATCTATCGTAGATTGATTTTAGTTAATGTGTCATTAAAAAAAGTAGCACCGGACAACTATCTCATCTTAATATGGAACATTTTGACGTTGGACACCAATGACTTCATCAGGAAGCAAACACAGGACTTTCACGTCTCATATAGAGCATTTCAACATTTAGACTTAACTAAGTTGATATTTTATGGCTTACATTTCAAACTTCAATCAATTTATGAGTAAATTAGGGATTGGATCATAAATAGCATGGAAATACTGAATATTGAATGATGATTATGTAACGATTTTAAAAGATAGTGAAAAAACTAAAAAGATGGAAATAATTTTGTAGATGAGAGAGAAAGAGAGGGATAATAGTTCACATTGGATGAATATGCAGAGAGTAAAGATGGGAAGAACAATTAAATGTCACGACAACAATAGTTAAGAAGAAAAAATTAATAGGAAAGAATAATAAAAACAGTTGACTATTATTAATATTATTATTATCAACAATGGAAGACAAAGGAAAAACAAAAAACATACGATATGAACTCAGAAGAGAAAACAAGAGGGTTAAGGCAACTATTCATTAATTCAATATGTACATAAAATTAAACTACGATAATGATAACCCATGAAATACATAATTCACTACTATTATGATGTGTACTACTAATGTCGACAGATATAGGTAGTATGCATCATCAATCGAAAGTGAAGGTTAAGATAATTGAAAAGACGAGAAAGAGAACATAGAGTGATTGGTGTGGAAACGAAGAAACAGTCAATTCTGAGAAAATGGATTCCATCAGAGCTGAGAAGGACCTGACGTAAAGGACATTCAGTTACTATCCAATGATCAATCAATTGTAAAGCCAATTTATGTATTACCTATTTGTTTTGATAACGTGATGCGTGATAAACTTTGTCGCAAAAAACATTCATACCAAGATCTACACTAATGATGGTGATGATAATTTTTAATAATCTGAAAGAATTATGTAATATGGATTACACACTGATCTGTCAAATCTTCAAGATAAATACACTTTAATGAATTACTGAACACGATTAATTATCCCAACTGGTCTTATATAATATATTTCAAGATTTTATTGATACAAGTATGTTCCACACGAAACAAAGAGAATATCATCATAGTTGACACCAATAAAATAGATGAATTAGACAAGTATAATATATGCAAATGTAAATGTGAAACACATTTCGGTTATTGTTAAAAAAAAACAGAACAAAAAGAAGTGTTGTAGTGCATATTTATTTGTATATGTGTGTATGTGGGGGCAGGGGGTTTGTTTGGATATACAATAAGTACATAGAAACTGTAACATAATAAGTACACAAACAGTGAACTAGATCACACATGTACATCGTGTAACTATTTTTTCTCTTGTCCGTAAGACAGCATGTGAATGAAGTATTTCACACATTTATACACACTTAAACACTAAACTAAGATAAAAGAAGAGAAGTGCTAAACACTTTTTTTGTGCAGAAAGTGAATGAATGTGAGACAATAAAAAAAACCCAGATAGAATACAACCATTATCCATTTACTAGAATTAATTTTACAACAGTAGAAATATCACCTACCAAATTCAATGATTTCAAATTCTGGATTAATTGTATTAGGATAATTGTCTAAATATGAAGTCATTAATTTAACAAAGGGGACGAATGAGATAGATGTGTACAAAAGAAAAGAAAAACATATATATTTATGAAAGGTAATTAACTTTATACAATGTGTATGTGCAAGAGAAGGGTTATTCAATATCTACTCATCATCTCTTTTTTCTCTTCCCAAATTCACTTCACTGGATTATACTCTTTAAATAACATCTCCAAACACTAATCTTTCCCATTACTGCTTATACTCTTACTACCTCTACCACTACGGTATTTGAATGGACAACTGCATCTCTGTGCTAATGTGGTATGGCAACTCGAACTGATGTACGTACGTACGAAGTTCTACGTTGTTACTGACTGACTGACTGACTGACAATAGAAATCAATTAAGAATAGTTTACAATGTATGTTGAAATTATTTGAAAGTTGTATGGGCAATCGAAAAAAAAAAATAGTGGAATATTTTCTTTCCATTTATATTCTAAGATATTACCAAGTACAATTGCTCATCAGTATTATATTATTCATAATTCTTAGGGTTTTTAGATTATATATTACTGACACAGTTTGTCGCAAGTTCAAACAATACAGTTTCATAAGTACTGTTTTTCATCTTAAACATTATGAATGTGATGTCAGATGAAAATTCATTACTCACCAAAGTAGATAGAATGAAATTCGAACATAAGACACAGCAACTAACCACTAAATCTCTGAGGAACTGATCTCTCTATTGTTACATTCATTCTATCTTACTATCAACCATTACAACAGTTCCTAAGACTGGTAGATTATAATTAGTTTCACATTTGCAAAATATCAACAAATGAAACGGGCGTCCTGGATTCCACTGCTAGCTACATTTCATCTATTCTGTATCAACATTTTTTACCGGTTATCTTTCACACCCATGTAATAGAACAGTAAAACATTACCTTATCATATATTCATTCATTCATTCCTTAGAGAGACAAGATATTTTGAAAACAATATTACTTAGTGTAAGTCAATTAAATCTACAAACTATAAAATCTCTCTTATGACGAAAACAAAACGATACTACGATCAGTTTATTCAATACAACTAATAGACTGACAGGTTAATCAATAAAAGATATCACAATATTATATGATGTATACACTTTCAATTCTCAAATAACATCAACAAAATACCGAAAAACGTTGACAACATCTTCAAATAAACAAGAAATAATCAATTAAATAGACATAGAAGAACACTAACAATAACGTACTTAAACGACATTTTAATATCTAGAAATTGATATTTATTAACAACAGAATGTTAGCGACTTGTATTTAGCCTAATTTTTGATGATATTATTTGTATATTTGATTACAGAATATCTATTTCGAGTTGATTGTCAATTACCATTCTTTAGTAAATAGTTAAACTGTGTCCAATTTGCTTATATTGAAGATTTAATAGTGTTCTGGAATCTGAAGAATTGCTTAATCAAAACCAACTGTTCGAGTTTAACTGACAATGTTTTACATAGTTTACATCACAGACTGAGTTAAGTTAGATAAACACTGAAAGTCAAGAAGCAATGGATAGAGGTTTTGTCCAAGTATGAGACTTTTCGGCAGAATGAATGCATGACTATAAATGTTAATTGAACCGAATACTTCTGAGTATAGCGAGTACTTAACAACCTTATTGATAAGTTGGTATTCGACAGTTCACATCAACAATTTTAATCAATTCGGAATAATGTCCAACCAACTTCTAATGCCAATGATTAGGTACCTCATACGCGAAATAGTTGGACTCCACCGGTCACAGTTACTCACCAGAACTTAAACAATAGCCTCTTGAAATTATTCACTGGTAAGTATATGATTATTATCAGTGTAACACAAATGACATACACTCATTGGCTACTCCTAAGAGATGATACATAATACATAGTGTAGATATAATACAACTATTTGATTGTAATTTTATTCAACACTACATTACTTATTATATAAAATACAAAAAGCAATGTATAATTATAAAGGCGTGGCAGCTAATATAATTTGGATTAAACTTGTGATTGTCACATCACAAGCTGAATACATATTGATATAAGTAAGAATGAGAAAAAGTAACATGACGAAAGCTTAAGGACGAAAAAGGAAAGTACACAAATATGTAGTGAAATAAATGCGTGTTGTTACTGTTACGCCTTTCACTTGATTACGGTAAATACGGTATACAACGCGTAGAACCTCACAGTCGCAAATCAAAAGACGGGAAAAACAGGGAAGCAATCATTAGGTAAGAATCAAAAATGTACAGAAAAAGAAGGATATTTATAGTTTTTAGTATAGGTTATAACGTGATTATCATACAGCTCATCCGTAATTAGGAAGTTATGCAATTGTCCAACCACTGAAGGCCACGTTGATATTCTAGAAGTTTCTATCGTACTCCGATGGAATGGAAACTCTTCGGCTCCCATAGAGCCTCCATAGGCTCCGTCGTGCTTTATTGGGAACCGTTTCCAAGAGATATTAAGTTATCCATTGTATAGTAGAGTAATATTAGAAAGCGCAATTTAAACATAACGTATCGACTAGTAGTGTATTTTGGTTGAAATTGAGCAACAAAAAATAAGGTTTATGAAGAGTGAAGAGTCCCTACTCAAGTACTATGGGTTAATTCATATCTTATAGAGAATTGTCATCAGAATAGTAAACTTCAAGTGTTATTCGTTATGGTTACTCCCTAACTCACTTTCTATTTAGTTGCGTCGCAGATGTTCTTCTAGACATCACACTTCATCTAACTCTTCAAAGACTGACTTCTCACTAAGAGATTAGTCAAACAAATTGGAATCGGTAGATAATATAATCTAATTTGATAATGATAAAAGGGTCCAGGGTTTCCTAAGCATTTAGGACGCATTTCCCTGTCTATAAATGCAAATTTTCTCTGTAGGTCTAATCTGAATAATCTTCTAGACTGGTCGCAGTAAATGGAGTAATTGAGTGACTTGACTAATGGTGGAGTGTACTAGGCAATCGTTCGTTTTGCATTACTCTACGACTGTGAAGGATGGTTTATTTAACCGGCTTTGAAACAATGTTCGAGTATCGCAAAACGATCGAGTTAGTTATATTAATGCCCATACATAGAGTACTAGGAAAAGATAGCAAATCAAATGACGCGGTAATAAATATTCCATAAATGAAGTGGTTGACAAATGTGTTGCAGTATTACCAACTACAATCTACCTAGACGTGCAGTCTTCGTCGGTGTAAGAGTAAGTCAAAAGAATTCTAATGCTGGTCAAATCAAAATTTGGCACCAGGCTGTGAACTCATTGACAGCGAATCTGAGCCATCACAGTTAAAGCGAAATAAACAAGTATGCATTAGTGAAGTCTCGTTAAATATTTTTCAACCGAAAATTGCATGGAGGAAGTATAATCTATTCCTTAAAAAATATCATATTGAGCTTCTGCATAATAACTATATATATATGCTTAATTTGCATAATGAATAACACGTAAATAAAACGAATTCTTTAAGTCTTTATACAAATACATATGAAATTAAAGTATTTCTTATGATCAGAATAAAATGTGATCAATTGTTAGTAGAATGAAATTCATTGATTTTACAATTATTATACACACATCGCATAATTATTCCAAATAAAAAAAATACCAAAGTTACGTGTAACATACAACTGAAAACCTGGATCCAGCTCGCGGGATCATGGATGTGCACTGCTGAGGAGTCCCATAATAGGAAGAAACGGCCGTCCAGTGCTTCCAGGTTTTCAATGGTGGTCTGATATCAATCGGTTCAAGATCCCAATCAATAACTTGATAATCTCCACAACCCTATACTGACATTTTCCAAGTGTCGAAAGCTATTTATAGAAGTGCAATATTGCCCAACATGTTTCTGAGATAGAACAAGTACTTCAGTGACAACCGGTAAAGATTGAAAGGATTATAAAAAATCATAATGACTGCAGACCTCGCGTTTTAATGAAAACATCAAAAGTGTACAGTATATTGTCTATTATAATCACCGATCCACTATTTGAATGGTTTATAAATTTAGAAAACATCCGTGGACAACATGAAAGCAATACAATTTATATTTATATTTATATAGTCTCTTATTCAGTGAAATATCAACGTATTGTATTTTTAACCTAGATCATATTAATAGCTTTATATAGCTGTTATATTCTAGCGAATGATGGGTAACTTCTGAGGACTATTTATGAACTAATATTATATATATATTCCTATTGTATAACTATTCAGTAACTAGATTACGTATATTCTTATTCCTCTTATTATAAGCTTTATTTTGACTAGTATCAGAAGGGGTTTTGTTGAGGTTGTAGTAATTTCAATAGTTCAGATCATGAGTCAATTGAAGCTAGACCACCATGGAAAACCTCGAAGCACTGGACGGCCGTTTCGCCCTATTGTAGGACTCCTCAGCAGTGTGCATTCATGACACCGGATTCGAACCCAGGACCTATCAGTCTCATGCGCGAGCGCTTAACCACTAAACCTATAGATTATTATGATACGATTTACCATTCTTAAGTTATGCCCAGTTTATTATTTACAGTGTCCCACAGTCACAACCACTTTTTGGCTTGAAGTTTTACAAATGTTGTTTCCTATTTTATAGTATGATGTAGTCTCTTTGGCTTGTATATAAACCAGGTATGTTTGAAATAAATTATTCGTATAGTGGGAGGTGGTTTTGGCGTTCTGTTCTCAACTAGCACAGCTACGAGGAAAATAACCAATAAGGACGGACGCTAGGCTGTTCATACCGGTCGATAAGACATTAGTTTGGCACAATGCTAACATTGTATAAGTCGTATTCCGATTGGCGAATAAGTCACATGATAATTAGCCGGGCTAAAAGATATAACAGTAGAAAACTGCCAAAGAATTTGTAAGACGAATTAACTAAGAATTGCAAATGATAAATAATGCAAACAGTGAATCAGTTATACGATATATAAATGATATGTATTATTCTTACCAGGTAGATCATCGTCGACATTTAGACCACCACCTTCCGACTCCAGAGTATTTGGGAGTTCATCAAACTCAAATCCACCGCTAAAAGGAGTAAGAAAACTATTTAACTTATAGATTTAACCCAATTAGATAGAAAGTTTACATTAACCTAAGCCCTTTGTAAAAATAAAAGAACCTATTTGAAGAAAATGATCAAAAATAATTAATCTAATTAGATTCTCCCTCTCAAAATGCAAAATGTTGATTCAGCATTTGGTTGCATCGACACCCGAACCAATGATAGGGAGTGAAGTAGTTGAGCGTGTCGACCGTTTCACTTATATGGGAAGTCTCATCAGCCCTTGTGGTCTGGTGTGTGACAAAATCTCAGCAGGGATACAGAACGCCCGATTAGCTTTTCCAAACTTGCGTCATTTATGGCGTATGTGAGATATCCGTCTACCAACTAAAGGACGGGTCTACTGCACAGCAGTCCGTTCCGTCCCACTTTATGGCAGTGAAACATGGCTGGTAAGAGTAGAGTATATTCATAGGTTACTAGTATTTGATCATAGGTGTCTTCAAAACATTGCTCGTATATCCTCTGCCCACCGATAAGTAACGCAGTTGTTAGGAGACGGGTACTAGGTAAGGATGGCAAATCAATTGATGAAGTAGTGAAATTTCATCAGCTGAGATGGCTGAGACACGTGTTACGTGTGCCCGACCACCGACTGCTCCGACGTGCGATGTTGTATGGTGTAGGAGTAGGTTGGAAGAAAGCTAGGGGAGGCCAGACCAAAACATGGCACAAGTCCATTAAGTCACTGACAAGTGGACTGAGCTATGTTGGTAGGTGTAGACTACCTGGTTGGGGACAGCGAGATGATGGCGACCGATGTTTAGAGACCCTGAATGACAGGGTTTAAAATCGTTTGCAATGGCGCAGGTGCATCCACACTTTGTGTTCTCCCAAATTCTAATCTTCTGAATTATTCATGTCTCTTTCTTTTTCCTCTTTCCAAATTTGCTTCACTGGATTATACTTCTTGAATGAAATCTTCAAATCCTAATGTTTCCGATTACTGCTTATACTCTTACTCCATCTACCACTATGGGATTTTAATCGACAACTGCATCTCTGTGCTAATGTAGTATGCCAACTTGAACTGATGTACGTACGTAGGTACGAAATTCTACGTTGTTACTGACTGACTGACTGACTGACTGACTGACTGACTGACTGACTGACTGACTGACTGACTGACTGACTGACTGACTGACTGACTGAGATTCTATCACTAAATTTGATGAAGCTATTATAGAGATTAATTCAGTGTTCACAAGAAGGAGATTTCAAACTTATGGAGTATAACCAAGACGACACGCCTAATATTCATTGATTAGATGAAGTGAAATTTTAATTAGAGAATTTTGCAATTGATTATCTACAAATCTTGAACTACCTCGAAAAGCAACAACATACAGCTGTGAACAACAGATTGTGATGTTAGACTGTAAATAGATTCTAGGTGCTTCGGCATTTAAGTGGCGATCAAGAGATGAAATTGAACTAAAGCAATAATTTTTAGAGATTCCACGAATAATGTTGTAGAAGTTGGCTCCTTGTTATTAGCCACTCAGAACACAGGTGACATAAAATAGTAATGTATAGAAAAAACAATACTATAGCAACAAATCAACTAGATTTGTGTTAGCGACTTCAAGATCATAGATAACGAATGAAAATTAAAACGCTAACTACAGACCATCTTACGGCCAATATGAGCGACCATGCAATAATTCATTGTTTATAAAGGCGTAAGAGTGAATGGCTGCAAAACATTACACAAGTACACGAGATAAAATTATGTTCCCATGTAACGTAAGGCTTTATAAAACAATAAAGGGCAGATTCCTCCTTCACTGATTCGACGCTTAAACTTAAACCGATAGTACAATTAGTACTTCAATGGACTATAGATACAGATATAATTACGGCTGCAGCTGTAACTGAGGTTTCTAGCAAGAGAAGCAAATAGAATAACTAAGTGGTTTCTTTAATCTAATTGGTTGTTTCTCGGTGCCCGCTATACAAGTCTACAAAAAAGACAGTTTCAATGCTTTCCCAATATACTATCTTCCATACTGATCCCTTCGATTCAGCAAATATGATCGGCAGTCAGAAGAACAAATTTTTATACCGAATTTACTTTGATTTTAAAAAGTAAGAACCTATCAGTAAATTTGACAAGTTTAGTAATCATGCTCTATTTGTATCAAGTGACAAGAAGTTGAATAACTCATCGGTTCAGATGATTTAAAACAGAATCACATAAATTTGTATTATTATCAATTCGGTACTGACACATCACTATTTGACTTGTACGTTGTATTATTCTATGTTACACAAGCGTAATTCCAATTTTCGTTTAGTGTATACATTTATCAAAGAACTATACAATTTGATTTGAGTCTCAATGTGTACATGAATACTATAATGTAGTCACGTTCAGTTAACGACTTCCAAATAGAATTAAACACCAATCTTGAATTCCACAAACAGCTGATATTCATATTGGTTGTCTATGAAGAGATTAAGCTGTTTACAACATTGACAATACTCAATACGTTTGTCGTATCCAAAATTACACTATAATATAGAACACTCATTCTTTAAATGAACGTAAAAATAACTAAAAGTGCTGGGTACATAATATTCTGAATAATGTCATCATCAATTCCAAATATTCTCAAAATTTAATTTAGCTTACTGGAAAGATAATAAATAACTTATTTTATGTGTACTTTAACAACTGATAATATTACATACAATTTAGTTGTTATTATTATTATTATTAATGGCTTTATTCAGCACTATAATTTTGGTACAATATAGAATTCTCAGCACAAAGTATTTCAACAAGTTTCCTTTTCTTATTTCATGATCGATCATGACAATAAATATTGATTGATCGCCAGCTAGATGTTCAGTCAGTCAGCTACAACGTAGAACCAGGCACATATATGCCATCAGTCTAAATTGCCATACCTCATTAGCACAACAAGATGAACACCAAATTCATAGAAGTAGTTATTTCAATGGTAGTAATATATAAGAGAAAGATTGTGCATAAGGATATAATACAGGAAGGAAGAATTAGTTCGTAAGAAGAAGAGTATGAAGCAACTTTAATCTCATGGGTTAAAGGAAAACAAAGAGTGTATACACGAACAGCATTGTGATTGATCCTGAGCCATGTTACACAGTCTCCAACTGTTAGTTACAATAGTCGCGCGGACCCAACAAAGTAGTCTACATCTACCAAAATGGCTCAGACTAGAAGTTATTGACTTGAAGGATTGATACCGTGTTTTGGTTTGGCCGCCCCTAACTTTATTAGATATTAGCAGTTGAGAAATCCATATTTGAATAATGTTCATTCTTTTCAAGGCTCATAACCAGCCACCACGATGCCTGTGATTGTACTTTTTTGTACCTTAGACGTATACGCGCCTGAATATGTTATGATACTAATAGATATAACAATGTGTTAAAACAAACAAAATCAGACTTGTTAAAATATCTAAATAGATGACAGGAACGGGTAGCCCAGATATTCAAGCAGGCCACCAAGATGTTTGAGGTCAACTATCGTTTTTTCAATGATCAATAAAAGTAAAATGTCTAGCATTATCTGCCACTTTTCCGTTTGTTTAGCTTGTGAGTGTAGCATATAGGGCTATAATTCTCACTGAGTATTTCATTTCTGTCATCTAAAGCTATTTATGTATATCTTTTAGTAACATATCACAGTAGAATATCTCAAATATCTAGATGAAACAAACAAATTAAATGAAAGTTAGAGTTTGAAATGAAATTCTTAGTGAAAAAGTATACTTTCATATTCACCAAATGAACGGAAAAATGTCCGACAATACGCAATACATTTTGTATATTGATCAATGAAAAACGAATAAGTTACCAATTCACAAACGTATATCCTGTCATTTCTCTATGAATGCTTTAAAACTAACTTATAAACCAACCAAAGAAGAAAGACAAACAATCTGTTTTGATATGAAAACTGAAAACTTAGTTTACAAGAGAGAAACAAATGAGAAATAATGACAATTATAATAAAAGAGATGATGTGAACATTATCATACAGAACAAATTCTAACCTGTAAGAATTATGCTTAAAATCATTTCAAAAGTTGAAATACAACTCTATTTCTCAAGAATTACTTCGACAAGTTTAATTTACCGACAAATGTGTACTATATATATATACACCAAGATTTGAACCAGCCATCAAAAATAATTAACACGGTCAAGTTCAATAGGTAAACATGATTGAACAAGTGTGTTTAGTATGGATTTGCTTGTTAAAACCTTGTTTTATGTCTTTTATTTTCATGAAGTTAGCTCAGACTAGTCTACTGAGTGAGATATTGGAATTATTCAAAAATATCAATCGCTAAGACTATTTTATATAGATAACTTTTACATCTTCGGAATAACCTACCACAATCTCTCCGTACGATAAAATCACTCCCATTATTTATTCGCTGCATCAATGCATACTGCTCCTCTGAAAATGCATTGAATGGTCTAGCACCTGTAAGTGTATCTCATTCCACAAGTAGTAATATAGGAACTTTGAATATTTAGCCATTTTTATTAGTGTATTCCCTAAGTAAAACCACCTACTTGCTGTCACTTTATGTTAACATCGTCCCTAGCAAGTTTAACTAATTTGAATAACATCAACAGTATATCACTGTGTCACACGACACACGCATTTAGGTAGACCTGATTGATATATTTTGATAATTACTGCTTTGTTGTTCCATGCTCTCTGTTTTCGTTTTAATTTCTTTCGTTGTAGATAATTATCATTAATTCGATCTGGCACACGAAATGATCTTAATTACACCGTTCATAAATCAACGGGCTGTCCATTTAAGAAATATTAAAAATTCCCGGCTGATGCATTGGATCGCTGTAATACATGTGCTGCCTAAACAACTACTGAACTAGTATACTTAAAACTTTCTTCTATCACATGTTTGTTCTGTACATCTAATGTTAGTATTTATATCAAATTGATCATGCCTGTAAACTGGCTTGAATTCTGTAATTATTATTTTCAGAATATAAATTATTATTATTATCTGTCTGTTACTGATTAGCAGATAATTTGAATGTTACAACATTTGTGGAAAAAGCTCTTAGAAATATTAAAAGTTATACGAGCAGACGAATAGACAGAGAGAAAATAACCAGAAATACATCATTCGTTGAGATGTTAGATGGTTGGAGGAAATCCTGTTTGAAGCAGGTTCCGTGTTGGTTGGCATTTGTCGTGGCGAGGTATATCTCCAATATCGGGGAAACGGATGCTTCTCTTAGGCTTTTAATCCGAGTTCCTTAGCTTCAAAGTTTGAGAAGTTATCAATGAGTTATTCAGGCAGTAAATGTAGTAGGAGAGAGATATTTACAACTGAATAATGACCGAGTAGTGACCACTGTCATGCTTATCCAGTGACTTAGCACTGATCGAATCTTGTCGATTAAATAGCCACTCGATAAGTAGTACTGCTTTAGAATGTGAAGTTGGGTGATGCAGGTTAGAATTCCATCCATTTCCTCGAAATTGCAGGCACGCCATGCTGGCTAGCGCCAACTAGCAGAAAACCAAAGTCAACCGAGGTCTCCTGTTCACTACCTCTGAACAACAAACACTTTAAAATAGGGAATGCGATGTTGGGTCACTTAAACTGGTTAACGGACACATAGCAATTTGGTCGGTCGAATCCGACCAGCACTTTAAGGACTAGATAGGCATGATAATGCTTACTCCTCAGTCCTTAATCAAAAATATACACATCATCCGCATAATTTTATCATTAACCACTCGATTTTATGTATTTTTTTAATACTTAACTGATGTACACTTACCCAGTAGTATCATAGCCAACACCAAGTGAATTGGAATGAACTGCTGAAATATTAATGTACAATAATTAAAGCTTATGTATATACATTGAAATAATAAAAATTAACCATCACATTGAAACAATAGAGTGATATTTGATATCAACATTGTTTTTAACGTGCCCTATCCCAAGAATATGTGGCACAATTGAGGTATTCGTTTGCTAAACAAGAGGTGGGTATATCATGTATTGTAGTCTGTTATGTTTTAATTTATGACTGTGAAATTAGGAGAAACTTCCACAGACTATAGTTATTTGATTATACATAGATCTTTGGGGCATGGCCCACATTCGATGGAATCACTAAGTAACGCTGAAGTTACACGTAGTGTCAGGTAAAAAGACAAATCGATTGACGATGCTGTTGAGGCGTTCAAGACATGTATTACGCACGTCTAACCAGCTCCTACTCTGACCTTTGGGCACTAAATTTGCATTTAATAGTTTGTAGTTTTAACTTCAATTATATGACGAAAGATTAAAAGGAATCGATTCAGTAATAAAAACTTGCAGATAGATAGTTTTTGGAACTAAAGTTGCCTAGAAGATTTATAGGAAAAAATCAACACTGTTTGAAGTGAAAAGTGACAAATTCGAATCTCAAAGTGAACATCGACTCATTAGGATGCAAGTAAATTCGGCTGGCAATCTACCAATAGATCGAAACTCGCGGCCTGTATTTTACTGCTACTAACAATTTATCTATTCTATAAAAGTGATATACATATGAAATCAAACAATCTATCTCTTAGCTAGATGATCTAAAAAGTTTCAAATACTACAAATTACGACAATATTAATTTTAACCTCCTAACAAATATCCCAATAAATCCAAAAAGGCAAAGAACAAATATAGTTGAATATAGATATCAATATAAACGTTAAGTGATGATAAAGGGTGAAAAACAGAATAATCAAAATAAGAAAGGATATGGTCTATGTTATAATAAGATCAAACACCACTTACTAGATGATCCATTTATTGTTGAGCCTTGATCATGATTAGTTGATCCAGTTAAATTATACTTAGATGAATTCATTGATAATTTACGTGGTGAATTTCTCTGAATAGAATTATTCAATGTATTTCTTGATTGTTCTTGACTATTGTTATTATGATTAATAAATTTGATTTGTTCAGTTAATTCAACATTAGAACGTATTAATTCATTTAGATGTTCATGTAGACGATTCTCTTCTTTTTTCCATTCTTGTTCTTTTACCTCTAAACGTGAAACTGAAATTGAACCAATTTACAACAAAAATGTATCACCAGTAAAAGATTGTTTTAATGAACAAAAGAGAGCAGAGCAAAGAAGAAAGCAATAGATAAAAAAAGGAGAAGGCAATAAATCACAAATATAATGTCGTACTATACGTTATCCGATTCTGATACTGACACACATACTTCTTATCGGCGAAAACTCGAACTAGCTACTAAGTGAGAAATCTGAGAGTGAGAGGAAAGCATTCTATTGGGTAATCAAATCGATAAATAACTGTAAACTCATTTATATATAATGTTCCGCAGAAATTTAAACTACACTTTCGTTTTACCTATAGTGTGTTAAATTCCTTAGAAAAGGAAGCCAAATCTTGCTCAATCGCGTGTGCTTATCATCTGCATGACGTCTGACTGGTCCATTGTATCATATACAATGAGTTAGAAAATGTAATACGAGTGAGTGGATAAACACCAGCTGAATTGATCTACTTGAGTCGTGGCTCAGTCGTTAAAGCACTTGAATTTTAGCCGTTAGGTCATTGATCTCAACCATAGTCCACCTATTTAGATTTATGCAACTGGATAGTGTATCACTAGCCCATAGAGTAACAATGTGGCTCGAAGGCGAGTATAAGAATATGTGCCTAGTGAGCGAGTTACATACAATTTAATCGACTATCAGTGAATATAACATAAATTGTATCAGTACAATCAATAATGTAAATAATTAGATATATAAGTGCAAATTTATGTCAATAGGCTTTGAAGTACACTAGATGAAGGCTAACAGTATTATTACGCTGTTTAAAGCCAATATAAATGAACCACATTTCTAATCTGGAACCTAATGGTCGAAAAGCCACCTCCCCAGACAGTTTATTGGTTAATTCGTTTAGTTTTTAACTAATAAATTATAGGCTTACATCCTGTTTCATTTATTTTAATTTAGATGTCTGAATAGGATCCCCAGTCATCAAAAAAGCAATAAAGCCCACACAAAAAATTACATGAAACAAAACTGAAGATCTAGTAAAACTGACCAGTTAATGGAAGTGAAGTAGACAGAATAAAATATGAACAATCAAACTGAATGATTGCAAATAGAATGTTTGAACTTATTATATCACAGCTTCACAAGATACGATATTCACAATGAAACCTATAATATTTGTTTATTTTCTGCCATAAATAATGAACCCATCAACAATACGTTCATACGCCCCTGATTCCCTCGGGATCGTGGAGTTCATGTGGAACCATGGTCTTTCAACTCCGCTAGGTGAATCCTTAGTACACACTAACACAGTTTTAGCTTCTCATCCTCTCAATTACATCAATAACACCACCGCCGTCAAAAGTCAGTGAGTAGGACTTCCATTGCAGTGAGTATATACACGTGGCCACATAGGCACTATATGTATATAAATTATATTCATTTGTAGCTATCATATTTCCTTTAACAATATACTTGAGGTGATCAGTAATAGTTATTACACGATTTCAAATAGTTTAACGGTCAAAAAACAAATCAAATGACTTCAACCATATATTTATAATACTAAATGTAAACAATGTGAGTTAAAGTGGTCACAAGATGTAAGCTTGACAAAAAAAGACACTTTTCTATTTATTCAGACAATTATTGAATACCTAAAATCACATGTACACACTGGAAATGACATACAGTACGTAATGATATATTATCAAGTGTTATTTTTGTTGCTTATTATTCAATAGTAAATTTAAATTAATCTAAACTGATAATCAAGGATAAGTTTATGTACTTGAAGATTTGAAACAGATATTTATACCTAAGAAGCTAATGGAGTAGTGTATAATAGTTAAAGCGCTCAAGTACGGGTTCGAATTCCGTTCCATTCACTTTGATTCCCAGGATATTGGTAATATCACTAACCTTCCATAAAACGACTATGGTTCAAAGCTGTGGACGTAAATATTTACTTCTTAAATGTTTTAATAACATCAACTGGTTACCTAAATTGAAGTAAACAGTTGAGATAAGATTCCATGTGTAGTTGAACAAATATTACCTTTAAACAGTAAAGGATGTATATCAATCCAATTAGTATGTACAGTCAAGTTTATAAATAATACTTTAGGTAAAAGACACAAATCAATCGATGAGAATGTAAACTTAGTGGGATATGGTAGTACATGTATGTTCAACAGTAAAAAAGTAGTTAGTGCCCTACAAGATTCCGACTTCCACAAACTAGATCAATTTCCAGTTGTATCAAGTGACAGACAACAATCTAACTACTCAATCATATTCTACCCTGAAGACGTGAATAATGCACACATCAAGCGTAGATTAACTTAAACGATATTAAGTAATCTACAATAAAGACTGTCAAATTATTCCTTGTGTGTGATGAGATAACTCACTGAAGAATGAGAAGATTGAATCACTTTGTTAGTTATATCCATAACTAACCAATTAAATCGTTGCTTAGGCTCGCACCACGTCAATCTGGTCTGATGTATCTGCAGACTATCCCTAATGCATGTAACCTGTCAATTGAAGGACATTATTATCCTGTGTATATTATTGTGACTCAATTTTTATTCGTTTCGATAAGACAAGCAATACTGGTCAAAACGGATGAAGTTATCCTTGTTCTGACTATAACTTTGACATAGACTCTGGGGTCGCCAGGATCGCGTTTACAGTCCTAGTAGAATATCTATAGAACAAATTAAATTCTACAACTTCACAGATTTGATAGAACTGTTGATTTAATGCAACTCATTCACTAAGCAGTGCACGTTTTTGGGATTGTTTTTCAGATACTATTCGTGTGTATGAAGGTCAGTGATGCTACTCAATTATCCAGACCAGAAATAAACGGGACGAAATTCAAACCTGTAATCTACTGGTTGAGAACGGAATGTATTAATTACGAAGCTATCACTATGCATTATTGATTCCAGAATCTCAAATTGTATGTTCTTTGATATTGTAGGAAGAATCTATAAACACACGATGCTGAACCTCTCAATTACTAGCATGGTGTCGCTGCAAGATGTCAGAAATCCTTCGGATACAATGATAATCAAACACAGAGTCGTCTAACATTCACAATTCGGAGGCTAGATCTCACAATCGTAGAGCAAAACTCGCACCGACGCGTTGTAGATCCGACCTTTTACAACCAGACTAACATCACAAAGGTGCCAAAGATGTCCCAGATTGGAATAAGCCAATCTGGCTTTCACTATACGTGCATTGATCTCATCACTCACATCCCCATCAGCACTTATGCAGCTACCCAGATACACGAACTTCTCGACTACTTCTATCTGATCATCATCTAGGGTGAGTACAGGATTACGATCCTGCCAGTCTTGTAGAAGTACTTTGCACTTCGAAGGTGCAAAGCACATACCATACCTACGGACACTGATTGCCAACTGATTAAGTGCGGATTGCATGCCTTGGGCATTATCGCACAGTAAGACAATATCATCCGCATACTCAGGGTCGAGAAGTCTTTCTCCAGGCAACAGGTCAGTACCGCCATTACTTACATCCATCAGAGCTGTTTCCAGAATGTCATCGATGGCAAACTTGAAGAGTGGTGAGATTGGGCAACCCTGCCTAACCCCACTGCTCGAATGGAACAATGGAGAGAGGTGGTTGTATGCCCTCACTCTACCTGACGTGTTTGTATAAAGGGCTTCTTCAAGATGTTAATAAATTTCTCAGACACACCTTTTTTCAATAGACAATCCCAGGGAACAGTCCTGTCCAACGAGTCGAAGGCAGCCCTGATGTCAAGAAACACTACGATTGTTGGCAGGTGATAAGTATGACAATGTTCTAACATTTGGTGGAGGGTGAAGATATGATCAATACATCCTCGACCAGAACGAAAACCAGCCTGCTCCTCACGAGTCAATCTTTCTCGGGTTTTGAACAATCTACCAAGTATGATGGAAGCCAGTAGTTTGGACGCGATCAGAATCAGACTTACCCTCCATTAGTTGTCGTAGAAACGACGTGAAGATAGGGACAACTGTCGGCTCGTTCCACGGTGTTGGAATACTCTCGGATTCACGGACCTTTGTAAACAACTCAGTCAGTTCCTTAACCAGAAAGTCACCATCGCCTTTAAGAAGGGTCAGAGTTCTTTGTAGACTGCTGCCTCATCAGGTGGATCAGTCCTCACCGGACATGGATGGTAGGATAGTCTGATCGATGTTGTCGAGGTAGCAGACTAGTAGAACGGTTTCTCGAAAAACTCTGCTCATCGTCCAACACGTCAGTGGATGTTATCGTTTAGCATCCCGTCAGCTCCATGGATTGTTTCACTCACAACAGACTTCTTTATGCCAGTAACTTGTGTGCGTTGAAAGATCTTCCGGTAATTACCGAAGGCAGCTGCTGTTTCTATCTCACTAGCACGCTCCGACCACCAGGCTTCTCGGTCCCTACACAAGCTTTGCACAATTTCATTACGTAAACATATTTGTTAATGGTCAACCTCACAGTCAACCGGAGTAAACCGATGGTCTTCAACCAGTTGTAAGCAGCCTGAAGAAATCCAGTGCTTATAAACGAGACGTTTCGCGAAGCGGCAAGCGACTTTACTCGCCATTTTCATGGCGTCATGTAATTGCGACAAATGCCCATCTACACTTTTCGGTAGACTGATAGCTAGCCTTGAACCTAGCTCGGTTTGACAAATAGTTGCAACATAAACTGCAACCAATTTTCTGACATCGATCCGTTTAGGATGATAAATTTGTTGTCCACTGAAACGTAATATCATTGCAAACAAGGACATGACCACAATCCCGATAGGTACTACAAAGGGAGAGGCGGTTTTGTACACATTTATTATTTATTTATTTATTTGAACACATAAATATTGGTACAAGAGAGCGCCAATATATATGCGCCACACAAAACAATGAGAATTCGAAGAGAAGTAGAAAGAGAAAAAAAAACTAAGGAACGCAAAAGAAAAAGAGAACAATGACGAAGAGATTGGAGTAAGGTAGTGTGGTAGTAACGACGGAACGAAAAGGTACAATCAGAAGAAATCTTTCAGGTAAGGAAGACACAACCACTTTTTATGAAGAAAGTAAAAGAAGGTTACAGCAGGATCGCCACTGGCTTCTATTCTGAGCCATATCTGATAACGTCTCTAGCCACTGTGTAGCACCATCTCTCGGACCCCAACCAGGGAGTCGTGAAGGACCAACACAAGCCAGTCCTTTGCAGCTTTCTTTCATGCCACGACACCATGTCATGCACTGACCACCTCTCCGCTTCTTCCAACCAGTCCCAGAGTCGGCAAATAATGCACGACGTGGAATTCTCTGGGACGACATTCGGAGAACATGTCCAAGCCACCGAAGTCGGTGTTTCAAGATGGTGACACCAATTGAGTTATCATCTCTGTGCCCGAACACACGATGCCGAACCTCTGCATTACTGACATGGTGTTGCCACTGAATGTCAGCAATCCTTCGGAGACAGCGATGATCGAACACAGAGAGTCGTCTAACGTCCTCAACTCGGAGAGGCCAGGTTTCACAAGCATAGAGCAAAACTGCTCTCACCGACGCGTTGTAGATCCGACCTTTTACAGCCAGACTAACATCACGAAGGCGCCAAAGGTGGCCCAGATTGGCATAAGCCGCTCTGGCTTTCACTATTCGTGCATTGATCTCATCACTCACACCCCCACCAGCACTTATGCAGCTACCCAGATACACGAACTTCTCAACTACGTCTATCTGCTCACCGTCCAGGGTGAGTACAGGATTAGAATCCTGCCAGTCTTGTAGAAGTACTTTGCACTTCGAAGGTGCAAAGCACATACCATACCTACGGACACTGATTGCCAACTGATTAAGTGCGGATTGCATGCCTTGGGCATTATCGCACAGTAAGACAATATCGTCCGCATACTCAAGGTCGAGAAGTCTTTCTCCAGGCAACAGATCCACACCACCATTACTTACATTCATCAGAGCTGTTTCCAGAATGTCATCGATGGCAAAGTTGAAGAGGAATGGTGAGATTGGGCAACCCTGCCTAACCCCACTGCTCGAATGGAACAATGGAGAGAGGTGGTTGTATGCCCTCACTCTGCCTGAGGTGTTTTTATATAGGGCTTTTAGGATGTTAATAAACTTCTCAGGCACACCCTTCTTCAATAGACAATCCCAGAGAACAGTCCTGTCCAACGAATCGAAGGCAGCCCTGATGTCAAGAAACACTACGATTGTTGGCCTTTGAAAAGTATGGCGGTGTTCTAACATTTGGCGGAGGGTGAAGATATGATCAATACATCCTCGACCAGAACGAAACCCAGCCTGCTCCTCGCGAGTCAATCTTTCTCGGGTTTTGAACAACCTACGAAGAATGACGGAAGCCAATAGCTTGGACGCAATCGGAAGTAAACTTATCCCCCGATAGTTGTTACAAGAACGACGTGAACCCTTTTTAAAGATAGGGACAACTATCGACTCATTCCATGACGTTGGTACACTCTCTAGTTCCCAAACCTTTGTAAACAACGTCGTCAATTCCTTAGTCAAAAAGTCACCACCATCTTTAAAAAGAGCCGGAGGTAAGTCATCTGGGCCAGGTGATTTGTAACGCTTCAAGAGTTGGAGTTCCTTGCGGACTTCCTCCTCATTTGGTGGATCAGTCGTCACCGGCCATGGAGGGCAGGACAGTCTGACCGATGTTGCCGGAGCAGCAGGCCAGTTGAACTGCCCTTCGAAAAATTCTGCCCATCGTCCAAGACGTCGATGGATGTTAGTGATTGGCATCCCATCATCCTCGCAGATTGTTTCACTCACACCAGACTTCTTGCTGCCAGTGGCTCGGATGAGCTGGAAGAGCTTCCGGTAGTTACCAGATGCAGCTGCTGCTTCCAGCTCATTAGCACGCATCGACCACCAGGCTTCTCGGTCCTTACGCAAGCTTTGCCCAATTTCCTTACGTAACATCCTTCGTTTATGGTCAAACTCACGGTCACCCGGAGTAGACCGACGGGCTTCAATGAGTTGTAAGGAACCAGAAGAAACCCAGTGCTTAAAGCGGGACGTTTCGCAAACCCACAACTGACTGTTCCCGCCATTTTCATGGCGTCATGCAATTGCAACCAATGCTCATCTATACTTTTCGGTGGAGTGGTAGCTAGCCTAGAGGCTAGCTCGGTTCGATACTTACTTGCAACAGAAGTTGCAACCAGCTTGCTAACATCAATCCGTTGATGGCGTTCACTTCGTTGTCCACTGAAAAGTAAGGCAAGATTGGCGCAGACCAAGGCATGGTCAGAGTCCAGATAGGTACTCCAAAAGGAGCGGCAGTCTTTTACACAACCACGCCAGCGGTAGCTGATCGCGATGTGATCAATCTGAGTCCAGGCTTGAGATGCAGAGGGAGGACGCCAGGTGGCACATCGGCGATGACTGTGCCGAAAGTTAGTGCTAGCCAGAAACAGGTTGTGGTCTGTGCAAAGTTGCAGTAGACGGTCCCCGTTATCTGACCTGCGACCAACGAGTCCCCATCGGCCACCTAAACGACTCTCTTCTGTGCCTAGACGCCCGACCTGAGCATTCAAGTCTCCGGCTAGTACTACAATATCTGTCGAACGCACTTTCTGGAGAAGAACTGATAACTGGTGGTAAAACTCATCCTTGATTGCATCCGGGCTGCAATCTGTCGGGGCATAGGCGGAGATGACGAAAAGACATCGTTTCTCACGCCGATTTCTTCTCACTTTGATGGAACTTTCTAATCTAACAGCACATAACCGACTGTTAATGGGGATCCAATCGACTAGTGCTGCCTCAGCTCTAGCGCTTAGTGCGACACCAACGCCAGCAAGACCAGACGAAGATGCCACAGGGTCCCCGGATAAGCGCACGTAAAACAAGCTTTTCGAAGCGACAGATGGAGATCGAATTTGTAGTACTTCGCCAGAGTCTTGAATACGGGTCTCGGATAGACAACACACGTCGATATTAAGACTTTCCAAAGACATAGCCAGCCCTATCTGTTGTCCGACCTGCATAAATGTGCGAACGTTGAAGGCAGCCAGTTTGAATGGTGCACGTGGTTTCAGAAAATCTGCTTCAGTCCTCGTATTCGGTGGTAACATACAATTTTCAACCGGACAGTGACTCGAGAACGTTTAGATACAGTCGGATTTCCACCAAAGACGAGCCGCTGTATAAGTATAAAAGAGGGTGAATAATGTGGAAAATAATAATAATAATGATAATAATAACAATAATGACAATAATAGTAGTAATAATAATATTAGTATTAATAATGACAATAATTGTAATGATAATAATCTGAATCAATTGTTTGTTTTTCAAAGCGACAAAAGTAATTTCCATAGACATAAAGAGTTCATCATTTGTGTGTGGGCTGTGATACTGCCCGGGTGCCCAAACCGAAGCAGGTGGTTATCTTAGGGGGCCACTCCCCGAGCCTTTGACCTAAAGGTCTAACCCACAAGGCAGTGGAGCATCGTAAGGAGATGCAGTCCCATGGTAGCCGGTGACCAACGATTGGTTCATACGCCATTCGTTCCCGCAGGATACTGGAGCCCATGTGCACCATTGATTTGGAATCCGGTTAAAGCGCCGGACATTCGCTTTTCGTCCTCTCATTTTCGTAGACAACACCCCCGCCACGAGAAGGCAATGAGTAGGACTTCCCTGGCAGAGGCTGTATACGCGTGGCCGTGTGAGAGTATTTCGAGAGGGAGAGCGGACTCTCCCCACTCTCGGCCGTACCAGGGCATTCAGGGGGCAATGATAGCTGATCGCGAGGTGATCAACCTGAGCCCAGATTCAAGATGCTAAGGAAGAACGCTGAGTGTGCCGAAAGTTAGTGCTAGCCAGAAACATGTTGTGGTCTGCGCACAGTTGCAGTAGACGGTCACCGTTATTTGACCTTCGACCACCAACAAGTACCCATCCGCCACCCAAATGACTCTCTTTTGTGCTTAGACGCCCGATTTGAGCATTCAAGTCTCCGGCTAGTACTACAATATCTTTCCGACACATTTTCTGTAGAAGAACTGTTAACTAGTGGTAAAACATCCTTGGTCGCACACTATAAATGTGAGGGCTAGTTGTCCAAGCCGAATTAGCTAGACTGAGGGGTTCGAATCCAAAAATTAGTGGCTAAACGTCAAAAGAATCAACAAGTAAGATCCTAAAGTAAACCTGAATGTAATATTATAGTTTAAGATTACAGGTAAGAAAATAAAGGTAACGCGATTTGACTCAATGCACTAATTCACCCCTTTTATTGATGGTACCACGTCCACGTAATTATTATTTAGGTACTAGTCAGCTTAGTTTATAGTTAGATATTTAGTTAACAACCTTAACTGCGAAGTATAACTACTTGATCATAATTAAATGTTACCACTTTGCATCAGTCAGTAACAATACCACGACATAAAATGTCACCGAAAGGGTCGAACATATCTAGACAGATTTTATTGCTTAAATATAACTTCAATGTGATTATTTATGATTATTAAAAAGATGTATATAGAATGTGAAAGAATATAGGTATAGGAAATAAATGAAAAAAACAAACCTTGGTCTTTAGCCAACTGAAGTCTCAATTCCGTTTGCCGACAAGATGTGGATAACGACTCATTTTTTGCCTCATTCACCTTTCTCTCTTCATCAAAAGCATCCTCTGCATTTAGTAAACGCTAAAGTTTTAAATTTGCATCGAAAGTAAGTTTAATGAGTTTAAAATTGAGCAAAACCAAGTGGAAATTTTATCACAAAAATATGATATTTGAAATATGATACACTTTTAAGCCCCTACGGACGGTAATCAGGCTACAGCTTACACGCAGTTCAGAGGTAAAAATATTGATGTATGATGTGACAGTATACGGTCAACCTTCCAACACCAGCTTTGTGATCATTGAATAGCACAGAAATCATTTACTAACAAACCGTATACACTATATCAGTATACAATACCCCCCAAATGCCCTCGTACGGCCGAGGGTGAGAAGTTCGCTCCCCTTCTCGAAATGCTCTCACATGGTCACACGTATACAGCCACTGCCAGCGAAGTCCTTCTCGCAGCGGGAGTGTTGTTTATGAAATTGAGAGGACGGAAAGTGAATGTCCAGCGCGGAAACTGGGTTGGTGGGCACGGAGGATCCACCTAGAGGAGTCGGAAAACCACAATTTCAAACCAATGGTGTACATGGGCTCCAGGATCCTGAGGGAACAAATGGTGTATGGACCTACTGTTGGTCACCGGCTACCATGAGACTGCATCTCCTGACGTTGCTCCACTGCCTTATGGATCAGACATTTAGGTTTAAGGCTCCGGGTGTGACTCCCTAAGAAAACCATCTGCTTCGGTTTGAACACCCGAGCAGAATCACAGACCACACACAAATTAATTGACTTGTGTAGCACATATGTATTCGGTGCTCCTTTGTACTAATATATATATATATATATATATATATATATATATATATATATATATATATATATATATATATATATATATATAGAGAGAGAGAGAGAGAGAGAGAGAGAGAGAATGATTTTTCCAGTTTCTTTCGTGCACAGTGGGGACACGCGAACACAAGAAGATGGAGGACAATATCGAACTTTAGCATGGAACTACGGATGACAAAGAACCCAGTTTTGAACCTGTGTTAAGTAGGGTGAATGTGTAACAGGCTACGTATATTCGAGATGCTGGCTGAGAAGTTTACACAAACCAAAAGCTGTGACATTATGCCGTAAAAGACCAAATAGATAACCTTTTATGATAGTAATATCTATTATCTGACTTAGTAATTATTAAAGTTCGAAACATCAATTGGACAAATTTTTTTCTTCAAAATTCACTCACCATTTCGGACTGTTTTCGAGCAGCCTTTTCAGCAGTGAGTTGATCATAAATATGCTCATTCTCTTCACGTAATTGTCTGACTTCAGCGTGGTATGCAGATTGATCTTTATATAGGTCATCCAAATTTTCTAGTAGACTAATTATTAATGGCATTAAACGTTCAACAACGGGTAATCCATAAGCCTCAATCATAGTTTCAAACTCTTTGTATATACCAGAAGCTATACACTGAACTCGTTCCGACATAACCACTGAAACATGTGAGCTACGATCTAATTCGTTGAAATTTGAGGATAAATAAACATCGTCAATATCATTAAAAGGAGGCTTCAAGTTGAGTAATTTCTTTTCTAATTCAGTACCACCATTCGCAATATTTTCATGAACTATTGCACTTTCAGGAGAATGAGACATTCCAACTGGAAATATTCAAAAACAGTAATAATAAAGACTCGGCAAAGTGGTGATCTTCCAATTTAATATTGTAATGAGAAGAAAATTTGAAGTACAATTGCAAATAGCAAGAAAAAGATAAACTGTGATAATAAGAGCAGGTAGTTACCAACAGTGATTCGGCGCTGAGTACATCAACCTGAATTGGATAAAACAGATTACACAAAAGACAACGGAATTAGCACGAATATATATTGGCTTAAACTCCCACACTTCACAGTGGGTATAGTAATGGAGTGAAAATAATACTCATGTTAGTCGTAAACTAAACACGGAAAAGATAAAACAAGAAACTCGTGTTAACATTACGCACTGCTGTGTCATTTAACACTGCATGTCCTTAATTTGTAGTCATCGTTCTAAATAAACAACCAGAATATATAGTAAACTGTAGTTATCTTCCCTTTACTTATGTTGACTATACATGAAAATAAGTATATGTGAACGATCAACGACTGTCTGGTGATATGGTAACAGTCAGTTTTACTCCACCCTAAGAGTTACTAAATTATCGAAACTACTTGGCCATAAGTTATTAAATATAATGAAATTCAACGGCTATTTGGTCATTAGTAGCTAATCTGCAAATAAAAGTTGCACCTTTCACTTTGTAGATAAAACTGTATGTATTTAAGAAGCAAATCAAATTCACTTGTGCTTTTCAGGATATATACGTATATATACACGAATATATTCGTGTATTATGAAAGGATATACCCTTGCATAGTTAAAGGTGTATACCATCAGTGTCAACCTAATAGACGATAAACTAAACCAAAGAATTCACTTATAGCTGCAGCTTTCCAAGTTGAGTTAGAAAACAATAACGCCAAGTTTACCTTGGAACGACTAACACTGTACCGATGTATTATTGGCATTTGTTTGAAAGCAGGAGAGATTTAAAAACAACAACATGCAGACCAGGGCCAGTGAATATCGGAGGTAAAACATGACGTGCCAGCAACAACGTATATATTTCAAAACTCGGATAACGCGGTTATGTTACAAAAGAGAAAGCTTGTTTACAAAAGTTTCATAAATTATTAGCAAGTCCAGTTCACCCAGGCCTTGTTTTTCTTGCAGCACATATGTAAATATTTACCCTTTGTTGCCCTGTAATAAAAAAAAACTCACAATAATAACATTGCACAATGATTTCGAATATTTCCACACAACCTCTCTCTCCCTGAGGCACTGTCCTCAGTGTCTGACTGTGGACATGGACATGCTATGTCTTCTTTTGATGGTACTTCGTAATAACTGGTGGCAGATGAGGGTTTACAAACTGGGTACCTGAATGCACCATCTTTCGGTCTGGTTCCAACTGGTTATAGTGTATTGTTATAACGTGATCTTTAGGCCGATGACGGTTGTATAAGATAAAGGTAGTGGGAGGTCGAATAAGCACAATTTTGTAAGGCCCTTCCCAAGGATGGTGGAAGTTGCTACGTGCTCTTGGTGGAGACAGGGAGGTGAGGCCAAACACGATCGCTAGTTTTTACACCAGCCCGTCAATACCTCGGTCGCATAAGTCCTCCTGGTTTTGAGCAGGCACTACGCGTCGACCAGACAGCTACGAAGACTATGAATGTATGATACGTGTTCTTGAGCCTCATATAGTAACGAGAGCATTTGTATCCCTACAGGTAGATGTAATTCATGCGCAAAAGTAGGGTGACGATTGAAAACTCTGTAGACCCATGCAATCGTGTGCGATAAGCTAAGAAGCATTGTAGTATCGCATTATCCCAACATCCAGTCGACTCACTGATGAACGATTGTAGAAAGGCTTTAATGGTCCTGTTTGTCCTTTCCAACAGGCCACTACCCTCTAATAGGTACGCAGTGGCATACGCTTTTCAGATTTACAATATTTGTGATACTTGAAAGACGAGATGACTTCCAGAGTGCACGGAAAAGCAAGCAACTTTCAAACTTCACCGCGCTTTCTTCTCCACGACCTTGAGGGTCCCAAATGATAGCATTCATTTCGAGTGTCGGTTGCTAGCATGGTTCTCAGATATTTGTATATTTACGTAGCCCACTTATATCTGAAAACCACCAAAGTCGTTGTTAGCATCATAAACTATGTTATTTTTCATTTTTAGCGTTTTTTACTGCTGTGTAACACTTGAAAAACCGGTCGAACAATTTTGTTGGAGAGTCTATTATAACCGGGTATTTAAATTACACAGCCGAAAATAATCGCAAACTAATCTATAGACTGATAATCTGTGTGATAAATAGTTCTTTTTATTACTAAATAGAAGATGACTGACAGTCAGTGAGTCTAGATATGTTGTCGTCTTCCATTAGTATTACCAGTACCTTCTGCATTACAGTTAATAAACTTTCTCCGAAATAATCAATTTTTATCTTGTTTCTGCTAACGTAGTCCCATTTGTCGTGATTCACGTTTGATAAATACATCAGGTATATCAAGATGATCAGTCGGCTCATGAGTTAGAGGAAATTTCAAAAGGCGTTGGATAAATTCCGGCACACAGGAGAAACATATTTGTACATGCTGCAAACTTCACACACTCACTATATACATATAGGAAGAAGCTTGTAAGTGATATTGGATTCAAGTATACATGGGTCGTACGTTCGGCCAGAAAAGTAAGCCACAAGATTTTGGGACAAACAATAAACCGTGAGGACTACAAATCGAAAGTGATATTTCAGACCAAGTTTCTGAATGAACAGTCAGTATTCCGCGTGGTTCCACTACAGAATGAGTGTGTGATGTAGTCATGTAGGGTGATGTGTAATCGTCCTTGTGAAAGTTCGTGGATGATTTGTGATCCATGAAGTAGACGATTGGCCTCAGAGAATAAGGAAAGTTGGAGGACAATACTGGTCCAGTCGTCACTCTTAGGTTGAGCGACCGGACGAGTTAGAAAAAAGACTGGCTATAAAGTCTTCATTACTGATTTGATCACATTGAATGCGCAAATATTTGCAGGTAAGCATGTGCTCTCATTCTTTCAAGCTGTGAAGTAAAGGTACATGACGTCAACCCTCCTTCGGAGATCTAGGATGGTTTTCCACCTGTCTGACTCAGTCACAAGGTTGATTATATAAGAGTAACCCTTCTTCAAACTGTGATGTGGGGGTGAAGATAAGCTAACGGATAGTATATAACCGCGTAGTCCATCTTATGTCAGGGACCACATAATTTTTGAGGACACTGGAAGAAGTGCTACCGGCTGGTAGCCTGAAGCTTCGCTACGTCTGGCCCTTTGAAAATTATTGGAATGTGAGCCGAATTCCAAATATCTGGTAACGTGACTCGGCTTAGAGAACGTGCGAACATCATGCCAAACGGTTTGCAAAGATTGAAGTCGCTTCTCTCGACGGAATGAACTATATCGGAGCCAGGAATAATGCACTTGCATAGGTGCTACGGTCTCTGTTCCACCATGTTAGCTCTCATGTTTACCTCTGAGAGTACTATCGAGCTGCAACTGTAGCCCCCGTCGACATAATTTGCATGTGACGGTTGAAATGATTGAAGGTTGACGGTGTCAACATCATTGTTGGTTGAACCATTAGGACATATAAATCGGAAACTCTGCATTTAGCTCATCGTAGACCAGCTGCATGACGGATTAAGCTTTCAGAATATCTATCGACTAGATTTTTTTAGATTGAAAACCATCTGACCTAATGGCCCTATTGCAATGACTCCTTGCTCGTTTGAACTGCCTATGTGTGCTGTTGTCACTAGTTTGATTATGTCCCGTCCAGTATGGCCCTGTGACCCCAAGGATTCGAAGAGTGGGGTTCTCATTGACTGTCTGCCGCCTGTTGTTTTTGGTGACCGTTTGCGGGACAGACTGTCTTGTAAGATATAAGATCGTGCGCAGTAGGAAATTCCGATGGGCATTCACATCAACTGGCGGTTAGGCTTTCCAGTTCGCCTGCTGTAGACTGACCTGCAAAGGTGACATTTTCAAATATTTGAAATCACAGTGCTTGTAAGGCACTGTAATCGCTCATACACAGGGGGACACAGGATTGAGAGGTTTTCAATTAGGAATCCTTCGTTTATGAGTACGGAGTCTGGGCGTGATGGCGTTCAACTGCTTCTCCAACGAGTTGCTGACTTGACACCCTGATATAATCCCAGATCTTCGATGAGTTTGAAGAACCAAGCCTCATTAGAGTTGTCATCTCCACTGTACGTATGTTCAGCACAGTTGACTTTAGGATGATTGAAGTTGCCAATAATAAGGATATGAGTGTTACCAAGACGAATGGACAATCTCACTGAGCACTACATAAATTTATGAAGACCGATAAACTCTTGAGTGTACACATGATGTTCTACCGCAAAAAACCGTAAGTACAGAGCTCCGCACCACATTCCTGTTTTTCTGCAGTTTCATTTCATAACTGTACACCTTACCTCCAAAATTCCTTATTTACCAATAGCCACTGATTTCAGTATTAACCCCATTCCTAATTAACAATAACTATATACTCATATATTCTATCTAGTTAAGTGGGCTCTCTACTTACTCAAATGCCAGTTATGACTAGTAATCCCATTAAAAGAAAAATTTTACCTCAACCATCTTAAATTTCAATATCTGTAACCCCTATCTCTGACGAATCAGTGCATGACAAAGTCACTATCACTGTCTGATCACCCGCGTGAATACCCCTCCAGATATTCATGCAGTGTGTTAACAGTAAGGCTGATTGATATCAAAGGTATAACACCCACCCTTCCGTAAAGTCAACACAATTTAGCCATCGATATAGTACACTAAAGTCAGAACCCAAACATTAACAAACCAATGACCCTAATATTTCGTTTGGCGCACACCAAAATACTGCTCGCTTTAATAAGGATATAAGACAGTTACAAAACTCACTCGCAGGAATTAAAAATGGACCTAACAAGCTAACACCCCTCACGCATATATCTGCCTCGAGCAGTCACAAAAACC